CAAATGTACTTCCACCCTCGTCTAAATCCCGGCATTAAATGGAGTTTGCGGTCCGGAAACTCTATCCCTTTATACGGCAATTTTTTTAGCCCCTTAAAGGTCCATTCATAAAAAATATTTTTATTGATATACGAGCAACCCTGTATTTGGTCAGAATACTGAAGAAGCACGATGTATAAAAGTAAACTTTAAAACAAGGGATTTGAGTACAGAATACATTGTATAGGTATATTTCTATTTTACTCTACAATTTACATTTAGGTGGAAAGCTCAGCTATGTACAAAGTAAATTTATTTACATTTCAAACGTGTGTTTGATGACGTACCTACCTGGCAATCAGGGCGCGTTTCAGAGGTTTGGTCGTGGAAAAATTACAGTTTACACGGTATGTTAGTTTTTAACTTTAACATTTGGCGATGCAAACAATTTATGATATTTACCTCGCAGAACAATTTTATAATTTGATTAATTAATTTTATAATCCAACGCGTACTGTGTAATGCCTTTACAATATTGACATTTTTAAAAGTTTTATTTTGATTTTACTATATGTTTGAATTCAAATATGAATATTAATGTTAATTAAAAATTTTATTTTAGTAAGAGAATGTAATAAGCTTAGTGCTCGTTGGTTTATTTTGTTTCTTCTTCTTTCATGCAACTTACGTCAGTCTGATTTTTTAATAATTTTTAATAATAATAAATTGCTTTGTATGGGCTGGCACCGATTTCGAAAATATTTGATTAGGTATGTATTTAATAGGTAGGCTTTAATTACTTAGCCAAAGCACACCGACTTCGAAAATATTTGATTCGGTATGTATAGTAAATGAAAACTACCAATCAGTTATTTTTTACTTTTTAGTGCTTTTGTTTGAAGTCGGCTTTTTATTTTTTTGTTAAAAAGTTTTTTTGTGTACTAAGCTGTATAAGTTATAATAGTTTTTTAACTATCCCACGGGAACTATTTAATTTTCCGGGATAAAAAGTATCTAAGATGTTGCCCGGGGATATAAGGAACCACCATGTATTCAGCTCTTTTTAACGTCCCACTGCTGGGCACAGGCCTCCCTTCAATACGAGGGGGATCAGGCCATAGTCCACCACGCTGGCCAAGTGCGGGTTGGCGGACTTCACATGTCTTTCGAAAACTTGCTAAGTTCTCTAAGACATGCAGGTTTCCTCACGATGTTTTCCTTCACCGTTAAGACAAGTGGTAATCATGTTAGAAATGATTCGCACATGAAAATATCAGAGGTGCGAGACCCGGGATTTGAACTCGCTTCACTCGGTTTTCCAAGCGAGCGCGTTACCACTGGGCTACCACTGCCTTGTAGGAGTAAGGAACCACCATGCAAAATTTCATTTAAATCGGTCCAATAGATTCGGAGATTAGCCTGCCAAAACAGACAAACAGACATAGAACCAAAAAAATTTAAAAAATTTGGATTTGTTCTATTTGTCTTCTTACATCCCTCTGACTCGGTTTTTACCATTTTTTTGCTATGTATTCGACCTCTACTGTTTTATTATAGTATAGATATGTTCTAAATATAGATAAACAAATGTTAGTTACATATTTATTTCATGTACATGCACAAAATTCACATAATGTTTTGCCCACACACTGCTGTCGTGTCAAAGGCTATATCAATCTGTACTCAAAACAAATTTAAACTCACAGCAAAAGCTGCCGACGGTTGTTTGATGTTAAGTTTTTAAACAAATATTAAGCTTAGCTTTGCCGACTTGAAAATTTATTTACTATTTAAAATATTTTTATAACATTATAAGTAATAGTCCCATAAAATATCCATTACTGGTGACACTTTTCCGTTTTTGTTCATATATTGTACGTTTAAGTTAGTAGTTGTATGTGTATGTATGTATTCAGCCCTTTTTAACGTCCCACTGCTGGGCACGGGCCTCCCTTCAGTACGAGGGGAAAAGGCCATAGTCCACTATATAGGTAGCCATAGGTATATATTAAAAAAAGTCTTTAAGTTATAGACTATATATATTGGTATTATTGGTAGCTTCTTCGTACAAGATACGAGAACGAGTGCCTCGATGATTCTAATAATCTGAAACAAAGATGCTGTGAATTTAAATAATGTACAAACCAATAACACTACATTTCTTGACTGACATGTATAATATATAAATATTAACCATTGGGTTCACGATTTGTAATTTGTGATAACACTCCCGAAATATATAGAAAAAGCCAATAAGTAGTTATTGTTTGCCCTTCGAGCTTACTAAGAAATGGAAACAACAGGGGCGTTAAAATATTAGGTCGTTAAGCCTACCTTGCCTTTGTTATAGGAGCGGTAAAGAAATATTATGATTATTAATTGATGACACGCTACGCTCGATAAAAATTTATTCTAAAAATAGCTTTATAGGGTTGAACTTTGACAATCCTCAAGCTACTGATTTTTTTTGTCTTTACAAAGTAGTGATAAGGATTCTCGGGAATTTGGCTTCCTGGATACATAAATTTCGTTAAATTTCTTTATTTTAAAAAAATATGCTTATACCATAGTTCAGAACTAACTATAAATACATAAACCAAGTTAAAAACCATTCCACAAAAATAGTTCAAGTAGCTATAAGATAAACTAAACGTCTTTGTGGAGCTGAAGTTTTCATTGCTTTTATAAAAGAAATCCAATAAACCGATTGTGGTAGCAGATGGCGGGGCTCAACGAAAAACGAAGTTATTAAATTTTATTATTTCGTAATTTCTTAAAAGGCTCCACGATTGAATTTAAATTAGTCCGGTCTCATTTGAAATTTAATAGCAAAATTCTTGATTGTATTATTTTTGGGCTTAAATATTCTACGCCTTGTTTGGTACATTTAGCTTAATTTAACGTAAGCACGCTTTAATTACAGCCAGCTTGACATACCTCTTACTTCCTAAACAATGTCATAATGCGCCTATTTAATGAATTAATTCTTACATATACAATACTAATGCGTTATAAGACTAATTGCTAAAGGCATTGTAGGTTTCTATCTTGGACTTCAAGATGTTTATTTCCCAAAAAATTACAATGTTTACTTATAATTAGGAATTTATTTTAATTTTTTGTACTTGTAACATTTAAAAGTATCTGAATGAATCTGGACCTTTGCTTGACAAAACATAATTGTTTTTAGATTTTCTTACCAATATTCCAAGATTTTGGTTCTTTCAAATTAAATGGCAAGGTCCCTTCAAATAAATTAGTTTTAATTCTATATTTATACTCGTAGCTTTCTATTTTACGAGTAATTCAATCAATTATTTTTTTCTCAGAAATGAGACGTTTTCTCGCGATAAAAAGTAGCCTATATGTTGACCCGGATAACCAGCTATCATCATACCAAATTTCATCAAAATCTGTCCAGTGGTTTTCTCGTGATGCGGTAACAGACAGACAGACAGAAAGACAGACAGACAGACAAAAATTCTAAAAACTATAGATTCGGACTCTGTATCGATAATAATGTCTATTTCAATTAGATTTCCCCAAAAATATTTAATGTACAGATTTGACTTAGTTAGAATTTTATTATATGTATAGATAACTAATTATTTCGCGTCATCTATACCTATAATAAAATTCTGAGTCGAACCTGTACACTAAATATTTTTTTTTTGGAAAATGTTATTGAAATAGTCATTATTATCGATACAGAGGCCGAATCTATAGTTTTTAGAATTTTTTACTATCTGTCTGTCTGTCCTTCTGTCTGGGTACACATCAAGATAAAACCTCTGGACTAATTTTTAATGAAATTTGGTATGATGATAGCTGGTTATCCGGGTCACCATATGGGATATTTTTTACTGCGGGAAAATATGTCATTTCTGAGAAATCTATACTAAACATTAAAATGTAATGTATTTAATTATTTATAGTTATTTCTCCATGTATGGATAATAATGTATGGCGCTTTTCCTACTGGCCAACTACGATTTCATATTAAGAAACAAACATGCAAAGTGAAAAGATTTTAAAGCATTTTTAATATTGAGTGTAAACAAGGCGAGAACTCTTAAGCTCAAACGAATATGTCAAGCGGAATAAGATTTCAGAAGTTTTTTTTTTAGAAATGTAGAATAATATATTTTTTACTGAAAAGCTCTCTCGGGACTCGGCTCAGTGGGCTATGAGAAATGGTTTACAGCCGACAGTTATTTTAAAAAGCTATCGCTTACGTCGGTTTTCGTGAACTCCAGTGAACATTCGTCTTCACGGATTTTGACTTTTACATATTATTTTTACAAACACTCTTCTGTAGTCATTTTCTTTTTTTTGACAGTACGAACTGCAAAACAAACATATTCATAATTGTTTTTGGTTTGTTATTTCTTCACGCTGAAAAGACTGCACGGATTGAGACGTAAAAAACACATAATATAGAAAATGAATAAAATCTTTATTGGGACGCTATGAGAGTAAAGTAACAATAGTAACTCATAAAAACTTTGTTAGAAATAAATATATATTTTATTCATTATTAAAATTAATGGACTTCGTCATATTTGATACGTTCTGAGAATATTTTAATTGTACACTTAATAATTACCGCATTCTAAGCGTAACCCCATCCCAATTCGGCAATGCATGTAAGCGTGCTAAAGATAAGCGAATATTTTTATTTAGTTGTCAACCCTTTTCCTTTACTAAAAACGGAGGAATGTTAAACTGTGTATTAAGGTAAGACTGGGACGAAAAACAAGTGAAATATTTATTTAAATTATTAAGCAAGTACTGGTGACAAGAGTTGGCTCGTTTTTTGGCCAAAGACTCCGATTAAGCGAAAGAACGCAGCTAGCATTCTTGCCACAGTTCCACGTTGACATGATAGAGTAATTATTATATTTAAGTATAGATTTAATTAAATAAACATTGATTTTCAAATAAAGTATGAATATTGAATTTAATAGAATATGAAACCTAATACAATTTTATTGCCTCTGATGTTGTCGTTTTAGATATAAATGTTAGGGGTAATTTTAATGCTTAAAATTTTCCTGTTGTATTTGTGGTGTAGAAATTATTTTGGGTTAATTTATTCTATATATCCTTATCCTAATTTGTACTCGTAAATTCAAAAATGTTAATTTATAGGTTAAAAATATTTTAATAAAATATGTTATGTTATTTTATCCGTATAAAACCTTTTTTATGCAATTTTGGCCGACTCAAAAAAAAAACAGCGAATATTGTCATATTTTTCCCGCGCTTTTCTATAGAACATGAGAGCGGAGAAATGTCAGTGCATCCTTATTGTGGCGAATCATGTATAATGCAACCATGAACGAATTAGAGACTAATTAATAATAATATAATAATGCAACGTTAAAAATTGTAAACCTAACGAAACAAAAGAATAGAAACAAAAAATATCTCAGAATTTTATAACTATTGTCCAAGGAAATAAACGAAATTAACAATGTTTTTATTTTTTCCAGATTAAGATGGCAGCGACTGTGCAGGTGTTATGTAAAGGTCTCTAGTACGAACAATGGGCCATTTCCATAGAGCTCCCTCCTTACACACTTTCCAGACACAGGTAACTAATATGTTATGCTACTAATTTTCTTATTATTATCAAAGTTACTGTTTTCGTATTAAGTCTTTAAGCTTTCATGTTTTCATTCCCGATATTTCGGCACTGTGACAAGCGCCATGGCCGTGGACTGACTGATGATTTTGCTGGACTTTAATCGTAATAATATCATTTATACCACGGGGTGTTATAAGTTTGACGTGTCTGTGTGTGTGTCTATCTGTGGTATCGTAGCTCCCGAATGGATGAACCGATTTTGATTTGTTTTTTTTTTTGTTTGAAAGTTGAATTAGTCGGAAGTGTTCTTAGCTATATTTGATGAAAATCGATCTAAGATGGTCGGTTTTTTTTAGTTTCATTGTATTATGTACTTAAGCAAACAGTATCTTTGTTATAAATGCGAAAATACATTTATTTGCAACAATAATATGCGATTTAATGCGCCGAATTCTATTTATGCTACGAGTACTTTCTATTTCTGTAAATAAAGTTATGACTATGGGATATTGTTATTTATTGCCGAAAAAGTTAATAATACTTTTTAGGGCTTTAGAAGAGCGAGGATGGCTAATGTGTTTATAATTTATAAATAATGTTTTCAAAAATGTTCAATTCATAATATCTTAAACTATACGTTTAAAGTCATTTCTTAATTGATCTTACATATATTATTCTGTTATCTATACAGATAAATAAAATTGAAGTGTCCGTTTGTAATGTCAAAATAAGCTACAATGGACCATAACTGGTCGACGTAGCTAGGGCCGACCTCGGCACGCACCACACCCAATAAAATAAATAATAATGTCAAAATAACAGATTTTTACTAAATGCATATGAAATTATATACGGTACCTACTTATAAGAAAAACTTTTAATTATTTTTTTGTCTGTCTATATGTCTGTTTGTTGTGGTTAATCTCCGAAACGGCTGAACTGATTTTGACGGGACTTTCACTGGAAGATAGCTAATATTATAAGTAGCAACTTAGGCTATTTTTATTTTAGAAAAAGAATTAGGGTTCCGCTCAAAAAAATTGAAACATACCTAGAGGCACACCGGAGCGAAGCGAGATTAAGTCGGTAGTTTATAATAAAATCTTATTATGCGTTTTCTCTTTCACCAAACCCTTTTTTTTTATTTGTGCCTATTCTAATTCAAAAATGTTAATTTAAAAATGTACTTATGTTTGAATCAAAATTCTTGGACCAACGTCCTTTAATTAAAGTTAAAGGAATTTATCAAATGTCACTGTATATTAAATTCTTTAGAGGTCGTGTTTGTGATCGGGCAAACATTGAAGAATTTTGATTCAATCTTGGGCAAAGATATTTGCCTAATGGCAACATCTCTACGCTCTATGTCACACACAAGAAAAGAAGAATATGAAATACATTTTAAAATATGTACTTATGTCATCGCTACTTCAAAATATGAGTTGTAACAGATAGGTATATAAAAGTGACTTGATGATGAAAACCATGAAGAATAAAGGTTAGACAAAATATTCTAAAGCTGCATATTATTGTTATCTATATTTATATAGTAACTAGCGGCTCACACTCTCATCGCTCGGGTTCGTCCCTAGCTTGATTCCCCATACAAACTTTCATCCCTATTTGCACCCTTTTAAGGGATGATTATACTATCTTCTTACCAAATTTCATCTAAATTGGTTCAGTATATCCCCTACAACGTCACAAACACACAATCTCACAAACTTTACCTCTTTTTATAATAATAGTATAAATAATAGACCTGAGTAGACAGATGTTTACACTACAGATATTGATACAATAGGACTCTCAATCCGTTTATGAGTAGAAGAATTACGATTACGCAAACAGAAATATAATTATTTATTACAACACGACCTTATACGATGATTGAGCTTTTTATTAATTACTTTAATATCTAAAATAGAATTTCATGACGTTAAATAAAATTTATAGAATTTCAAAATAATTTAGTAGGTAGGTATAATGGTGTTCAAGTACGAGTTGTTTTACCTTTCATCACTTTGGAAAACTAGCTCGGTTTAGACACGCAGGTATCTTTTTGATGTTTTCCTTCACCGTAATCATTTTGAAAATCATTCGCTCATAAGAATATCAGAGGTGCGAGACGCGGCCCAGCCACTATACTTCTTCTTCTCCCTGCCCATTTCCCAATAACTTGGGGTCGGCGCAGTACAACTTCTGTACTGCTGATAGGCCCAGCCACTATACATTTAGTCGTAAATATTTTTATAGTTTTCCCACTGTTCTCTAAGATATTACCGTGAGAATTATTAAAAAGCGTCGTTAAATATTAATTACTTCCCTAATGTAGTTACTAGTTTTAACTGCAATTTGTAATGAGTTTTGCATTAAAATTTCAATTTCACATTTACAGTTCAGCGTAGGTTTTTTCATTGGTGGTGAATATCACCAAACCAATTTGCAGTAATACTGTCGGGCAAAGGTCTTTCACTTAATATTTTATATTTATAATAAACTAGCGACTCACCCTCGCTTCGCTCACGTTCATCCCTAGGTACGTTTTAACGGTTAGTTTGGAATAGATTTATATATTCTATTTTCCGTTCTTTTGGGTTATATACTTAAACCACCCCTGACACACCCCCAACAAAACAAAAATAGAATTATTTAAATCGGTTCAGCCGTTTTTTGAGTTTAAGCGAGACTAACGAACAGCAATTGATTTTTATTTATATTATTATAGATATATAAACATTTATTTTTGTATTTTTAGGATTACGAAGAGTGAGTAGATTCTATTGGAATGGGTATGATTGAAAAATAAAATATACATACTTAATCATGGACGTAGTAAATATATATATATATATATATATATATATATATATATATATATATATATATATATATATATATATATTCTAATTTAACAATTATTAGGCATATCAAAATTAATGAGATAAGACTTTGAATGCAAAAACGAAACAATAAAAGGATAATTTACAGGAAAATTAAAGAATATTTTTAACACTTATATTCTACAGAACCCCTTTGGGAAAACGTTATAGACAATCAAAAACCATTTTAGCTTATTGCTACCACCGTTGTTTATACATGCCAGGCATATACATATTATACATAGATATATAACTTTTAGTGTAGATACATTTCTCAGAGATGAGATATTTTTCCGCACTAAACAGTATCCTATATTGAACCGGATAACCAGTTATCGTCATACCTCATCAAAATCTTTCTAGTGGTTTTCTCGTGATGCATTCTCAGAAAGACAGACAGACTGAAAAAATCTAAATGCTATAGGTAGATTCGCCCGCTGTATCGATAATAATGACTATTTCAATAAGATTTTCCAAAAAAAAAATATTTAATGTGCAGATTCGGGGCGAATCTGTACATTAACATTAAGTAAATATTTTTCATGGCTCAGTTAGAATTTTATTATATCCATAGATCTTGTATAAAACTTAAATCTATATAATATAATTGTAACTGAGCCGAATATAACTGTACATTAAATATTTTTTAAAAATCTTTTTGAAATAGACATTGTATCGATGTAGAGGCCGAATCTATAGTTTTTAGGATTTTTGTCTGTCTGTCTGTCTGTTATCGCATCACAGAAAAACCACTGGAGGGTTTTGATTAAATTTGGTATGATGGTAGCTGCTTATTCGGGTCAACATATGGGATACTTTTTACTGCGGGAAAATATCTCATCTCTGATAAAATATCTATACTAAACGTTAAAACGAAACTAGGAACGAACCCGAGCGGAGCGAGGGTGAGTTGCTAGTATATAATAAATTAGTGATTTGTTCTCACTTTACGCAAGTAACAATTCGAAACAAAGTAATTTCCTAAGGGAGCTACTAAATATGGATAAAATGGTCTCCGTAGCTCTCTTTCCACAATTTATGTGTGATTATGTACTTTTTTTCCATAATTAGAACACAGACTTTAAACCCACTTAATTGTGACTTCTGCCTTGGTACATCTTTTTTTTATTTAATTGAGTCTACTTCCGAGATGTAATAAAAAAAATATGAAAATATGGAAACCTGTTCACAATCGGCGAAGATATACCGTTCCATACATGCAAAAAAAAAACAAACAAATTGAATATCTTTTTATTGAGATCGGTCAAAAATCTCGTCGACCTATTTGCTAAATTCTTGAGTGAAATCAATAACAAAACAATATAAATATGTATAAACAAACAATAATGAAACAATTGCATATTTAAAATACTAGTGACTTATCTCGGTTCGCTTGAGTGCCTTACTATGTTTTTTTTTTACTTTAATTTTAATTATTATATACGGGCCGTCCAACCTCTTGAGAAAATTTTATAACTAAGAGTAATCTAATTTACTATATAATATATAGCCTATCTGTGTATAGCGTTAAGGAGGAGCATTACATACAAACACTCGCATAAGATTTTTTGCATTTATAATATTACTAGCAGAACCCGCGGTTTCGCTCGCGCTAATACTATAAAACATCTCTAAAAGGTTAGTTTTCATACAAACTTTAATCCCCCATTTACCCCCTTATGGGGTGAATTTCGAAAATGCTAAAACACTATTTATTTATTGTATTGAAGAACATTAATACTAAGTTTCAAGTAATTCTTAACATAAATATTCTTTTGGGTTGTATTATAACACGTTTTCCCGCGGGAGTGATATAATCTCTCGCGGTAAAAAGTAGCCTATTTTATTCTCCAGCCCTCCAACTATCTCCACACAAAAAATCACGCGAATCCGTCACTTTGTTTCAACGTCAAAGAAGAACAAACAAACACACTTTCACATTTATAATATTAGTATGGATATCAATTCACAATAATATATTGGGAATATTAGTATGATTAGGCAACTCATACATGAGTTTTATTTTATGTCCAGGGCTCGAGTCGCGCGCTCGCACACTGCATGCGTTGATGGGCGCAGCCGCAGGCGGCGGGCGGGCGGCGCGGGCGCTCCGCCTGCTGCTGCTCCTGGTGCTGGCGCTCGCCGCAGTCGAGTACCTCTTCGGCTCGATCCTGGACGCATCGCCTCTCCGCACATATCTGTACACCCCACTGCATAACGCCACTATACCTACTCTAAGGTAAAATATATCTAAATAACATGTTAATTAATTAGGTAGATACTTTAAAATAATCCTAGTTTTGTTTTATCTTCATATACCAAAGCGAGCTAGCATTCTGATAGCTTTAACTAAAATGAGAGTTGCCAAATATTATTGTGTTATGACAGAAACCTAAGTGGTTACATCAGCTCTCAGTGAGTTTCATCGTAATCGGGTTAATAATGAAGAACTGACAGAAAAATATCCATTTTTATAAATTTTATTGATTATTTGATTATAAGTTGATATAAATAATTTAAAAAAATTCCTATTATATAAACAAAATATTATACAGAAGCAGCGAAAAGTTATCTCAAACTTGGCCTAAAAGATTCCCGACACCATCTCCTGCGGTCGACAATCTGCTAAAAAATTCAACTCACAAAGCCGTTTCGAACAATACGAGTAAAAGTAATTCTAGTAAAGAAGCGTCAAACATGACTCGGCAAAACATTTCCGAAGACTCGAGTACGCCGCTTTTGATTACAAAAATTATGGACGGAATCAAAAACTTGGTTACTACAGAAGATGGGGATATTAAACCTTCAGAGCCTACAATTCAATTTTGCGACGAAATGCCACCGGATTTGGGTGAGTTTCTAACATTTTGTTTTCTTTCATCTCATCTCTTTTGTTAATAATCATCATTAGTGCATAAAAATGATTTAATATTTAATGTTATCACTGTTAAACAAAGGTTTACTTAAAAAAGCTAATATTTTAATTTTTGTGCTATGGGTACCAACGTGTTTGGCAAATATTGTTTATCAAATAAATATGAACCTGCACTTTGTAGTATATTTGATGAATATTATGCAAGCCTCAAATAATTAATGTTTTTATAAACACACTCAAATCGACGCCTCCAGTGGGACTCGAACCCGCGACTGCTGGCACAGCAAGTAGGGTCACTACAAACTGAACCAAACGTGTCATCAAATATAGAATTAACAATTATTTTTAAAGTTCAATATCTCTAAGTAATACTGCAGTAAGGTTGGATCTCTATTACAAAAAAATATATATACACTTATTATTTTTATATAAATTATATTTTTTTAAGGTCCAATATCTGTAAATAAAACTGAAGTCGAGTTAGATTGGGTGGAGAAGAAGTATCCCGAAGTGCGTCGCGGCGGTTTTTATTCGCCACCAAACTGCACCGCTCGCCACAAAGTCGCCATAATTGTTCCGTACAGGTAAGATCACTCATTTATAAGGTTTTTGGTTCCTACTCATTTTCGTAATTGTTTTGTGAACCTTGTAAAAATATTTATTGTTTTTTTTTTGTATTTGATTTTATTTTAAATATCATTCTTAGGTCCAAAATTGCGTCTTTATAATATAATAGCATTGCCCGCGGCTCCGCCCGCGTTCAGATGACCAAACGCCAAATTCTTAGGTTTTACGTATTAGTATACTCTTACAATGCAGTTTTTGTATTTTTCTCAGAAATGAGATATTTTCCCGCGATTAAAAGTATCCTATATGTTGACCCGGATAACCAGCTATCATCATACCAAATTTAATCAAAATCCTCCAGTGGTTTTTCCGTGATGCGATAACAGACAGACAGACAAAAATTCTAAAAACTATAGATTTGGCCTCTGTATCGATAAAAATGACTATTTCAATAAAATTTTCCAAAAAATATTTAATGTACAGATTCGACTCAGAATTTTATTATATGTATAGATATTTTTTATATGAGCTGCATATGTTTTAGTTATATATGTTAGGGAAATACTCTCAGATTCCTGGCATAGATCTGAAGATTGTTTACCTTTCCATTCAAAGATCATCCTTTAATATCAATATCATTTTACCACTTGTTACATATTATAATTTACATTTAAGTTTTACAAGAACGAAAATTATATGAAATAATTATAATTATCATTCATCTGAATTCCAGTCCACCAGTCTCTCCCGTGACCATGATTGCTGTAAAGCATTCGAAACGTCGGGAACCAAAATTCAAAATAAATTCGCGAAAAAATCCGAAAAGATAGTTTTATTTAAAATGTCAAGTATTCGCGTAAATCTAAGAAAGTATTATTTATCTGAATTTTTAAGTTCATTAATCTTGATTGCGGAAATCAAAGTAGCAACATTATAAATTGTAATGTGATTAACCTAAATCCATTTTACATTAAAAAATCATGTTATTATTAAAATATATCAGAGTATTTCCCTAAAATTAATCATCATAATTTGTAAATCAAATTTTACTATCCTATTTTACTTACTAATTTTACTGTTAAATGTTGTTTTAAAATCATAAAATATTGATATAAATTGCTGCCAATATTTTATTACTGTACCTACTGTGTAATCCATACTAATATTATAAATGTGAAAGTGTGTTTGTTTGTTTGTCCTTATTATTTATATTTTTTTATGTGCAGATAGTTTAAGAGGGAGAGTGACAAAGGCTTCTTTTTACCGCGGAAGATTATCTCATTCTCACGGGAGAACGTTATAATACAATCCAAAAAAAAATCAGAATTACTTGACACTTTAATGCTCTTCAATATAATTAAATAAATACGTGTTTTAGCTTTTTTTGTAATTCATCCCATAAGGGGATAAAATAGGGAATGAAAGTTTTTATGAAACCTAAGTTTTTAGAGTTTTTTTTGTAGTTTTAGCACGAGCGAATCCGCGGGTTCTGCTAGTATGGTATAAGCATATTCTTCTTTCTCAATCTAATACAATACGGCTCTCAAAATGCCATAAAATTGTAAAGAATATTTGAAGGCCCCTTAAACAAATTTGAAGCTAATTCCATCGTGATGTTTGTCTTCTAAATATAGTTAACAGTCTGGGCACAATTTTGCTTGTCATCTAATCTAAAATACAAAAGGAAAAACATATTGTTGCGAATTTATTCAAGCAATTCTCACATCCCATGTCTAAGTGAAAGCGAGTGCGATATTTATGTTATCTGCTCAATAAGCAATCTTCATAACGCCCCGTCAGCATCTATCCTACCTTGGAAACTGAAGTTTTTCATCTCGACTTTTTCACTTATCCCATTCGGATCAGATTTACGGTGGGATGAATTTAACGCACTTATAATGTGTAAGCGCTACGATTTAAGATAAAACTGCCCCATTTTGTGTCACATTTTCCGAATAACCTGCCGACCCGTCTCATGAATTTGAGCGTCTATTATTTTATGAGACAGCTTCCTTCCTACTCGAATCACGTTGCGCAGATTTCGATGTCTAAACTTTTTTACTTCATTAGTCAGGTTACTGACGTTTTATTAGAATAACGGTATATCTGTAATAGGGCTCTACTATTATATATGCAAAAGTGTATGTATGTTTGTTACTTGAAACAGCTGAACGTATTTAGTTCAGTATATTATAGTGACTAAAACGTGGTTTAACACTTAGACTAATGTTAGAGATCTAGGGACGCTAGTATTGAATAATTATAAAGTTAAATAGCTGCTTGTTACGTATCCCATTTAGTAAACACTTTGTACCAAAATTTGTACCAAAATAAATAGCTGAAAACATAAATTGTTAGATTTATTTTAACTGCGGCTTGTATTCGTTAAGATAAATAATATGGAAGAAATCGCCATGAACGAACATTAAGGGCCACTTTTAAATTCTTAAATGTGTTCGTTTAAAAATGTTGTGCATTATCTTAAATATGCCCAACTGCTTTCGTATAAAAATTTCTGCTTAGTACTTACGTGAAAGAATTGTATGAACTACCTATAAAATTATTTAATAAAATTATAAGATATTCAAGAATGTGAAAATGAAAATTGTTAACTCATTTTCTTTTATTACTATTCATTCCACGTTTTCCCCTTTTGTTTCCATTTCGTTTATCATTCCAGTATAGACTTCTTATATAACACAAACGTACAACGTCGTCCAGATTTTCATTACTTGCCAAGTTTCCATTTTGTTGCTTTAATTGAATTTTCTTTACTTTGTGTTACAGAATAAATAACACTAGATTGTGTGTAAAAATTTAAAAAATAAATAAAACTCTAGTGGCCATGTACAAGCAACTTTGCAAAGATAATAATCTTATCTTAGATTTACGTGAATATATGACATTTTAAATGACATTTGAAATGTCGGGACCGAAAATACCGCGACAACATCCGAAAAAATAGATTCATTTAAATGATAATATAATATATATAGGTACTATAAGTAAAAATGAAATGCTCTTCAATACGCTTACTAAAATAAGCGTATTGTTTGGAGAAGGGCTGGATCGATTTGGCTTATTTTATTTTTAAACTGTTTTTAATAGTTTTATTAATTCTTTCTGAAAGAAACATGGTAAATTTGACTTGAAAGTTGGGAATTATTAGAAAAACAGATCTTTATAATCGCAAAGATAACAAACTATATTGTAATTTGGACACATGGTGTCGTCTAACGGGCCACAATTACCCCACATAATAAATAAAATTGTATTTTAAATAAAACTATCTTTTCGGATTATTTCGCGGATTTATTTTGATTTTTGGTTCCCGACGTTTCGAATGCTTTACAGCAATCATGGTCACGGGAGAGACTAAGGTTATAGACGTTTCAAACATATTATATATGTACTTGTTACAAATCAAAATAAATCCGCGAAATAATCCGAAAAGATAGTTTTATTTAAAATGTCAATTATTCGCGTAAATCTAAGAAAGTATTAAAATTGTATTTATCTGTGGACAAACTTCACATCACTATGTATATTTCATGTCATCGATAGAACTTTGGGTGTTTTCTTCTACTTATTTCCTTATCATATCAGAAGCAGATTTATGGTTACGGATAATATAGAAAGCTAAATGGAAGCTTAGTGGACAAGAAAGTTAGGCTATAATAAAATTGTTATTTGAAAAAAAATATAAAATTGTACACTAATATTATTTCATAGCAATAACAATGATTAAATAGAAAAAATCACTTAAACCTCAGAGTTTATAGAATTGTTTGTTAATAAAAAAAACCATTTCCGAAATCTATACATATAATAAAATTCTAACTGATTCGAATCTGTACATTAATATTTTCTTTTGGAAATTTTATTGAAATTGTCATTATTATCGATATAGAGGGAAAATGTATAATTTTTAGAATTTTTGTCTGTCTTTCTATCTGGGGACGCATCACGAGGAAACTGTATCGATTTTAATGAAATTTAATATAATGATAGCTGATTATCCGGATCAACATACCTATAGGATACTTTTTACTGTGTGAAAATATATCATATTTGAGAAATCTGTACTAAACGTTAACAATCTAGCTAGTCATTCAATAAAATAAAAATTAACATACGATATGTTCATTTTCATTCTATTCTTGTTTGTCTCTACCTCCCTTGCTTTATTTTTATATTTTCTGAACACAAGAGTCATGTCGCTTCGTTCACATTTTCATAATTTGCCAAGTCTTAATTGGATGTCGTGTTTATTTACGTAATACCGAATATGTTAAAAGACAATTAAAATTTAACAAAAGTGTATTTATCTGTGCTTGTGCACATTATTGTTAAACATATTTATAACTAGCATTGCCCGCGGCTCCGCCCGCGTCCAGATGACCAAATACCAAATTCTCAGGTTTTACATATTATTTTAATCTTACATTGCAGTTTTTGAATATTTTTTTTCAAAAATGAGGTATTTTTCCGCGGTAAAAAGTATCCTATATGTTGACCTGGATAACCAACTACCATCATACCAAATTTCATCAAAATCCCTCCAGTGGTTTTTCCGTGATGCGGTAACAGACAGACAGACAGAAAGACATACAAAATTTCTAAAAACTATAAATTCGGCCTCTGTATCGATAATAATGTCTATTTCAATAAGATTTTCCAAAAAATATTTAATTTACAGATTCGGCTTAGTTACAATTTTATTATATGTATAGATGTACTTATAAATCATTAGATCTCAGGGCACATGAAGTTCTGTCGTACCTAATATAAAATTAATTAATTACACAACAGCGTTATTTTTCGGTCGAGATTTTGTTTTTCTTTTTTGGCTATTTACCAACAGATTGTATTGTGAATATATTTCATTTTGGATCAAAGTAATCATAAAAAGGTAGACCTTTGTTGACTTTAGCACGACTCATCAGATACAATGTGTATTCTCAACAAAACTAACATGTTGTTTAAATTATGTACTACCCTCAAGCGGGATACCCGCTAGTAAGTGGGTCGGGGATCAAAGATAGCCAATATCCGTTCCCAGGATGCAATTTATGTCCTTGCCAAATTTTATCAGAATTTATTTAAGCTTGAAATGGACAATAAACAGACAGAGTTACTCTCACATCCTACCAATACGAATATTGGTAGGGATATATGTATCTATTATTAAAGTAAATATCAGAATAATGTATATAATATTTATCTATTACAGAGATCGCCAACAACATTTGGCGATATTTTTGAACCACATGCACCCGTTCCTAATGAAGCAGCAAATAGAATACGGTATATTTATCATCGAACAGGAAGGTAAGTTTATATGAAAAACGTATTTCAATCGTCACTGGCGAGTAATAAAATAATATTTACATATATTTTCCATCTTGTTTATTATTGACTTGGGTTCGAACCGTAATATATCTTCAATTCACTGAATGCTTTTATATTTGCATTTTCTTTGCTCCCAAACATACGCCATACGGGTTTGCTAAATATATCTACGGAAATTAGAGCTCAACTCAATCTTATGATTAGAAAAATCATTCTCTTGATATTATGAAAAGGAATATATTTTACAATACTCAAAGGAAATCATTTTACGAGTTTCTTTGCGGAAATGAAATTTTGATGTGTTTCTTCACATTCAAGCTGTAGGTCATAATGCGTGAATCGTACAGAACTTTAACACAGCTATATATATTGTATTCAAGACTGTTGAGTTTGTTGTGTATCTTCAACGTGCTAATCTCTGAAACTTCTTCTTCTTCTCCCTACCCATTTCCCAATCACTTGGGGTCGGCGCAGTACATCTTCTGTACTGCTGATAGGACGATCTCTGAAACTATCAGATCGATTTGTTTATTGAGGAAGGTTTTAGGCTGCTTTACATAAGGCTATGAAATTTTAGAGAGAAACAATTAGTTATAAATAAAAAACTATGCAGGTGCAGTCGCGGCAAATGTTAGTTAAGAAAATAAGAAGTTGCCACTACGTGTGATTTATATCTACTATGCAACGTTGTAGTTGTTCAACTCACATAGTAAAATATACTTTTTTTTTCAATTCTAGGTAATAGCGACTTCAATCGTGCCAAACTAATGAATGTAGGTTTTGTGGAAAGCCAAAAGCTGAAGCCCGGTGGATGGCAATGTTTCATTTTCCACGACATAGACCTCTTACCGCTCGACTCCCGAAACCTGTACTCGTGTCCGCGACAGCCGCGGCATATGTCCGCTTCCATTGATAAATTAAATTTTAAGTAAGTTTATTTGTTATTTATTGTATTGCTTTGACTAATATCTTTAACAATGTCCAAAGAAAACAAAAAAGTACTCAAATATTATATTGTTCATATTTAATTGCATGAGGTTTAGACATGATGTCATTTTTAATTTACAATCAATGAAGAATGACTGACATATTATGATTATATATCATAATGATTTAATATGTTACTACAATGAAATTTTCAAAAAATATATTTTAACAATTGTAGAATAACATCTTGTGTAAGTCCGTTTTTTTGGTCGACAAAATTAATTTTAACTCACTTCTTTATTAGGCAAGGCTTTTTATTTAACACTAAAAATATTTGTATATAGAATTTTATAGACATTATCTCGTCGTCCACCGCTAACCACGGAATCCTTCTAAAAGATACAATAATAAACATAATTTTTTATCGTTTTGTTCCTGAGTCTGCTGTAAATATTTGATATATTGGGTTGGAAGGGTTTGGTTATTATTATATGTCGATATCGTCAATGATATGAATACAAGTATTTTTTTGTTTCTAATATTAGTACAGAACACCTATTCTTATTATTTATATCAAATTAACAAATTATTAAGGCAATATTTGATGTTAGGTTACCGTACGAAGATATATTCGGCGGCGTGTCCGCCATGACGCTGGAACAGTTCACTAAAGTGAACGGTTTCTCCAACAAGTACTGGGGTTGGGGTGGCGAGGACGACGACATGTTCTATAGGTGAGTATTTAATCTACATTATATATATATATATATATATATATATATATATATATATATATATATATATATATATATATATACACGAGTATATAACAAAATAATCTAATATATAAGTTATATAGTTATATATTTATCAACAGATTGTAAAAACTTTGTAACGAACTTTGCAAATACATACTGATTACTTAAATATTTTTGGGCTAAAATTATCTTACGGTTATATTTATTAGAAACATGTCTTCAGTTTTTATTTATGTTTCTATTAGTTTTCTTGCGTATCTTTTGAAATGGGCTTGGTGTATTTCAAATAAAATATAGTTAACTAGCGGCATTGCATTTACGCACGAGGTGTGGGACTCACCGGCGTAATAAAGCCAGTACTACCCACTAAAACCCAACAAAACCTTCCTCCGCCTTAATGGGGCGTCGCAGGATCGCTTACGCATTCAACTACAATGCCCCGACGGCAGGTCTGCCGAAGCAGATCACCACAACCATGGGGTTGCTCCAAGGTCCACTCTGCTATCAGAGAAGTATCAGGAGCAACCCATATGGTACACCGCCCCCCGAAGAGGGCCACCTCCCACCGCCCACCGAAGTGGGCAACCTCCCTGTGCGTTTCTTAGCTTCGCGCCCGGTTGGGTTGCCGGGCACTACTGAGCCCCCCCACCACGACAAGGTGAACGCACGTTGGGGGGGACTTAGATGATACTTACTGTATCAGATATCTTTAAAATTGTTGTAAGACATACATAATTTAAACTAACTTTTATTGGCCAGTCGAATAATACCTAATATAAAATTTATCGATCAAGATTGTTTACTTTTCTGTTTTGGCTATTTACCAGCAAATTGTATCGGGACTATCATTCAGTTCCGTAAGTCTTATACTAACATTCAAGAGATTCTAGTTATGAGGACTTTCTCCTTTATATTTATTACCTATACATAGGAGTAGGCGAAAACGAAGTTTTTAGAAGCACCTGTGTATTAAAAGTAAATATTAAATGTAGAGCCATCGGCCCTGTCAGGAAACTATATGAAAATGATGATATTAAGTTTCAGACTTTTTATGGAATGTCCAAGAAAATGTAACTTCCAGTACAAATTTTATGTTTAATTCATAGCATTTAATTCGGAACATAGCCACTTCCTATGGCGGTTCTACCTAGTATAACTCGCGTCATCTAAAAAGAACGCTGGCTGTCAAGCTGCGCAGAAGCGATTTATCGGTCAAATTGGTGGTAAGAAGAGGGCGCGGGGCGGCACGGGGCAGCGGGCACGCGCCGCATGCTTGCCGGCGCGCTATTGGTTCATCAGTTTGAAATACCATCGCGCACACAAAAGTTTTTAATTACGAAATGGTTTTATATACAGAAAAGAGAAAAAATATTTTTGACGTATATTGTTTTACATAGAGAGAGTCTGATAATAATAAAGTTAACAATTAAAAAAATGTATTAAACGTGTTAATTTAATTTTTTGTAAGTAGATTAAACATTCTACACTGAATCAAACATATTTTAATAATGAATAGAATTCCATTTAATGATATTCTATCTAATATATTTTTCAATGTCCCTATCATAACTAATGAAGCCGCGAGCAAAATGCTATGAAAAATAAAATAATAGGCTCAGTACTTTTGTGCGCGAGTATACCCATGCGCAAACATACCTTCTCCACTTTCTTCCAGCGTTCTTTTTAGATGACGCGAGTTATTGGATGTGCGAACAACACTCGAGTCGCTTGTTAATGGCCTCGTGGGAGAGAGGCCTTACATATTATAATACCTTTGTCAACATATGACAATCAACGACTGTCAATCATAAATAACCTTGTGTGAGAAAGAAACAAAACATTTTTGAAAGCAACTGAAATTACCAATATTCGAATACTAGAATGCTCTTTGTTTATGCATATAAAAAAGGATAATATTAAGAAGGAATATGAAAAACTTTTAAAAAAATATAAAAACCGACTTCGAGGCACTAAAATGTGTAAAAAATGACTAAACTGAGGTTTTCATTTAGAATAGCTAATCAGATATTTTCGAACTCGATGCTGGCCGAAACAAAAAAAATTCTAAATCGGTTCAGGCGTCTTTGAGTAATCGGTAAACATACGTAAAAAAAAAGAACAAAAAGGAAAAAAGTATCCAACGAATTGAGAACCTCCATTTTGGAAGTCTCGCGACTCGTAGACTCGCGCACGAAGGGTTCAAAAACGACAAAAAAATCACGTTTGTTGTATGGGAGCCCCATTAAATATTTATTTTATTCTTTTTATGTTTTTTAGTATTTGTTGTTATAGCGGCAAAAAAATATATAGTTATAAGATTGGTCTTAAATATCTATTTACAAGCTAAAACATTTTATTTACAGGTTAAAGAAGATGAACTATCACATAGCGAGATATAAAATGTCAATTGCACGATACGCCATGTTAGATCATAAGAAATCTGCACCTAATCCTAAGAGGTAAATAAAGTTTCTTTGTATAAAATAATAAATTATTATGTTAGGTGTGGTGCCGAGGTCGGCCCTAGCTACGTCGACCAGTTTTGGTCCTTTGTAGCTCTTCTTTGTATATTACTATTTATTATAAATAAAAAAGAACGACACGCATTTTTCACCAACTTAGAAAAAGGTAGATATCATCTTTTTCAATTGTAAAGCGATTTATATGATATTTTTTTTTAGTGAACAGGCTACAGGGTTTTTTCGACAACAAACGAGTCAAATGTTTTTGCCAATCTATTATTTCTTGTTTTATTTTATTTTTTATTTTATATACGTACATTTTATAATTTATTTATGACTGATTTTACACTCTTCTAATTATTATCTTATCTTCTAATATATAAGACTATCGTGTCACAGTGATTGTAACAAAACTCCTCCGAAACGGCTTGATCGATTTTGATGAAATTTTGAGGAGAAAATAGGACGTAAACTATTTTTCATACCCGTAAATGATAAGGGTGGTCAACCCTAAAAAAAATATTTTTTGGAAAAAAATTTTTTCATTTTTTTTATGATTAATATGGCATTAAAAATACAAACAAACCTAATTTTTTAGGGACGAATCCGAGCGGAGCGAGTGTGAGTAGCTAGTAATATATAAAAACTACATTTCCTAATTGCAGTTCATAAATAGTTAATTACTATACATATAATAGTCTTTGTAAACATAATTATATTTTCTTTTTTCATCTCTTTTTCAGATACCAACTGCTATCGCAAACTAGCAAAACATTCCAGAAGGACGGTCTGTCGACGCTCGAGTACGAGCTGGCGGGCGTCACGCGCCACCGCCTCTACACGCACGTCGTCGCCAACATCGACGAGCGCAGCTGACGGACGTACCTCGCCAAACTGCTGTTTGGCGACAGGTAGGTATGTGGTGCCGCCGTACACTGGGTTCACAGCAGGGCTGCCAGATCGTATAATTGGATACGAAAATTGTAAAATATGGTTATTTTATGTATATTTCATTTTAAGTTATTGCGTATTTTTATTGTTTTTTTTTTGTCACAGACTATTTCTCAATAGTTTTGTTAGTTTGTACAATAAATTTGATTTGGTATAATTTGAGTGAGCCAGCGGTATAAAATTAGTTGTCTCTACTGGCAGCCCTGGTTAATAGAGACGAAGCTTTATATAACCGTGTTAAGATTGTAAATCCTCCTGACAAATTTCGGTCACGGCCATTGAGATTAGCCTGTGCATCTGCACATGTTATAGTGCATTTTCTGTCCCATTTACTCTCAAATCTGAACGTAAAAATACTGTAATAACATCACAGCCTGCTAACCCATACAGTCGTCTAAAGAACGTCTAGAAAGGGTCATACTTTTATATGACATTCAGAAACTGCTTTAGGGTTGACGGATATAAATGTAACTTGCCACGAGATGGCGCTCCGATGTTAACTCAGATCCGTTAGCCATTAAAAAAAATTTGACACCCCTAGCATTTGACAGTATTTTTTTTTAAACAATGGGCTATTGCCTACAGTATGGGGTTTTATATTGTGCTATATCTATATGTCGAAGCGGTAGTCGTGACAGCTATCGAACAAGTTTAGTTACGCGCTGCTAGTTGACAAAACAGGTTTTTTCCGGTTCGACCTGTTGACAATCTCAAGCTTAATAGGAAACGCACACACCGTCGCCATAAATGGTGTACCTATTGTCGCACGTTTGTATGAAGCTTTGTCTCTATAGAGATACTTACTCACGTGGTACTGCGACGCGCAAGCCACTTCTACTTTATGCCTTTTTACTCTGTGTCTCGTTATATATGTATCATGGGGGACATGACGTTTTGTTATTTTATTGTTTATTTTTTATTATTGTACATTTAAACTTGTGTGTGCGAATTATTTAGTTTTATATCATATTATGGTGTTTTGAACGTTTCGTTTGTTTGTATTTGTAAATTTTAACGATGCGTTTCAGATTTTTTAAGTTTTAAGTTACAAGAAGGAATTTAATAAAATTTAGTACACACATAAATGTCATGTAACCCCCCAAATAATTTGTGTTGTTTTCTTTTAATTTTTTGTGCTACACGAATGTATAAGTTCTGAATATTATATTTTTAGTTGTTTCAAAGAAAAAATTGTTTAATGAGATTAAAAAAAATTGTTACCTAGGAGTGATATGATCTCAGGCAACTGAATCTATTGTTTTTGTATTATGTATATCTGTTCGACATATAGTGAGAAAGTGAATATTGTCCTTGATAATTTTAACGTATTGTTTTATTATTTTCTTTTTTTTTGTATCGGTCCCTAATTTTTCATCAACTTTGAATGTCACACTGTAGTTATAAATAGTAAATAATGTAACTTGTATAATAAATAGATAGATATCTAATAGTTATAAATAATTTCATAAACAACCAATATTATTAAAGAGTTATTTTAATTTTATTTATATATAATAATAAGTATAAAATACAGTCATGATTTCGAATTCCTAGTCTGAATTTAATGAATACCTGCTTAGAAATGATAATAGTACTTGGTTAGAAAATTGTACTAATTACCAAAATAATTACAAAGGTTGCTTGTAACATTTTCTTTTGAAGTAAAACTTCTTTAGGCGTGACTAAGAAGTAAGTCAATACACTGGAAAAATTAGTGTCGCGGAAGTGAGATTTACTATTACAAATTAAAAAAAAACTATATATTTATATTTTTCTAATAATAATTAGTTATAAAAATATATATTCATTATTAATAATTTTATAACAATTATTTCTTATAAAAATGAATATTTATTTCTTATAATTTTATAAATTTGATTTCTTTATATTTTTAATTCAACGCCAAAGAAGCTTTACTTCAACCGCGCGTAAAAGTTACACGCACTCATTTTTTTATGGTAGACGATCGACTACAACATATTTAAACGTCGAATATAGTTTTAAAATAATATATAAAGAGGACAATAATTTTGTTTTGTTTTGTTGGCACAATTGTTATTTAGGCATAACTTTGATTAAGTCCTGATGATTAAAAATGAATAGATATAATGTGTCACATTAAAATTAACATTTTGCAAGAAATAAATAAGACAATACTAAAGAACAATGTAAATAGACCTACTTTAGAGATACAACTCTGTTTATGAATTCATTGTAATACAATTAGAATTATTGAAGTAAAATTCGAATGTAATAACGCGGCCTAATAAATATAAAATGCCGACCCGTTCAGTTAAAACTTACCTACGTATTGTCTTAATATTATTCACCTACGCGTCAAAGCTATTTTTTTTTGAAGATCACATCTTTCTCTGTTGATGTTTTATTAATATTATTATATTGTAATTATTTATATTTTTTTCATAATTGTTCTTTCTAGGACTATAACTTATAATATGCGTCGTTTTAAATTTTTTTTATTGATACATCATAAATGCCTAAAACCTTAACAAAAGGTGCCTATGTCTAACGAAACCAAAAACTTATATATTTAATTATTTTACATCACATTTACCAATTATGATTAATGTTGTTTTAGAAATGCCTATCACTAATTGCGATAAGATGTCAATCTATCAAATACATTGTTTATTAGTGTACTTATCTTAGTCTAACAAATAATGTATATAGCTATAGATTATTATTATTATTATTATGCAAAATATTTTCGCTTTTCAGTAAACGTATGTGTGCCTTGGGTCATCCTTGTTATATCTGTTACTAAAATCAAAATTTAAAAATTAATAATAAATAAACAACTTATAGTTCTTAGTAGTGGCCATCACATGAATTATTACCAAGTAAATTATTTTAACATTTCCAATATTATTTAACATTATTATTGTGATATCTAAGCGAGTCTCAATTCGCAATTTTATTTCTATATTTGAATATTTTAGTTGTAAGGCTTTTGTGATATAAAAGTAAATATCGAATTATAACCATGCTTTGTATTGATTGATGTAGGTTTTTAAAAAATTTTAATCTCAAAAAAGTAAAGTTTGCATACATTTTTATAATAAATTGTATAATACTTAAAGGTCAAAAACTAAAAAAGTATTTTAAATGTTTTTTTTTTTAAATTAATATGTCAAATTCTCAGGCTAAGGATATAATGACGAAGTCGAATTTATAGTCATACAGTGAGTCTCGTATTATAACTTTTTTAATTTTATTTATTAACAATAATTTTCTAATTTACCATTAACTGAATAAAATATTTAACAACAACATAATAAACATAAATCATACAAAAAAGCTCACAAATATAATGGTTTCTTTCTTTCATATTAAATTTTATAAAAAGGCCGGGAAATCGGTATTAAATATAAATGGTAAAAACAGCACAAATTGCGATAAGTACCATTTTTGTTTATGCCAATGTTTTATCTTATTCTTTTAAACTGAGATTAAATTCATAATTACCAACAACTATGCGACACTAGTGTTGCATAAAATAATATATTTTTTGAGATAATGAACACACATTGTTATTTATTTTATAAAATGTAATGTATTTCCAAGAGACGTTGTCATTTGTCATCGTCTAATCGACTTTCTAGTCGATTATTCAACACAACATAATCGATGTTTAATCGATATTTGTAGTTACATAGTATTTAATAAATGGAATAAGTACATCCTTAAATACAATTGGTGTGGCCTACATCCAGATAAAACAAGCGTATTTAGGACTCAATAAATTCCAATATAGTGCTTTTATAGAATTTAAGCTTTATATAATTCATATTTACTATGTTACATTCTCAAAGTCATCGTCGTTCATTATCGTTTTTATTTTCAATAATAATTTCATTTTAAATTTTGTATTACAAAATTAAAAAAAAATACAAATAGTTAATATGACGTCCATTTTTTTATAAATTAAAATTATACTTTTTTATGAAAACTGTATAGTCCTCGTTTAACTTTTTGTGAACACGCGTTTTATAATTAAGGTGCATGAATCTCGAAATCAATTAGTAATTTAAAAAAGGAATGAAAATTTCAAAAAGTGCAAAATAAATATATATTATTATAAAACATCAAAATATCATATTACCTACATACCTTATTAGACTCGGTGTCAAAGTATAAAAGTTGTTATTACAATATTAAAATCTAGCGGGAAAGACTATAAATTTTGATTTGTGAATTGTTTTAGTGGGTTTAAAGAACTAGAATATGTAACTTGTTCCTTCGTCATATAAAGAAATGCTTTAGATTGTTTTCACTATAATATAGGTATATTATACTTAAACTAAAATAACATTTTATACATGCAGTTATTGGTAACAGTAAGATAAAAGTTAAGTGTACAGACTTCGCTTAGCCATCCAAATGTATTGTAGAAATAGATATGTTAGACACCTTTGAGTTACTTAAAATATAATGGAGTATTTGTTTTATTTTGTAATAAATATATTGTTTGTTTTTAAATACTTGGTCGTTTTATTTGAACCAAATGTCCTTAAAATATTTATTCCACTTATATGCGAAGATGATGATGATACTTTTGTAGGTATATTTTGTATTCCTTTCCTCAATATAAGGGTCGTGGCGTGATGTTACATAGCCTTTAAGGCTTTATCCTTCCTTAATAAATCAACTGTCCAAAAATTCAGAAGATTTCTTTAAATAGAATTAACAAGATGAGCGTTTTCAAACAAATTACTATTAGCTCCTACAAACAGGTCTAACACCTAAATACTAACGGTTTACCAAAAATAATAGTGATATGTTCCTCACGGACGTACATGCATTTAATTAAAATAATTCCAAAATAATTTCAAAGTGCTTGTAAATGTCTATTTGAGTAAAGTAGGTATATGTTGATTCATTGATTGATTAAGAGAAGAAGGAGAAGGCGATAATCTCATTTAAAATTTAATCACAAGCCAAAACTATATATGTATGTATGTAGGTATTATTTGTTAGAAAACTTCATCGTAAAACTCGATCTATTCAAATAAAATCCTACACATGAATTTGAAGGGAACTATTAAGTGTATAATAAAATTTCTACCATGATAAATCCTGCTGTGGTCGAGTGAAGTAATACGCAAACAAATAAAATCTCAACTGATATTACTGACTGCTGAATTCTGATCCCTTTATCTATACTAACTTAAACCCTTTCATTTCAAACGGGTGTTATATTGAAGCACTAGCGAATTAAGTACATCATTCTAGGTAAAACGATGGTTTTTTCTTGGTTTTAATTTTTTTGCTCAGAACACTTATCCTTTTTCTAAAATAAAAGTAGCCTAAGTTACTCCCTATAACATCAGCTATCTGCCAGTTAAAGTCCCGTCAAAATGGTTCAGCCGTTTCGAAGATTAGCCGTAATAGACATTTTATTTTTAAATTGTGTTTTTCTTATACGTACCGTATATACTTTCATATGTATTTAGTAATGTGTTGTTATTTTGACGTCAGAAACGGACACTGCAATCTCATCTATATAGTAAACATGAACTAATTAGCCACTAAATCGTTCATGATAGTAAATTACATTCTATATGCCATGCCAGGCCCAAGTATCAGCAGCAACATCGAGATTTCTAGGGACTAAACTTAAACAGGTACGTTAATTCTCGTTGTACATTTTTAGAGTTTCGGCCGAATTTTTTAATCTGACCGAATGTTCGGCCGAAGTTCGTATTCGTTTAAACCGCATTCAGTCCATCACTAAACAAAACAAAGAGGCTTATAATAAATACATACAAGAAATAAATTCACAAAATCATTTTTCTTTATTCGATCACAAAAAATTTACATCTTACATATGGCTACAGAAGCTAGCAAAGTCCTCATGCTGTTAACATACACAAATATTTGCAATCTAATTAAAATCTCTTTGTGGCATTTTGAATACGAATATCGGTCTGTTACTGAATTGTAGGGAGGAGCGAAGACCAGCCGCTAACTGTCGCGAGAGACCTGTCACTGGCGGGGACTCACGCCATGAAGTTCGTCGCAGATACCACGATGGGGCTAAAGTGCAAGCCAATGTTAGGTCGAGCCAGCCTCTGTCGAATTCTTTGGTCCTGAAATTATTTATCCTTATTATTTTCTCCTCATTTATATACTTGCTAAAGGAGTCCCTCCTACGTTTTGTGTTGCAGCGTTAAAGTGCATAATTCAATGATAAACACTCAATAGAGTAGAGATGAGGTCTCGCTTGTCATATAATACCAAATGGGCAGAAATTTTATTCTAGCCTAGCAATGTTGTCCGGCTTTGTCCGGAGCATTTATGTAAATTCTAATAGTAGGTATTAATAATACTCATTTGTGTCGAATACCAATTTTTGTTCACTAAAGTAAATTTGGCTATAAAAAAATATTACCTATTCTCTATATAAATTATGTTGACCCCTATTTTGAACATAAAATTAGGTAGGTACCCATTCTGTGGTTATTGACTGACGGTAATACATAAAAGTTTGCAAATATCTATAAAGTTTTCATAAAAAGTTTTTGTCCTATAGGAACACACCATAAAAATTTTAGTTGCTTGTGGAGATCGAACTCATTGTCTTACGTCCCGGTTATTCAAGAATATATCTGCTAGAATTGGCTGTATAAAAATTAAAAGTATCTTATTAAATACCTGTCATCCTTTTCCTTCTCATTATCTTTACTTCTTTTTAATTTACGAGTAGGGTTTGTTGCCCTAAATCTGTAATATTTCGGCATTTTTAACTTAAATTTGGCAAAAAAATATAATAGTTACACAACAACCCAAAATGTCATTATGTTTTCAATGATAAATTAATGATTGATTATTTTTATAAACTTCCAGTGTTAAAAAAGTTTGTATACCAACTGATGTACTTTTTACTGTTGTGAGACTGATATTATTTGATGGGCCTTGAAAAAAGTTATTTCTTCCAAACCTATCGAGTGTGAAATCAAATTTCAAAATGAAGATTTAACGAAGGATTTAACATACACACATATTATTATTATGCAGTTGAGATATATGTAGGCACGTGTAATTTTTATAAACTTATGTAACGCGGGGTTTTTACAAACAACGGTGATCGCGGGGTATCGTGTCGGAACATGTACGATCCTGTAGGGCCGTGTTTCGTGCGATCGTATAGTTTAGGCGCCCGCGCCCCCCCGTCCCCCGCGAACGCGTGAGCGACGGCGTGGCTCGACCAGGCAGAGAGCCGCGAGCGCCGAACGCGTAAACATTCATATCATAACGATCCTCCACGACTCTCATTTTCGCGCAGTTGTAAGATTTTATGTAATTTTTTGTGTAACTTCCATAACCATAAGTTTTCTTGTCAAACCTCAAGTGAAATAAATATATTTTAATAGACTGTTGTGTACCTATTAAACTTAGTTATTTTTATAATTATTTACATAAAAAAGAATGTAAAATATTGTTAAAGCAATGTTCTTCATTTTTTTTTTATCTTTATTTAAACAAACGTAAATATATCAAATATTTACATAATATTTAAAAAAAAAGAATTTAAACGATTTTTCTGCGGCCTTAACAGGCTTTAGTGGGCAAATAGTAGTAGTAGTTTCTTCAGCGGCAAACGATGAAGTGCTATTCTTCAGCAGTTGAGTCTGTCCTTCTTCAACCGGTAATGTTCCAATTTCTTAAAACAGTGTCCCGATGATTAGGATAAGCCCGCTTAACGAAGTCCTCTTGAACGACATTATTCCTTCACTCTTCGATTTGGTATGAAGCTGCTAATTCCTATTGCGCATTATATACCCTAAATTATTATTCCTTAGTGCTTACGATCCAGGAAAATTTAATTACAAAATATCTTTACTTTACCCAAAAGATCAAAGGGGCACCATGAAAACCCAATTAATATTTCTGATAACATTAACTGATAGCAAAAAAAAACCTAATTAGGCTACCAGAGCCTTGATTTCACAACATTAGATTTTCGTATTTGAGGGTTGAAGATTCCAATGATTCATGTTAATTATCTACTACAGGAGAAATATTGGTACGGCATTTCAATTTCCATCGATTTTCACATTCTAATTTTAAGGGTTTGTTTAAATGAAACCAGTAATTATACAATACATGCTTTTACTAAAATAACTAGGTTCAATATTTGATATTTTCCATACAAGTGGTATGACAATTTATGTAAATAGATAACAACAGATCTTCAAGGTTTAGCCACATAAGAATAATGTGACAAGACTTTCCAATCAATCCAAGAGCCACGTACTGATGTCATTGCAATAACGGTGTACCTCAGAAGCCCTTGCAGACTCAATCCTCCGATTTTCTTTTCCAAATGTGTAGCTACGTCAATATTATTCTTGTAGAAATTCATTCGATTTTGAAGATCCCGCAACACTAATTTCGCTGACGTTACTTCTAGCAGGATTACCTTCATGTCAAATTGGTTTTCTTCAGTATTCAATCCACTAGCATTATCCATAGGCGTTGATTCATGATTGGTGATCAGCGGGCTAATTGTCTTCTCTAGTTCATCACAAGATTCCATGAGCCGGTTCAGTACAATCTCAATAATGCTTGTCACAAACCATTCTCTCGTCCTGGGCTTCTTGAGAAAATCTTTCACAGGTACGCTATTCCAGAACATGTACATATCGTCAGATTCGTAGCCAGGGGGCTGTTTGAAGATAAAGGTTGTATTTGAGAGTACCTTTATGTACTTTTCACTTGGGTAAATCAGATAATCATAGAGTCTGTAGACCAAGTTCTCGTAACTGGGTGGTAGACGTCTCATATCATCGTGTGGTTCCATGTTTTCATGTTTGAATTCGAGTATAGCAGGATATAAAGGCTCATACTCTTTATGACGCATCTGCACTACCCATGCTTGACCCCCTACAAAAGAGAGGAACACTTTTAGAGAGGCAAGATTCACACATTTATCACTTTAATGCATCAATAATCAATTTTAATTGAATAATTTTCAAAATAGACATAAGTATTATAATATTAATAATCAATACTTACATGAAATACTGAGGACAGCCACGAAGAATACGGTGATAGTTCTAGTGAACATTATGATACAACTTCCTAAACGCTTGTGTGTATTGTTGGTTCAGCTAGATCTTTTATACAGTCTACTCATAGGGGTGTGCGAATATCGTTCGAATCGAATCGAATATCAATATTCGATTCGAAATTCGAATCGAATAATTCGAATTTTCGAATTATTCGAAATTCTTCGAATTATTCGAAATTTTTCGAATTATTCGGGAACTTTCGAATAATTCGAATTTACGAATTATTCGATTCGAGTTTCGAATGGAATATTAATATTCGATTCGGAACGAATAATTCGTAAGTTCGAATTATTCGCACACCCCTACGGCAGTCTAGTTATCAGAACTAGATGAAAGGGTTCAAGGGTCACGTAACTTCTAACTGGCTTAGCTTCAGAATAACTTGATTTCATCAGTTATTGAATTGGTTATGATTATATTAAATTGCCATCAGTTTGAATAACGTCTTTAAGTTCTAATAGCTCATCTATGGTTATAGTAAGTTTTATATGCTGCTTTTCATCTTCTGACACTATTAGTTCACTCACCAATAGAACACCATCATCTCAAACTGCATAATATGCATCTATCGTTAGCTAAGAAGTTAGAACCCCAAAAAAACTTTAAAATTCCAGCTACGATAAACGATTCACCTTAAAATCAGTCAAACAGGTCAATATCTTACGACACTATTTCTGTTTCATCAGCTATTTTTCCAGTAAATTCCATGTAGTATCTTATAGATGTCATGGTCAATGAAGCAAAATAAGGAATTTATTATTTTTTTATTAAATAAAAAAGATAAGACTTGTTGGTTACTTGAATAGTCACGTGATAAGTGTTTATCAGTTCATTCGCTCTATACCTATCCTTCAATTTATTCACAGCAAGAATTTAGTTACTAATTATTGATAATGATTCTCATATAAATCATAATCGAATCGACTTTAACGTTCGTTTAAATTTCCCTCTCTTTACTATGCAACTTACCGAAAGCTGTCGCTCTGCGATTTGAGACCCAGAGTGGGGTTGAAGAACTTGTCGTGTACTCAGGCCATGCTACCTATTTTATTTTATTTTATTTGAAAGATATGCCAACAATACATTGTACCTACATTCTAAATTATTATATTATAAGATTACTTATTCTAGTACAAGCATTAATTATAGGCATACACAACATTAATTACATTTCCGGCTTTAAAACAATAATATATAAAATGTTAAATACAATTTCTAATAAATATTTATAATAGATGAAATTAAATTAAAGAATTACACATATTAACTACTATAATTAAATAAGCATAATATAAATTAATATTAAAATTAGAATAATATGTACAATAAAAATAATATATAATAATACCTACAGTTTGTGCAGTCATTGACGTCACATGTCAATTTAAATACGCTAATATTTAAATCTCCTTATATAGAATCAATCTTACTTATAAAATTAAAACACATAAACTGTTATCCATAGTTTTTTTTTGAACACCATAATTAAGAATACATGATACATTTACAAATTACAAATCTTATTACGTAGCCGCGTTTTGATTATTAGGCCGTAGCTAACAGTGATTTATTTTTTAATTCTTGAATTTGCTTAGGGTTTTTATTTACAATAGATTTATAATGAGATATTTTCAAACTCAGTGCCAGCCGATGCAAAGCAAAAGAAATCAATGTAAGTAGGTATAAATACATAGCAAATGGAAGTATAATATTTTAACTATAATTAACGTTCATACGTTCATTTCGTTCATAGTTTCACCTTGTCATATTTAACTATCAGATATTCATACCTTAAAGCATTGTCAGTATTATAAAGTTTTTTTAAATATTCTATTGAGCCATTCAAGTATGTTTATGCCAAATTTTATATGAAGACTAACGAACTTAAAAACATACTTTTATTAATAACTAAAATAAAAATCAGGCTCTAAAATCCAATTATAACATATTGGATATAACAATTATAATTAAAAAAACTAACCTACGGTCTATACTAATATTATAAAGAGGTAAAGTTTGTGATCTTGTGAGTTTGTGAGTTTGTGAGTTTGTGACGTTGTAGGGGGTAATCTCTGGATCTACTGAACCGATTTTCAAAATTCTTTTACCAATAGCAAGCCACGTTCTTTCTGAGTGTCATAGGCTATATATTAACCCGAAAAATGAAAAGGCTTTTTCGTGGTAGTCGGATTTGCAAAGTAAGTCGGAGAAAAAACGGTCGAACGAAAACGTTTCTTACGAACGCTGCCTTAACGATGAGAGATATATGATTATGTTCTAGAGAAAAGTTGTAGAGCTTAATAATGCCTACAAAAAAGTCAGCGACAGCATATGTCTAACTTTTATATTTAAGTCACAAAAAGTAGTTGTTTATATTAAAAAGATAATTTAAATCGGTAGGTCATGTTTATTGGTCATATTATCAACAATTATGAATTCTTATCAAAATAAGTAAATTTATCGTCTAAAATGTTTAAAACAAAAGACTTCCCTTTTACTGCATATAATTTGGACAAATGGTTAAAGAGATAATATAACATATTCGTAGGTATGGACGAACCCGAGCGAGCTGTTAGTCTGTTTTTCTCTTTGTACGGGCTAATCTCCGAATCTATTGGACCTATTTAAATGAAACTTTGCATGGTGGTACCTTATATCCCCAGGCAACGTCTTAGATACTTTTCATCCCGGAAAATTAAAGAGTTCCCGTGGGATAGTTAAAAACTATAACAACTTATACAGCTTAGTACACAAAAACTACTGATTGGATTTTGATGAAACTTTACAATAATATAGTTCATACATCAGAATAACAAATAGGTAACTTTTTATCGTGGAAAAATGTACTTTTCCCGTGGGATAGATGTTTTTATTTATCTATAACGTATTATGTACACAACATAGACCCCAAAACAACAGTTATTAAAAAAAATATCTGTTTGTCTGTTTGCCTGTATGTCTGTTTGTCTGTTTGCCTGTATGTCTGTTTGTCTGTTATTGTGTGCGCGTTTCACGCGAAAAATAATGTACATATTTCCTTCACCGTTAAGACAAATGGTAATTGTGTTAGAAATGATTCGCACAGGAAAATATCAGAGGTGCGAGACCCGGGATTTGAACTACTTGCTTCACTCGGTTTCCCAAGCGAGCGCTTTACCACTGGGATACCACTGCCTAGATACCTTTTACTTCAAGAAAATCTTTCTTTCCCAAGGGAAAATACAATAACTGGTTTTATCGAGTCCTCTCTAGAAACCTTCCGCTGGCTAAGCCTTAAGACATACATACATCAAAACAATATACTTAAAATTGTAGGTATTGAAAGGTCCTACAGAAAGGTTCTGAATAGTATATGTCTATCTCCTAAGTTACACTCGCAATATTTATTCTTATCTATACCTATAATAAAACTTAGTCAAATCGATGTGCGCGTTTCACGCAAAAGGTACTCAACCGATTTTAACTTAATTTTGTATAGTGATAAAACTCAGTACTCGGGTCAATATTTAGGATACCTTTTACGACAGGCTAATTATTCATTCCCACGGGAAAACATAATAACTGGTTCTATCGAACCGTCCTTAGAAATTTATATGGCTAACGTTGGTTCAACCTTAAGAGATAGATCAAAACGTTGTGCAAGAAAATTGTAAGTCTTAAAAAGGTCTATAGAAAAGTTCTCAATAATATGTCTATCTCCTAAGGTACACTCGCTATAACTATTTTCATTATTATATATTACTGTTTTATTATACGTTATTTATTCTATCTGAATATACATATATGAATAATAAAACTGTAGGGATCGAATGTCTGTACATAGATGATAGGAAAAAATGCTAAAAATCGAGTTAGTTCTCTTCTTACATCCCGTATAGGAGAAAAATAGAACAAATCCAGATTATTTTCAATTTTTTTGTTTCTCTGTCTGTTTGTCTGTTATTATTTTATTCTAATAGAATATTATAGGGATGGATAGGGCTAATGCCCGTACTAATCTTCGAAACTATTGAACGGATTCAAATGAAATTTGATACTTTTCATTCCGGAAAATTAATGGGTTCCCGTGGGATAGTTAAAAACTATAGTAACATATACAGCTCAGTACACAACAACTTATGCACCTAATTTAGTAAAATTTGGCATGCTGATACCTTATATTGCAGGTCTAACAACAGGTTACTTTTTATCCTGGAAAAATAAACGGTTCCCGTGGGATAGATCTGTTTGTGCTTTTCTAGAGGTGAACCCGAGCGAAGCGAGGGTGAGCCGCTAGTGTGTTATAATACTACATATTTGACATTTATTTTTGATATAGTACCTATTTATTATATTAAAAAGGCGGATAAATTGACATCCTCTTCCTTTTTGAATTCAGTTAAAAATAGGACTTATCTAACAGTAAGTAAATTATTAACAAAAAAATTAATATAATATGTACATATATGGCAACGTTTATATAATACAAAGTTTCCGTGATTATTTCTTCTTATGAATTATCATCATATATACATCTCATATTTTATAGGATTCATTCGAATTATGATAATTTTTGTTAAAGTTTTAATAAGGTGATTTTGTTAAAAGTTTTTGAAGACAAATACTTTTAATGATAATATGATAAGATATCAAAAATAGAGCTAAATATATCCTTTTATCCCTTCTTATTTCTTCACCTTTATTTTCTGAACTGAAACTGAAAATTAACGTGAAACGGAAAAATCTCCTGAGAAGAATCGGAAAAAATCGGTAGATGAAGATCTACCGATTTGTTGATTTAGTTTTCTCTACCAAAAAACAAAAATTAAAAGTATTCTATTAGCTCTATAATTTCTGGATTTCTACGTGTGAACCACAGTGTAGAACTCTCGAACAAACCTGAAGCGATAAAAGACATGTTATAATTCATTTTTGTGAGTATCAAAGCATATCTTGCTAAGTCGCGGTAATAAAGGTAAAGCCTAATAAAGAAATACCTTTTTGAAAATTAAACTGACATATACATACATATCTATGTATATAATTAATGTAAAACGCCTTTGCAGATTCAAATCTGTGATTATCTTCGAAGCTAGCAGTGCCTTTTCCAAACTTACTCTATTATACCAGCATAGTTTCTTCTTATAATAGTTCATTAATTGTAGAAGAAAACAAAAGTAAAAATAAAAGTTTTAAAAATAGCTTTTGAATCTTAAAATGAACGCGGACGTGCTAGGTTTAATAATAAATGACGATGATTGCACATAGCGTAAGCAAGTTTGAAGTGACTTACATCAAAATGCAGTTGTTGACTAGACAAACTGTTGAAATAGCAAATAGCATTCCAATTTCAATATTTAACGATGACATTAATAATTTCAAAGATTTAACCTAAATATTTATAGGCCCAGTAGTGGAAGACAAAGATATAATGAATTTATATGGGCTAGATGATATGGTATTACACGTACAGCCTGGTGGCATTTACGGACCTTTAGATTGCATTTCTCGTCAGAAAATTGCTATAATTGCAGTGGTACATGAAACACATATGTTAGTCAATTTTTATTTATTTTTGTTTCTTTCATTTATATACCTATACATAAATATATTAATACATATAATAATCCTATAACTCGGCTGTAATTTTGCATTAATTAATGACAAATCTTCAATTTTTTTTAGAAATTTTGTCTGTTTAATCGCCTGCCACTCGCCTCTGGAACTTGACCAGTTTCTATTAGACTTTTTAATTATAAAGGTTCATTCGTTTGGTTTGTTACTTTTTTATGTAACTAGATACCTTTATTTCAATTTATTTAAGTCAAAAAAATACTAGTACTACATAAATTCGCCATTTGAAAACGGGCGTGCGCCGCATCTGATTAGTTCTCTATAAACAAGTCGCAAAACTATCTTCAAGCGATACTACCACTATTTAATTGTGTGCAATATTTATTATTATTGATTATTTGATAAACGTACACTGTTTTCAGTCCTGTTATTTAAGTCCCGCTGTTCTGGGCACGGGCCTTCCTTCAACATGAGGGAAATCACTTGGCCAGTGATCTCCCTCATGTTGAATGTGGACTATGTCCACCAAACTGGATAAGTGCGGGATGATGGACTTCACATGTCTTTTGAAAAATTGCTAGGTTCTCTCAGACATGCAGGTTTACTCACGATGTTTTTCTTCGCCGTAAAGAAAGTGGTAATCATGCTGGAAACGATTCGGACATAAAAATATCAGAGGTGCAAAATTCGGGATTTGAACCCACTTCACTCAGTTTTCTATGCGAGCGCATGATCACTGGCCTACCACGTGCACTGCCCTAACGAACTTAACTGCAATTGTTACACTGTACACAAGTAATACTTACCTACCTATTGCCGTTGTCGGTAGTTCCGACAGCATCAGCGTCAGAGAAATCAAATCACCGCTAATAGGTATGCTTATGAGAGATTATACATATGTATGTATATTATAATTGCGGGCTATTAATAAAAATATACGAATAAGAAAGGCTGCAAGCAGTACGTTGTTAACTAAATAAATAACATATCTAAAATAAGTAACTTATTATTTAGATATCATAGAATAGAGTCGATAAAATAATACCAATATTAGTTTTAAATATATAAAATTCTTAAATGGTTACTTTTATGAAATATATTCGGAGACAAATTTTTTTATATATTTACAGCCAAGTACGGAACTTTATAGGAAGCTTTTTATATTACATGCATCCGTTTCTAATGAAACAGCAAATAGAATATCAAATCTTCATCGTAGTGAAAGGTAAGGATAAAAGTAGGTATGTATATTATGAAATCAACATAAAATTCACAGCATCCCCCATAGCGGAAGTTGTTTTTTAAATAATAGTTTTTTTTGAGTTAGAACTTTATAAAGTGGTCAATCGTTCTATTAAAGGCTATTTTAGATCAATTTTTGAATTTCACACGAATTATTTTCTAATTATTCTTAATAACGAAAAATTTTTTCATATTGAAAGCAAACACCATACCCCCATTTAAACGGGGCGAGCTATACAATATTGGGTTTGAGGCGGCTCAGACTTACTACAACAAAAGCTGGAATTGTGTTATATTTCATGATATCTACATAGTACTTTTAGATACACGCAATTTATACAGATGTAGTCGACGTCCTAAGAAGCTGATTGATTTTGGAAAACGATCCATGTAAGATTATTTTCTTGAAAATAAAAAAATATTAAATAATGATTCGTTCACTTGCGTAATACTTCACTTGGATGGCCTTGTTAATAACGAAAGTGGTAGCTTATATACACTTGTTATTATTAAATAAAGGCCTTGTTATTATTAGCGCTTCAATTTAAATTTAATAGATGGTTTTTGCAATAAAAGTAGATTTGTTTGATTAGTTATAATTGTGGTTATTAGTATTTATTTATTATATACTGAAATACAATTTACGTGATATGAAACCGTCGACCAATGGGCGATGAAAGACAATCTCGCTCTACAGTGATAAAAAAAATTATATTTCCCTTCTGAACAAAATGTAATTTTTGTTTACTAGTATCGAAAAAATTGTAGCGTAGTATCAAATACTCCCTTTTATTTCAGCCAGACAAAAATTTTCTCCATCGAATCGAAATTATAGAATCGTAATAATAAAATATGCTGGGGTAGACGCAAAACTTTATTTGAGATATATGTATAAGAAATTTCAGGTTTGGAGGAGTAATTGCAATGAAACCGGCACAATTCGTCCTAGTTAACGGATTTTCCAATGTAGCTTGGTCAAGAAACGAGGATTATGAAGATATGTATAAAAGGTTAATTAATTATTACCTATTAAAAAATAAACTAACTACAATGAACTAAAAAGTACGAAATAACTAGACGAAGGTTTTTATTTATAATAGGCAACTAATTAGATATTTCTGGATTGCTCCATATGGCGATTATGACTCCATAGCCAAATAAAATCGACGATACCAAATTATGCACACTTATACACTGTCGTCGGAAAAAGTATTAATAAAGTTTTAAATCAATAGGACATGCCATTTTTTATTTCATAATTTCAAATTATATGAGACCACCTAGATTTAATAAAAAAATGAACAACAACTCATAAAAAATGTAAAGCATCAAACATACTACCTTCTCTTTTTTTAAAGTCGGTTAAGAAGATCGTTCACCTTAGACATATAAATATATTTCAGATTAATTGCTACTAATTTTACAATAGATACAAATAAATCTCCTATTGCTAATTATACTACCATTGATTATTTAAAACAAATAAACAATGAGTAAGTATGCTTTACAGTATTCCATTAAAATATTTAATAATTATTAAGAGTAGTTTTGCTTCTGGATGTTTTTTGTAATGAATTTATAATTTTTAATTTGCAATGTTTTATAGATCTCTACGATCTCCTACTCTGGCACCATTATTTAAAAGATGGATTATCAAACCTGCCATCCAATATAAGTGAAATAGTATTCAGGGAATTTTATACTCTTGTCGAAGTTAACATTGAAACATAAAATTAACAAATATAATTAAAGCTGCATAAATAAGTACCTTTTGTGTTAGGACTATGAGTACTTATGCATATTTTTTAATTATATTTCTATTTTTTTTGTGTATTATTTTTTTGAAAACAATATGTTCAAAAGGCTGATATGCACAGCCATAATACCAATGAAAAACACAGAATTTGACATTAGTCTTAGACAGTCTGTCAGATCATCAGATGTCAATTGTCAATATTTTGTACTGAAAATAATTCATCAATTTCTGTTTATTATTCACATTTCTCCTGTGTTTGAAGAAAAACAAAAGAAATATTTATTGATAAAAGTTGTAATTATAATGAGCTTCATCTAACAACTGTAAAATGGCATTTTTAGAGGTAATAACGGTTTTTTGTTGGCAAATATCTAATATATTGGCAAATATAGAATAGATTTATAAGCTGAAATCTTGACAAACTAATCTACCCTTAGAAGCAATGCATTTATTAACCTGTTCTGTTATTTAAAATTATATAAAAGCCTGCTAACACTATTTACATCCATTTTAATTTCAGCTTTTATTTATTAAAAAATGACTTCATAGTTTTGATTGCTATAAGAAAGTACTAATTGTTATTAATCACAGTGCTCTAGGTACTGTATTCTTTCACTAATATTTGTATCATTTTCAGTGGCGTCGATTTACATTCTTCGATATTCATAAAAACATAGATAATGGAAAGATTGCTGAATGTCTACAAGTAAGGAATAAATATTTTTTTCCTACTGATCGTATGTAATTGATTCATGCTAATTAGTTTCTTTACATAAACATTATAAAATACTATTAAATATTGTTAAATGTAAGAGTAGAACTCTGAAAAAATCAAATTTATTTGTCTATCTGGAATATAATGAACATTAATAACTATGGTAGATTAGATAACATGAGTTACACTACACTATTAATTAGGTAAATATGTATTAGACATATTATATTTAAGTTTGAAATATATATTGTAAAAAATAATTTATTTTAGGATACAAATGTAACAGTAGCTACAAGTGGTAATAATCATGTAATTATCTGTGATGTGACTGGTTGGGCCCATTTAATATCTCGTTCCTGGGAGATCACTTCTTTCAAAGCTTATGATCTGACAGTGACTCTTGCTCAGCAATTACCACATGATCCTTATTTAGTTACTATAGGGGTAAGTAAAGATTTTATGGTGCAGTATAATTAAAATAAAAATAAAATTGATTTATTTCATTGAAATAATGTAATACAAACTACATGCAAAGTTAGCATTATGTACATATAAATAGAATAAATCCTTCTTCTAATTTAAATTTATTTACACATTTTGTATATATACAACATGTATGTATGTAGTATCTACAGATATTTAATAATTTCTATTTCTGAAATATCAATATTAAATAATTTTAATATGATTGATGAAATAATAAGCACATATTGAACTATTTTTATTTAACATTTCAGTAAATACTTTCATTTAGTATTTTTTAATTAAATTTTTCAGGAAGATGAAGCTGGTGTTACGCCATTAATCAAAGTATGGGACTGGTCTCGAGTGGATCGACATGGGAACCCTCAGTGTGTGAGAACATCTCGTGCTGTCCCCTCACACATGTACCCCACTCAAGCTACTTCACTTGCTGTTCATGATAATAAGGTAGTATTAAATCAATAGTGTTTGTTTAAATAATTTATTATTATGATGAATTATTGACTGAAGTAGATAAATAACCTTTCAATTTTGATTTTGATGTTTCAAGATGAAGTTTTTTATATTATCTGTTGCTATGTTATATAAAGGAACAACAACCACCTAATAGAAATACAATCTCATAAATTACTTACAACTTCTAGTACAATAAATGTAAATTACATTAAAAAATGATAAAGGAACTTTAACAGTTTCAAATATATGTTAAGAATTATAAAGAATGAAAGAATTGATGATGATGTTCTCCTAGCCGATTCCGGCCACGGCGGCCAATCTCAATGAGATTAGCCAACTGCGCAGGAGATGTTATAGTGCTCAAGTGTGCGCGCAGACACAGGTGCACTCTCTATTCCTATCACTCTCATACTCCGGTGGGACGACCACTCGACACGACCGGTGAGAGTGTCGGCGCAGGTCCGACGGCTTTACGTGCTCTCCGAGGCACGGGGGTGAAACACCGCCAACTTCCCAACTCCGGGCTGTTACTGAGACTTACTATACAGGAAGACTCAATAACTAACCTTGGCTCGACCCGGGACTCGAACCTCGGACCTCCGGGTGGGCAGCCGTACATGCTAGTCACTACACCACCGAAATATTTTATTGCATTTCAGAATCTCCTAGCTGTTGGTTTTCAAGATGGCTCTGTTACATTATACCGTGGTGATATCGCGCGACAGCGTAGTGGAAAGATGAAGACTTTGCCGGACACTGGTTCCAGTCCTATTACTGGATTAGCTTTCAAGTAAGTTTGTATGTTAGTTTTTAATATGAAATAACACAAAAGTTCTTAATGCAATGCAGTTTAATACTCACAAAATTTTTCAAAGTTCATCTCATAAAGGTACCTGCCCTCAATATGAAGGGTATAAGGATGGCCAAACTACACTTGGTCAGCATAAAGTCTACCATACCTTTTTTTTTTATTAATACCTAACGAGTAACAACTTACCTTTCAAAGATAACCTGTATTATATGTAAAATCATGTCCCAAATTAAAAGATATAAAAATGACATCACTTTTATAGCAAAAAAGTAGGCATGACAAAATCTTTTTTTTTTAATTTCATTTTTCGTTTTATCAGTCAGTTTAAATATGTTAAGGTAATATATTGTTAGAATCTTGGCTGTACAGCCAATTCACCTGTACAGAAACCTAGAAAAATTCAATTTGTCTATTTGCAAATTGGTTTAGGGGATAAACAGTAATGTGAGTGGTCCGCAGGGGCGCGGACCGGCTGTTCGTGGTGTCGCGCGCGGCCGTGATGGTGTGCCACACGGGCAGCGAGCGCGTGGCGGTGCTGGACGCCATGGGCGCGGCGCCCGCCTGCACCGTGCTCGCGGACGCGCACCGCCTCACCGTCGCCACCACGGACGTGTGTACACTCCTTTATTTGTAAATAAAACTAGTATTGGGGAAAACTTTCCGAAATCCAACAAAACCAAGATCACTTATACTCAGAGCTTCGATATATACCTGACGTACGCCTCCATACGTACACAGCCAACAGACACAGCTAACAGACGAAATTTTCAATCATTATTTTATTATATATTAATACATCTTAAAACTAAAAATTGAAAATTTCCGTCACTGTGTCTGTGTCGACGTGAAAGAAGGACGATTATTTTTCCCTACATATACTTTATAGATCAAAAATATGCATTACGATAGTTCTGATTTTTATTCTAATACATTAAACGGCTACTAAGACCATCTCTTGTACATAAAGTCGTAATTCTTGTTGATGTACAGGTTTTCTGTGAGTGTTCAACATCGATAAAAAAAATACTAGATACACAATCCCATGCAAATGTTCTCTTAAAACTGTCGCCAATTGTGTTTAGGTAATTATTCTTTGAAATAAATATACAACAATGTAAATTGAACCTTAAATGCAATGCTTAAACTTGATTTACAACAAAAAATAAATAAAAGCGCGCTCAAATGTTCAATTGAGCGCGCATTCGGTGAGGACATTTTTGTCGCTGATTTTTTGGTGGATGGTGTTCGATAATTTTTGCTTTATTATTATTAGGCCATATACTGCTACACGACAGAAGGACGAGGCCCGTGTTACGCCCTAGAAGGGGAAAAACTAAGACTGAATTGGTTCCGTAGTTACCTAGTAATTACATCCAATGACACGTCCAACAAAGCTTCAAGCTCTTCCACCACGCCGAAGTCACACCATATCACTATTTTGGATATTCAAAACAAATTCATAGTATTCTCAAAGACTTTTGAGGAAATAGATGCGGTGTTAACGGAATGGGGCTCCTTCTATATATTGACGAAGAAGAAAGAGATGATTTATCTAGAAGAGAAGGATCTACAGTCAAAATTGTCGTCGTTGTTCAAGAAGAATCTTTATGATGTGGCCATAAGAATAGCCAGCAGTCAGCATTACGATGTGGAAGGTTTGACCGAGATTTATAAACAGTATGGTGACCATTTGTATAATAAGGTAAGAATTTTACTTTACACTCACCGCGTTATATGACTACCGGTGGTCTAGTGGCTAGCATGTACGGCCGCAGATCCTGGGTTCGAATCCTAGTTATGGAGCATGATTAAAAAAAAATCCATTGTAATACTTTCTTAGATTTACACAAATATTTGACATTTTAAATAAAACTATCTTTTTGAATTTTTTCGCGGTTTATTTTGATTTTTGATTTCCGACGTTTTGAATCCTTTACAACAATCATGGTCACTTCATTTCTTCAGACTTCGTTTCTTGTACTATTTAATTTGACTAGTCCTTCAGTAAAATTTAAGTAAAAAATTTCTTTTTGTTTACTTAAAATTATATCAACAGGGTGACCTAAAAAGTGCAATCGATCAATACGTCAAGACGATTGGTTGGCTCGAGACTTCGTATGTCATACGAAAATATCTAGAATCCAGACATTTAGAACCTCTAGTCCAATACCTAGAAGAGTTACATAAAAAGGGATTCGCAACAGAAGACCATACCACGTTGTTATTAACTTGCTATGTTAAAATAGACCAGCACGATCATCGAGGGAAGCTGAAAGAATTTATCAATTCAAAGGATAAAGCCATTGATTTTGATGTAGATGTCGCTATCAAGGTATGTTATATAGGCTATTATAAAATGAGTTTTAAATATTATGCTGAAACAAGATATTATTTAGGTATATAGAAATTGTCATAGGAATCATAGTCCATTATAATTAACCTGTAGATATTAATTTAATTAATATAACATTATTAAGTATAATTAATAGGGAATATTCGTGTGATTTATATAAAGATCAAATATAATTTTTTATAATCCTTATTGCTTTTGAATTAAGCTTATGTTAATATTTTTTAATGTAATTTCTTTTTGATTAATAAAAGATTTATTAAAAAGTGCAAATATAGGTGGGAAATTTAAAGTAGTTGAAACGTACGTCATTGGTCAGACCGAATACGACGTCAAAGTATTATCATAACAGAGTGATTAGCGATTTTGTTGGTATAACATTCTACCTATGATACTGTGACGTCACGCCAAGCGCGCGAAATGGCGGGCGTTTAAGTATCCGTATGATATTTCTATATTTTTTTAATTGTAGTTTTTTGGAGTTGGATAGTTCTTTTACAATTATATAACGATGTAAGCTATTGTATAAAAAATAAAAAAAATCACGCATATTTCCTATTATTCAACCCACTTTCTATAGCTATTTATAATTTTTATAACAAGTTTGTTCTATTGGTGCTGCGTTAGTACATTTTATAATGAAAAAGTTAATGAAAATTCTAAAGACAAATACGGCGATATTTATCATATCATATACATAATAAATATATTACTCCTAGAGTCCTGCTGATACTAATATATGTATGTAGTTATACTTTAAGGACGTTTTCTCTTAGTACATGTTAAAAATATTTTTTTATTAATATTAAACACGCTCAGGTTCGTCCCTAAGTTGCTTCCCCATAGAAACTCTCACCCTCATTTTTACCTCCCTTAACGGCATTTCCGGTATAAAAACTATCCTATATCAATTTAATGTCTCAAACTATCTTCTTACCAAATTTAATCTAAATCGGTTCAGTAGTTTCGGAGCCTATTCGATATAAACAAACAAATTTTTCCTATTTATAATATTAGAATAGATTGAGTCTTTAATTGTGTATGTCCGTTTATTGAAATTTAACAATTTCCAAGGTCGTGCGTCAAGTAAGTGTGAACGACGCTCTCTCACTCGCAGCAAACCACAAACGTCACGACTGGTATCTGAAGATTGTGATAGAAGATAAGAAAGAGTTTAAGCAAGCGGTAGACTATATTGCTGACCTGCAGTTCGATGATGCTGACACTTATATGAAAAAGTATGGCCATAAGTTGATACAGCACGAGCCTGAAGAGAGCACTAAGCTGCTCAAATGTAAGTGGGCTTAAGTATTAGCATACAATATACATCACGGTACAATATACATTATACATACATATTAATATTTTTGTTTGGGTTGAAATCATCCACTATTTCACCTTGATTGGTCAAAAACGGCGAAATTTCACTTGAGAAAACAAGAAACTTTGAGTCCTTGAGAAATGGTTTGTTTCCAATACAAACTTTAAACCCTATTTAACCCACATTTATAAAAAATAAAAATATTAAAATATATATAATATGTATTTACAGAATGTGTTGACAGACTTCTGTTCTATTATAAATTATTTGCGGAATATTATATTTTTTTGTGAAAGATTAAATCTTTGCAATTCTGTGGTACCGTTAATTATGAAAGTTTACACTATTAATTATATGTTTTTTTTCAGTGCTCTGCACGGATTACAAACCCCGGTCCTCCCTCCTAGTGGACGAGAGCACTCTCTCAGGGGCATTCAGAGAACCAGACAGGGCGATACCAGATGACTTCATACATATGTTCCTAAGCAATTCAGAGAAATTGATAGACTTTTTAGAACACATGATCACCACTGATCCTAACTGCTCCAGCTTGGTGTACAACGCTCTTATCGAACACTATATTCATGTATGGTCAGTATTTATAATCTCAAAAATGATGAGGGACATTTTTTGTAGAGTGTTCAATTTCCCAACAAAAATTGGTTTTGGTCATTTGAATTCATCTATTGGTTTTTGAGGCATAATTTTGAAATTGAAACATAATTTTTCTTTTTTTTATATTAATTTAATAAAAATTAATTTAAAAAAAATTTAATAAAAAATTAATATTTATATTAAGAATTCCGGTTTTTACAGGCATCTTTCCTTAGTTCCCTGAATCTATTTCTGAGGGGATTTCGAAAAAAATTATGTGGATTTGTTTGGATCAGTCTAATAGATATGCATTATAAAATATCGTTCTCTGTGTCCGATTATGTGTTACTCGAGAACCAAAAACGAAATTAACACGATTTGTATTTCTGTTATATGTTACCGGTGAAACCCGATATTAAACAAAACTAAAATGCCTAGGTTTAAACAGTACTTTTAACAAACTAATTTGTCTAGTTCGAACAAGTTCATCCTCCGCTCGGGTTCGTCCCTACTTACGTTTTGACGTTTACTTTAGATTTTTCAGAGATGAGACATTTTCCCGCAGTAAAAAGTATGCTATATGTTGACCCGGATAACCAGCTATCATCATACCAAATTTCATCAAAATCTATCAAGTGGTGTTTCGTGGTGTGGCCACAGACAGGCAGACCAAAATTATTTCAATAAGATTTTTCAAAAAATATTTAATGTACAGATTAGTTAGAATTTTATTATATGTATACGTTAAATATAAATAATCCTATTACATTTTAGGTAAACTGGTATGGCCCATTCTTAAATAATTTTGCCTGATCTTTCCTCTGCAACACTATTTACATACATAAACAAAATTTAACTTAAACTCTAAATATTTTGTTCATAAAACGCACTAAATATTTATCCTATCGCATATAGAAAAAATATATACATAACGTTATATTCTTTATTTTAACAGGGCGAAATCTTCAGACGATGATAAAAACACGTATGAATCTAAAATATTATCATTATTAAAGGACCCTGAAGCTAATTACGACAAGGATCATATTTTGATTATATGTCAAATGCTGGGTTTTAAGAGTGGCACTCTCCATCTTTATGAAGAGAAAAAATTGTAAGTAAATTAAAAGAACAATAAAAAACATAGTTATGTTTAATGAATTAGGAAGTTATCCTCGCTTCACTTGAATTCGTCCTTAGGAATTATATATATATGTATATATGGTGTATATATATATATATATATATATATATATATATATATATATATATATTCCCTCTAAAAAAAGCTTAATTTTAAAACGGTCTGAATATATTTATTTTTTCAATGTATGAGTACTCTGTTGTATATTATATAAGCTATCATAATAGAGTAATCTAATTTTGGCCATACTTGTTGATAACTTTGTGCTCAAACTGTATTTTATAATTTTTGTAACGCTGTAAGATTACCAAATAAATAAATAACAAATGTCGGTGTCGTCAGATACCGCGCGCAGGTGGCGCAGCAGCTGCGCGCGGGCGCGGCGGGCGCGGAGGGCGCGCTGCGCGTGTGCCGGCGGCGCGGCGCCGCGGCCCCGCGCCTGTGGCTCGACGTGCTGTGGGCGCCGCCGCCCGCCGCCGCGCTGCCCGAGCTGCTGCGCGTCGTGGGTGAGGCCACACCACTGATAGCGTCACCCCAACACACCCCTAACGATACTGATAGTGTTACTCAATACACCCGTAACAATACTGAAAGCGTTACTCAATACACCCGTAACAATATTGATAATGACACCTCAATACATCCGTAACACTACTAATAGTGTCATCCCAACACACCTACGGGTGATAATGTTCTACCTACCTACCTACCTACCTACCTACCTACCACACTTCTAATATTCTCTTAACTAATACCACAGTCTACTAATCCATTCTACGCCTCCATTAGACAACTCGTTGTTTACATCATGAATAGATTAGTATACTGTGGTACTACAGCTTAGCCCCACCCATACAAACAAATCACAGCTTTAATTCAAGGCCGTCATACTATGTTGATTTACCTAAATCGTTGATGACTTGTAATGTTAATGTAAAATTGTTTATTTAATTTTATATGTTAAATGTATGTAATACAACAGCTATGCTCGACTGACACTTTTAGTCCAGTCATTTAAGCTTAAATTAGGTAAGAATCTCGGAATTCGAGATACCCAGCTGTAAGTCTGTAAATAGTTGTATATTGACACCCTAAAAGTTGTCTCAAAACCTACATATGGTAGGGTGTAAGCAACTATTAAATTTCAAGGTCAACGGTCACAAAAATCGGTTTTTTGCGCATTTTTTGGAAATATCTCATTACCTATGGGTTTTTTGCTATTTGTATTTATTATCAATATTGTAGAATAGAAAATTCTCTACAAATTTTGTTTAAAAAATTTATTATAACGGTGAACCGTTTTCGAGATAGAGGGCGGAGAGCGCGCGGTCACCGCATTACTTCAGGTCAACCGGTGCCTCCGGTCGAAAACGCGCCATATATAGTTGATGAACTATCAATAAATCAATGATTATAAGTATTTGTCAATTTTATATTATATTTTATTATATTATTTATTAATAAGGTTAAAATTCAAATATAATTCTTATATTTTCATTAACAATTCTGCAATTACATGGGCAGGTAAGTGTTGTTAAATAAATTAATACTGAATAAAAAGTGGATAAGTTAGGAAAAAATGATAAAATATAATATAATAGTTAATAAAAATTGACAAATACTTATAATCATTGATTTATTGATAGTTCATCAACTATATATGGCGCGTTTTCGACCGGAGGCGCCGGTTGACCTGAAGTGATCCGGTGACCGCGCGCTCTCCGCCCTTTGTCTCTAAAACGGTTCACCGTATAAAAAATTTTTTTAAACAAAATTTGTAGAGAATTTTGTATTCTACAATATTGAACATAAATATAAATAGCAAAAAACCCATAGGAAATGAGATATTTCCAAAAAATGCGCAAAAAACCGATTTTTGTGACCTTTGACCTTGAAATTTAATAGTTGCTTACACCCTACCATATGTAGGTTTTGAGACAACTTTTAGGGTGTCAATATACAAGTATTTACAGACTTACAGCTGGGTATCTCGAATTCCGAGGTGAACTTACTATAATGACTGGACTATTACAAAAATAAGAAAATTGAATTGGTCGATAGAACACATTCAAAATAAATATTTAAATGTAATATTATAAAATAGTTGTTTGTTTTCAGAGAGCGAAAAACTTCTTTCACCCATTCTAGTCATCGACTGCCTCACCAGCACGCCCGCCTACACGCTCGGAGATGTGCGCAAGTGAGCAAAAAAAATTGTTGTACTTTTGGTACCTTCATATCTAGGTACTAAAAGTAATCTAGGTGTTAGTCTGTGTATTAATGCGTAATATATTAGTATATATGTATTATGTATGTAAGTTTTTCAAACCTATATATATATATAGGTTTGAAATATATATATATATTTAAATCACATCCCTTCTATGTGTATCTTAGTGTTATTTCCTACACCTTATAAGGTTGTATTCACCATGTTATATTTCCAGTCTTTCTGTATTTTATTTTCTCTCTTTACTGAGTGTACAATAAAGGATATTATTATTATAAACGTTTATACTTATTTAACTTTTACTCATTAACTATTTCTACGAATATTTATCAAAAATTTGTCTTTACAGATATCTAATGGACGTTCTAAAGTCGGAAGACGAAGTAATAACCCGCGAACAAGAGCTCGCAGCTAAATATAAGAGTGAAATAGAGAAAATGAAAGCCCAAATACAAGTGATACAGAACGAGCCGATCACGTTTCAAAGCTCGCGATGCGTCATCTGCAATAGACCCTTGGAACTGCCAACCGTGCATTTCCTTTGTCAACACTCGTTTCATGAAGAGTAAGATATTAAGCTTTTTAATACTCAATTACTTATAATAAATACTCCTCCAATATTTTTATATCTATTTAAATAATAAAAAATCTGATTTCTTAATATATATAATTCTTCTGTACGTGTGTTTGTTAACCCTACTCCTCCTAAAGGGCCGATTTGGATGAAATTTTTGTGTGTATATTTAAATGGGCTCCTGGATGGTTTGAAAACACGATTGAACCCGGTAGGTTGCGCTGCAGTCGTTGTACCACTGATCGTATCCTAAACGACAGGGACGATTTTAATGATATTTTTGTGTATGTTCGAGTGGGTCGCTGCAAGTTTGAATTCACAAATGAATCCGGTAGGTGGCACTGCAGTCGGTGTGTCACTAAATTTTCAAAAAGTTTCTCATAAAATAAAAGTTTCTCATAAATTTTCATAAAAGTCACTTTCGCAAAATCATCCATTTTACGAGCAATTAATAAATCTAAATTGTTGATACATAAAATAAAAATCGATGTGTGTATGTATGTTTCCTATGGACTCCAAAACAGCTAGAGCGAAAGGAGAAGCCGCGGGTTCTGCTAGTTTTTTATAAATATCAAAATATATGATATTTGATATAATATATTAAGAATGAGGAAAAACGCAATTTCGTTTTTTAAGTAATTTAAAGTTTATAAGTATTAGGAAAATTAAAAACCATAATGAGTCAACAGATTCATCAATTTTTATTACATGTACGGTAGTCCATAATAAATATAAGGATTAAATTTCATTAAAAAACTAGCCGTATATGGAAGTGTGTGTGATTTTGTATGTGGAAATATAGTTGAAACTGTGCTGGAGAGTGACATAGGCTTTTTACTGCGGGATATTTTCATTCCCACGGGAAAACATGTTATAATACAACCCACAACAACTCATCATACCTATTTATATCTGTATATCTTGTGTATAATATAATATATAATAAATATTATAAATGTGAAAGTTTGTGAATATGTATTGATGTTTGTCACTCTTTCACGCCACAACGGCTGAACGAATCTGGATGAAATTTGGCATAGAGATAGGTTATAATACAACTATGTATGTATCTATGTAACTATGTATGTATGGAATAACACATAGGCTAAATTAAATCATCCCGTAAAAATATATGGTTCCCTTGGGATAGGTTTGTTTTTGTTTTATAATATACAGTCTGTCTATTCCATACTAACCGTTATATATAAGTGATCTAAATATATTTGTCTAACCCCCACCTCCCCCGGCAGCTGCTTCACGACGTACAGCGAGTCGGAGCGCGAGTGCGTGGCGTGCGCCGGCGCCGCGCGCGCGCCGCCGCCGCCCGCGCCCGCCGCCGAGCTGCTGCACGCGCGCCTGCACGCCGACCGCGACCCGTGAGTACCGCACACCACACTACACCACACCAAACGAGACGATATATATACATTTTATACTATGCTCTGTCTCCCAATTACACAGCATAATGCCGCACTTTGCCACTTTAGCGCACAAACACGAACAACGCGAATAAACACTTCCCTATATTTTCTGCTACTGAGTTGGTTGGTCACGCCAAAGCAGTACTTTTCAAAGTGCTAGATTGTGCGGAGTTGAGCATTATGCCGCATAATGCGCTGTAGTGTTGTAATTGGAAAACTACCATTATGATGTCCTCCTGACCGATTGCGGTCACGGCGGCCAATCTCACTGGAACTAGCCAACGTAGGAGATATTTTAATGCAGCGACACAAGTGCACTTTCTACTCGGCGAGAAATCAGACTCAGGGCCAGGTTTTACGTACTTTTACATCTCTAATTGTCTAATAATAATCTATACGTGACCCTATGTACCTAACAGTCGCCTATGTGTTATTCAAATCATTATTTATCTGTGTATTAAGTTATATCCAAATCCATCCAGTCGTTTAAGCAGAGGAAGTTAAAGTAAGAACAAGCTTACACACACACGCTCACACACATATACACACGCGCGGGCACACACACACACACACACATACATACATACACACATACACATGCGCACATACACACACACACACACACACACGCACAACTTTCTAATTTATAAATACATCTACACAAAGAGTACAAATAGTAAAAATATTTTATATATTCTCCTATTAATAAAAATATTTTTATTGCGTTTTTTTTAAATACGGTGCTTCAAAAATTTATTTAAGAAATTTACAAAGAAAAACACCTAAATTAAAAAGACAAATAATAAAACACCTGTTTACATTATATTGTCGCATTACGAATAGTTGAGATAACCTTGAAGTTTTAATTTATTTGTGCATTTGTTTCGCTCGAAAACCGGAATCACGGTCAAGTCATAGAGCCTTCAGGCTTGTAAATACTTTGTAATAACTAAGTTGTCTAGTGTAAGTTGATAAGGATCAATAAAAAATAATGATCACAAGCTTTATAATATACTATTATGAATTATAATATAATATACTAGCTTTATATATAGAATAAAAAACCAAAATCTGAAATTGCATTTTGCTATAATTTTGAAAATGGGTCACAATCCATGGTAGCCGATGCAAAGCAAATGTAATATATTTCGATACGTAAAACACATATTTACCTATTAGATTTCATATTTTAAATATTAAAATATAAAATTGACAATGAATTATTACCTAAATGAAACACATTACATACACCCATACACCCCCGTTTAATTATTTTTTACATTTTAGTGCCTGGAAGTCGGTTTTTATTTGTCCAGTTTTAGTGTAGATGTAATAAGCAGGTAATTTGTTAGAAGAAAGTTTTTTAATAACATGTTCGATTAAGCAATTTATTAAAAAAAATAATTTATTTGTTGATTTAAAAAAAACCGCTTGACCGATTTCGATAAAATTTATATGGGACCACCTGGGAAGGAATACCCCTTGAAACAAAAAAAAACAAATTGGTTCAGGCGTCTTCGAGTAATCGGTGAACATACACAAAAAAAAAGATTCGGACGAATTGAGAACTCCTCCTTTTTGGAAGTCGGTTAAAAACTCCATATTTTTACCATACAATATACATTACTATCTTAGTCTCGGCCTTTATTCGCACTACAACGCCAGTTTCCTTCGAGTTGTGAAGGCGAGAGTACCTTATAAATTTCTTATCACATTTTGTGTTGTAAATTAATTATTATCGTACAGATAACGGTTATGTTTGTGTGTTTTCGATATGTTTTCGCCGTTTACGTGGTGTTTTTTTAATGCAGCTGACGATGGATATGAAAGGTCGATTATTATTTTTTTAATTAAAATATTCATTGTGTAAATATCAGAATAATATTAAAATTATTAATATTAATTATGAATATTAATTATTAATATTATAATATATATTAAAATAAGCAACAGATGTGAATTGTTAAGTGAAAAGTATGTACCGATATAAATTAGTGGAATATAGAGGCCATTTCTATGTGGCATTGTAATTAAAACTTAATGTTTTATCAACACTACACGACATTGAAATTTTTTATTTTCATAATCGCATAGTTGCAATTTAATAACACTGTTGCTCGTATTTCGTTCATTGTGTATATAAATTGAAATATAATGGGATGATAAAAAAGTAGTTGTATATTATTAATAGTATTTTATTAATAATATATATTTTTACTACTTATTTAAAGTTATAAATATATTACACTAGCAGTACCCGCGGCTTCGCCCGCGTTTAAACTACTAAAAAACAAACTCTTTGACACACTGACAGCAACGCCGCCTACCGGGTCCAATTGTATTTTCAAGCCTTCCAGGAGCCCATTGAAATATACACACAAAATTTCAGTCAAATCGGTCCAGCCTTTTAGGAGGGGTAAGGTGACAAACACGTACAAAAGAATTATACATATATATTAAGATATCTTATAAATTGCCACTCGTTAGTCTCGCTAAAACTCGAAAACGGCTGGACAATATTGAATTATTCTTTTTTTGTTTCGTGGAGGGTGTGCCAGGGGTAGTTTAAGTATAAAAAATTAGGTTAAATCAAAAAAAAACAGCTGGAAAGCAGAATCGAAAAGTTTAGAACTGTTTTTTGTATGTATGGGATATACGTCCCGTTAATAGTAGTCCAAAAAAGTGACGAGAGATGACATCGTGCCCTACGAGAAAAGCCAAAAAATTTTTTTAGTAAAACTTTAACAGTCTTCAAGATTTTCTGAATTTCATGGTTTTTTTCAAAACTTATTACATAATACGTATAATTACGTATTATGGCAATTTTATTGAAATAGAGAAAACGTGATTTTTTTTTATTGAATATTATGTCTGACTAGATGTGTAACTGGATGTCTATTGCAGTTTCTCAACAAAATATTAGTGCATAGTGCTCGACGTGTGCGGAGAGCGGGTAGTGTGCGTAGTGCAGGTAAGGCGCGTGATGCGGGAATTGTGCGAATGTCGGGTAACTTGCGTAGTGCGGGTAAAGTGTATAATGCGGGAATTGTGCGTTTTGCGGGTAATGTGCATAATCGACATATTCTACTTCTTGACTTGATTTATGTATTCTAGCGACTTAGTCCCTGGGCCTAACAGCCTATGTGTTACTTCAGGTTACAGTCTATCTGTATATTAAATATCATCCAAATCCACGCACAAAAACTTTTACGTTTATAATGGTAGGCTGATTTCAGTTAACAAATTTGTCATTCCACGTTAACGTTCTAACTCAAATAGCAACTTAAACCTTTTCCAGCTTCTCAGTAGTATCAGAGTACTTCGGGCGCGGTCTCTTCAACAAGCTGACGGTGGTGACCGAAGCCCCGGAGACGCCCACCGCGGCGCCCGCGGCCGCGCCCGCGCCCGCCGGGCCCGCGCCCCCTCCCGCACCCACGTACGGGCCCGGGGCTGAGGCTAAGTTGAGGTTGCAGGAGGGGCAGAGCAAACAAGGTATAGATATATTAGGATTAGAGATACATATATTAGAGTGGATCGAAAAAAAATTTTTTTGTTTTTTTTCTTAGCTTGTGGATAGAATTTGTAGCTTATAAAAAACAACATTGTGTTTTGAAATTAAAAAAAAAGTTTTCTTAAAATTTTGAGGTGGCCCACTGATTTTTAAAATAAATAATTTAATTTCAATTTTTGGTTTGAATGAAAAACTTTTTTCGCTTGATGATCTTTGAAAACATTCAAGAATTGACGAATATAAAGTGAGTCGACTATGGAAGGCCACCTTAACAAATAAACAGACAAATTATTAAATAACACTTTGTTCTATTACGTAACTAATAAAACATTTTATTTTATTGCAGAGTTAATGATTATTTGTTTAATTTAAGTTTTATTGAACTCTACCAAAATGGCTTTGCAAGAAACAGGGCTCCATATAATGCCGATATAATAAATCAGTTGTTTAACTTAAAACTAACGTTGAAACAATAAAAATATTTGGTTATCCCTAATCATGATAAAAAGGTCTTTCATTAAAATAAAACAGTACACATCATATTATGTTCACATAAAAAATAGTCAACGAACATTACTTGAACACTATCGTAAAACTAAGAAGGTATTTGTGAAAATGTTTAAAAATAATTTTAATAAGCTTTTTACCGATATTAAATAAGTTGCCAATTATCTTTATAATAAAAAAATAATTGAAACCGACTATAATGGCCTTATTATGGGTTTGTTCCTTGTCAGGCCAAATATAGGTTCTTTTAGACTTGCAAATAGTAAACATGTTGGAAATTATTCGAACATGATACCAGAGATGCGATACTACGTATTTGAACCCACTTCACTCTGTTTTCCAAGTGAGCGTGTTACCACTGGGTTACCACTGCCTACTGCCTAAACTACTTGAATGGCCCTTTATATTCATTATGTTTTCATTTTTATCGGCGCAAATTGGTTTATAATCAATGGTTTATATAAAAATAAATGTTTTTTCTTTTTAAATTTCATTTACAGTATTTGTATCAAACACATCCAAGCAATTAGCTCCAAAAGGTACTTCGGTGATACCGGTACCAGAAGGCAGGATGCGAGTCATAGAACAACAACGGTACAGCTCCAGTTTAGAAGCTCATCTGACTAGGTTAGAGCCGGAGACACACAAGAAATCTCCTTTCGCATCTCCCATGGTTACTAGGAAAGAACCAAAGATATCAGCAGTCATCAATGAGAGTAAAGACAGTAAAAACCCCTTCGAAACTTACGATGAGTCTAAGAACCCCTTCGCTGATGATTCACATGATACAACGAACCCTTTCGCTGAAGATGATGATTATGATAAGAATTTGAACCCCTTTTCGTGAGGAAAGGGTTCACTTATGAACCTCTTGATTATGCGCTTTAATGATACTTTATGCGATTTTTGAAGTGTTTCATGTGTGTATCTTAAATCAAAATGAACAATTTTACGTCATTTAAATATAAAAATTTAATTTAGACATTTCACTATCGGATGATGACGATCTGTTCACTGTATGTTGATTTAAAAATGCGATGACTTCGTCACTCTGTGTATTCTATGTAAAAATATATTAGAATATTTTTATTATTTAATTTTTCTATAGTATTTTTCATATCCTCACGCTGAGTTTATAATTTTATATTAATGTTTCATTATAAAAGAGAAACTGATTACTTTTGGTTTATAAAAGTCATAAATATTATTCTATTAATTATTTTATTTTTAAAATGTATATTTATATTTATTTATAAATTAGAAAAAAACCGTTGTAGGAATAATAATGTATATTCAATTAATAAAAATTTACTAAGCTTTGTTGCTCAACGCGTTCTATTGCAATAATTAATTCATTTTCCTAATAATTTAGTAAACTCAGTGCTGGATACACTAGGGGCACTCGGGGCTAGTGCCCAGGGCGGCAAATTTTCAGGGCGGTAAAATTCAGAGGGTGAGAAAAAAATGCTTAGCGTTCTCAAAAATGCTTTTCTTTATTTTCCAAAAAATGATTCATTAAAAAAATAACTAGTACATTTTTCGAAAAATTGAAAACAAATTATTTTTTTGCTTATGCTATCAATATTTATCTATTATATGAAAAATTTCGATAACGACATCCTTTACAGTCCACGGGGGCGGCGCTAAAGTTGAATTGATTTGTTGAATTGAAAATCGATTTTTAAGGCATTTTCTGCCCCGCACAACCACTCTGTGGAACCAGCTATCGCCGGCGGTCTTTCCGAACCGCTACGACCTGGCCACCTTCAAGAAGAGAGCGTATTCCTTTCTTAAAGGCCGGCAACGCATCTGCAAGCCCTGCGGTGTTGCAGATGTCCATGGGCGGCTGTGATCACTCTCCATCAGATGAGCCTCCTGCCCGTTTGCCCCCTTAGTCCCATAAAAAAAAAATCCGGCACTGAGTAAACTTTATATTTGATTGCTTACTAGACCCCTATTTTTTACACCCCATATTAGTCCATATATACATACACATTCCTATAATGAATTTATTATGGATTTTCATTAGTGGATTTAGTTTAAGCAAATTGTATGTAACTATACTATTGTGATAATTGCAAATAAATATTATATAATGAAATATGCCATTAAATTGTGCCTTTTGTTTTTTTATTTCTTTTAATTTAATAATAAATTTTAATTAATAGTAATTCGTTAAATGAAATAGTTAAATTAGCACAAATTAAAGTCTAAATGTATAGATATGTTTTAACCGACTTCAACGATACATGTTTCTCTTTTTACAATGTTCTCCGCATAAAATTTTTGGTTACTCAATAAAGCTATATAATTTAGACAAAGTTTCAGCTTCACAAGTTAATTCGTTGTAATTGTTCAAAAGTACTTGTTAAAGTCGAAAACCTAATTGAATATTTAATTTAATTTATTAAGTAGATTCCGAAGTATCTTTAATTTCTTATGTTTGTCGTCATGCCAATTGTTTGGTATCCAACACTACTTCATGGTGTCATTTACAAATCATTTCACAATGAATAACCACAAGTCGTTAATCATAATATATATTTTTGGTTTTTCTGTTACAAAAACTATATATTTATTCACTAAAGTCCTGTTCGAATAAATATCTCGGTTTAAAAACGTAACACCGATTAAAATTATCAGAAAGTTTCTAAATTACATAATAAATAAACCTTACCTTTAAAGATTTATTTTATAATGTAAAGTATGTATATATGTATAATATGATGAACATTGCAAAATTAATTCTTAATTTAACTAAACAAATTTCAGTTACTTTATCTGTTATTAAATATAATAATAAATAAAAGCGCCATATTTAAATATACACTACATTAGTGCATACATTATTTTGTGTTTGTTTACTTTGATAATTTCTTTAAAACAATCTACCTTTTAAGGGATTTATTTGAACTATTTTTTCTGTTACTGATGAGAACCCATAACCGACCCCTCGCTTTAGGCTAGAAATATGGAATTTTGTTCTTTTATGCGAGTAAATCAAAAATTGTAAAAAACATTTGGATTTCGTCAACAGCGCCACCTACCGTGTCCAACTATAGCTAAGACCCATCTAAGTACTTTTAAAGTATATTGCCTGCCTATATGCCTCGAAAGGGTAAAGATAAGTAGTAATCTGGTCTAATATTTACGATTACAGATCCGGATATTCTGGGTTCGATCTCCGTGTCGGTCCAAGTATAAATATTATTATTATTTACTTTTATGACAAATAATTTTCTTACTTTGAAAGTTCGCAGTGATGTATGCTTTCTTACTTGCATCTTTTTAAGGCGCATGCCTGACGAGTATTTCTAAAAAAAGCCATCAGTGCTGCTCCTGACCTTTCACCAGTCGTGTTTAATTGTCGTACCACCGAACTTAATGAATACTTATGTTTGCCCTGTCGCTAGACCGTCATGGTCAAAATCGGTCAGGACCACATTATTTTAGCATTATCTCCATAAACTTCTGAATCTTCACACAATACCCTTTACGAGTAGAATAGAAAACCTGATAATTCATCGTTCACAACTTTAGATTTATTATTATTTACACACTGCATGTTGTTGGTGATGCACAACACTGCCATGTCTTGACTACATGAAGATGGGGATTACTTTTACTCCAGGATCGAACCTGCAGTCGGCAGTCCATCATCTTTATTAACCAACTTAAAAAGATTTCATGTATAGATCTCTTCTCAATTCTTTTATCATTTTATAAAAATAAACTTTAATATAGGGATAGAGTGGGGGTAAAAAGAAACAACAATATGGAAATTTTCAAAGCATTTTATTTATGACCTTTAACACTGTGTATAATATATTTTGATAGTACATTTAGAGCAATGAGTAATATTACCAATTATTACATTGTTCTTATTTTCATAAATCGAATGAAATTCATAAATTATATATAGAATATAATTCTTCAAATATCATCCTCGTCCAACAGACAACAATCACTATCCAATCACAAGTAGTGGTATACGGCATACCCTTGTGTAAGCGCTACTCGACTCACAAACTCCCTCAACATTCCAAATAACCAATACTTAAAAGTAAATTACACGAAACGGTGAACGTAATTTTAGAAAACAGCTATTTCTATAAAAATAACAGTATAGCTTTAGAGTACACTCTATAAAAATATATATAATCCAGCTTAAGCTGTCATCTCTAATTTAAAAAGATCTTTTGGAACTAGAAAAATATAACTAAAAAGCTATGCAAAAGAAGAACATTCGAGAGAACTTAGATATATTACATCCGGCCGTATATTATACCTGCTCACTATTTATCTAGATAAACACCATTTTGCCATGCAAAATACATTACGCTAGTAGAAAAAAAGGAATTTACAGCTTTGGAATGTTATAAATAAATGACTAGATAAAGAAAAGTTTTTATATCATACTCGACTTGAGATCCCTTCGTAGTGCGGGTATGTGTAGAGTGAGACAGATAGATAGCGACATCTATCTTATACATTATATTTGTGGAATAGAACGAGTTTGGACACGCAACATTCACAACTTTAAGTTAATGAAAAGGACGTTTTATGGGTAACTAAAGCACATCGTCGCAGGTTTAGTCAATAATATCTCAAACAAGTAAACATTGCCGACGACAAAATATTGTATTATTTAATTTTAATAAATATAAATAACACACAGCATGACTAAATTTGGTTAATACTTCTGATCTTACACCTATTTTCTCTATTCTAAGTTTATTATCTGGATATTCTAATGTTTTGCCGAGAATTCGTCTACGATTCAGGGTGCGAGCCGGTGACTGGACCATTTTATACGAAGAAAGCGATGACATATTATAATTTTCTACAATTTTCGAAACTCATACCAAACGAACTATTTAAAGACATTTATTTACAATGACTAAAATTTACTTAAGCTTACGAAGTTCTCATGAGATAGAATTATATAATACGTTTTTTTTTTATATCGAAAATGGTCACCTAGAAGCGATAGTTAGTGACGATTATTTATTCAACATTCATCGAAGCGGTAACGAGATTAAGAATCGGTCGGAATTATATATCGAACTTGAAACGAAGAGCAAGGGACAGTTAATATAAAACTATACTCACATCAATTATTCTAGCTACGGTGATAACTTGTCGATATTACAATGACTTCAAAATTAGATACGTGTTCAACATAACACCACAGATATTTATTAACAAACTACTGGTGATTGTTCGCAGCACAGCATTGTAACTATGTACAGACGTAGCTAGGGCTGCCGGACGCTTCCCACAAATCATAATAAAATTATATAAATATATTATGATTTAAAAGGAAGATGTAGTGTCGGGACAGCCCTGAACCGTAGCTACGTCTATAGTATGGATCAACTTTATCACATACGATGTAGGTACCTACAGAGCACTGACTAGATGTTCGGAATGTTCGTGGCGCGGCACACGTCGTCAAAACAACATGACGGTGAACACGCCGGCACATTAACCTACTTTATACAATCTGTTCAATAAAATTATTATGAATTAAAAAAAACAATCATATAAGGAAATAAAAACATAAATATTATAATAATAAATAATTTCGGTAAAAGCTAATTAATAATTGTCTTGAAACGCGTAGTCTACTTTAACTACAATGCCATTAAATTATATATGTATTTACAGTCAATCGATACTATAGTGAAATCAAACTTACGTATGACGTCACACAGCTACCAGCGACCGCTTCTCCGGCCCGGGCTTGAGCCTCAAACATAACCTACCGTCCGGGTCATACGTATATACAAGGTAGATTATATTAATAATATATGTAACATTAGAGAAAATCTATATATATATATAGATACTTTCAATAATTTGTCATTTCATAGAACATTGCATTATTGTTTCCTCGTAAATCCGTTATGGAGTCTATTAGAGAGACATCGCCGACATTTTTGTGCGCAACATTTAACTTACTGCACGTACAATAGTTTTATTCTAGGGGGAGGAAATTTTTAATACTTGGCATATACTCGATAAGAAAGTCCTTGCACCATCAAAACTTAAAACTAGTATAAGCTTAAAGTTATCTTAAGTTTTATATAACTTTTAAGCATAACAAGTAACAAATGACGAATGGGCAAGATTTTCATGACTATTTTCATATAAATAGACATATTATATAACTCAACAATTTTTTTTTTAATATTTGGCAAGAAACATTGAATCAGGCGGTGATGCAAAGACCGTAACATTTATACACTGTCAAAAATACACAGATAAAAAAACCTAGTGTAAAAGTTGTGCGTCCTACGATAGATATTAAAACAGCCCGCAATTTAGTCCAATGGAACATTAATTATTGTTATTTAAAGATTTGTAAATATATTTTTTAATACCCCATTCCCGCTATCGGTGCACCGGTTTGGTCCCAACTCACGCGACCGTCTTTAAAACTATAATTATGAACAATGTAAAAATATAACAACATATATAAAACACGCTATATTACGTACAGACCGTATTTCGCATCAAATGCCCATATATTGTACATATAATATAATACTGTTAATAAATGGGATATGCTAAATTAATTGATTCATTTCTATATAATTTAGAAGGATAATTATAAATATACATTATTATAAACTATTTTTATTTGCATGGTCCCAATTAGGACACAGATTTCAGTGGTATTTAAATTCTGCAGAACCACTCGTTTGTATGAAAAAAAAACTTATTTGTTTCATGTACTTAATATAATTTCAAATGAAAATTTTAAATATCTTTACTCCTCTACCAAACCAGCCACAGAGTTTACCTTTTATTATTTTATCTTTTGCTCGATAGTTATTACATTTTATATAAAGATATTATGTCATTACAATAACGAAGATTACATTTGATTAAGTAGAAAGTTTCAGTTCATCCGGCTCAGATCATTCAGACGTCTACAATAATAGCTACTTGGAGAAATCTAGACCGAATGCATTCTAGGTACGTTAATGCTCCGCCTCTAATCTGCAATAAAAAAATATCACGTTCTTTCTTACATAGAACGTCAAAAACGCACGTGATTGAAATGCATTCAGCCTACATACAGTCCTCGTGACAATTTTTGGCAAAAACGAGTATGAAACGTATGCATAATCTATATACGTATTTTATTATAACATGATATAATAACATCGATATCATAAACATATTCGTTTCACTCATTCGCACCAAAAACATCGATATTCCCAACACATCATTGGTAGGAACATCGATATCGCCTATATACAGGGGTATCGATTAATCGTATCGAGCAAAAGGTCAGGGGGGTGTTTTAATATCTGTTCGCGGTCCGCATCGCGGGGAGGGGTCTGTGCGCGTATATCCGTCCGTCGGCGACGCATTTAAAAAACGAGGATAGACTCCATTGTGAGAGGGTCTCATGCTGCGAGGCGCGCGGCGGGGGGACCGGCGGGTGGCGCGGGGGGCCCGGCGGGGGCCGCTGCGGGGGGCGCGGCGGGCCCCTCGGGCGAGGCGGCGCGGCGGCGCGCGGACCGCGACCTGCGCGCGAACACCTTCACGCGTGTATATACATATGGACCGAGCTGGCTCGATGTACATACTTACTTATATATAGGTTTAAGTTATGAGTTCTACTTTTGATTATTATTTATTATCTGTATTTTTAAAAATTCATTCAATACTTTTTGACATGTAATATTAATATTTTCTTATCAGATTTAGTATGAAAAATGAAGAACTTTTTTATCACTAAATAAAAATAAGTTCAATGGCTTTCAACAATATAAATACTACTTTTATAAGAAGTAAAAGAATTACTTGGAAGCAAAACAAAACAAATAAGTACTCATTCTGTTCACACAATACTTACATTTCCTATCTTTCACTCACTTTTAAAAATAAGATCAGCGGCCTCTGACAACATAAAAATCAAACAATTCTTTTGGAGAAGTATAACAAAAATTTACAAGTAAGCCAAAAAATTAAAAAAAGAATAATAATCACATCGCAAAACATTCATTCGCGTTCATTCATTCACTCTTAATTAAATATAATAATAATAAGTCAAAGCAGTCCATTCTCACCTGATCTGGCCGGCGAGCAGCGGGTTGATGGCGTAGAGCCAGTCGTGCACCTCCTTGTCCCCGAGGGTCTGCAGCAGGTAGCCGCGCTCCTTGCTTACCACGCTGCAGACAATACAGAGCATATGTACACATGTACAATGTATTTAAATTTATATTCACTCGCGTGCAACTGAATCGACTCAAGCCGTATATTGGTATATAAGTTTGATTTTTCGGAGAATGGCTTTTTATTTGGATTCAGTTGCACGCGATATATTATAGAGTATATGTGTGTATAACAATAATCGGTCTATTTAATGAGGTCTTTAAAAACTCGAGCAAACTATTCAAATGTCTGGACTAATTGATATTTTTAATAATTATAAATGGAACGTAAAATCATACAATTGATTTTTTTGTTTATTAGCTATGTACCCTCGCTTCAGTCGAATGCGTCCTTAGGTCCCTTACCTATGTGTATGAGTGACTCCTTATCGTAGTCTATGTAGGTATTAAATTATATTCAAATCCATTCAATCCAAAATGAGTATCGAACATACACACATACAAATAATCACATTTTCAATAGTAATCCGACAGTACAATACAACGTACCTGAAGGTGTTCGGCATGCGCACCATCTGCTCCTGGTCCTCGGAGTACTCGACGTGCGCGTGCGCCAGGTTGATGACGGCGCGCTCCACGGGGTCGCGCTCGTCGCGGTAGATGAACACGTACGGGCGGCGCACCACCTGTAGGGGTTAAAATATTTTTTTGTAACCTAATCAATTGCGAAATAAAAGACTACACATACATACAGTATATACTTTAGTATGAGATGCAAGTATATACATATAACGTACCAGCCACCGCTTCTTCCAGCCGTGCGTGCCGTGCTGCAGCACGTTGAGGTAGCCGCGGCGCGCCACGGCGGCGGACACGCGCACCTCCTCGCAGTCGGGCACGAAGAGCGCGCCCGGCGCCGCGCCGCCCGCCGCCGCGCCCCACGCGCCCGCCGCCTTCTCCAGCAGCGCGCGCTCGGGGGAGCACAGTCTGTGCGCACAGTTTAGTTTATCAAAACAAAAGAAAAATTAATGTTATAAACATATGTTGTACTTACTTTCCCTTTCGACGTTTGTTTCGATTTATTCAATGGATTAATTGGAGAGGACATAGTATGAAGTTTAGTTTATCGAAACAAAAGAGAAGAAAAATCAGATGATTTTTATTTTAGTCACGTATTTCCTTTCCCTGTTCAATGTTTATACTGATACAGACCGATTTTCTTAACTAAACCTGACCAATTGCGCAGGAAATATTATAGTGCAGTGCATGTGTGCGCTAATGTGCAATTGCAGCGCATGCGCAAGCAATCACTATTCTTTTCACTCTCATTGTCCGACATCAATTCGACATAACTGGTAAGAGGTTAGGCGCAAGGCCAACATCTATACGTGCTCTCCGAGGCAAAAGAATGTAATAAAGACGTACTTAACTTATAAACCGAACTCAATAACTAACTATACTAAGCCCGAACCCAGGATCTCCGCTATCTACAGCTGCACATGCTAGACAAGTACTAACGCCATTTCGATAAATAATTAATAATTTCATTATCTTACAACAGAAGCACAGATATTCAATGAGCTTTATCAATATCCTAAGGGAAGCAAACCTAACATTTTAGTAAAAACACAAAAAAAATGGGGAGATAAAACCGGTCTATCTGTAACTATGATTGATGTACTGCATTTGGAAGGTCAGAAACAAAAAATCTAAATATAAACATAAATTATTTTTAAGTTTTGTATGGGAAGATAAATTTAATTTAACTATTTATTAATAATAATAAAAAACATGAAGAGCAAACTCACTCGAAGCTGCTCGCACTGTGTATGGAGGAGAGCAGGCTGGGCGTGCTGATGTCGGCCGACACGCCCTCGTCCACGGGCGTGGTGGGCGACGCCGTCGTCTCCACTTCTTTGTTAGCGCCTATCCTTCCTGCGTATACAAAGAGATATAGATTTAAAAATAAATCATAATTAAAATATTTTTTAATATTCAAATATATAGTTTCAAATATTATATATATTTTATAATCTTTGTTAATTTTACTGCAAATAAAGGTAAATAAAAAAAATATATGAATAAATGTTTTGTGAGAATTATATACAGTATACACGAAGGATGCCTTTAACCCTACAATCTTTCAACATAATTATTGTTAAGACACAATAATTCCCACAGCAACACAAAACCAAACTAGTATAATATATTTAAAAAAAATAATAATAACCCTTTATAAAACTTTGGTTTGCTTATATTATATTCCACGTTCGAACTATATTCCAGTACCCATTATTTTTTTTTTACGAAAATATGTGGATGGTATTATACAATCTATCCATAATATAAAACAATTATCCGATTACTTCTTCTAACCTCAACGGATTTTGAGCACTAATAGAAAGAGCGATAAACGAGGAAGGTTTGCGTATATAATTTCGGACGGAACTTGTCAGTGTTTTGTCAAAAAAAAGTTTTCGTATGGATTACATGGCTAACGCTGGCTAAACCATTAGAAATACATCAAAACAATGTACTTAAAAAGCCGAGTCGTCGATAGACTGTATCTTCGTCTGTCTGTCGATATATGTGTACGCCCACTATGACAATTTTTATCTATATAAATCGTATCCACGGACAAACCCGCGCTAAGCGAGGGTGAGTCGCTAGTCGCTAGTATTTATACTCGTATATTATTATTGTACCGTCTTAGTTAGAACAATACAATATAGTAGTTATTAGGGGTTCGAGTGCACAAATTAAAAAACCTATAAGTTTGAAGTACTTTAATTACTGAAGTTACAATAAATTTTGACGATTTTAACTGGCCACTTCTGTTCGGCTGTCTTTTGCCCGATTTCACCAACGTCACCTAAGTTTAAGTAATCCCCTAAGCATGGTTAGGGGGCTGTTAGGGGACAGTTTCTGTTTGACCGACAGTTAGGGGTCATTTAAATATTAAAAGGCCCCCTAAATTTAGGTGCTCGAAATATGGGCTTAAAGACGATCGTAAAACGAAATTTAATTTTGGGGCTAGTTTAGGGGACTTTTAAGCTAGGGATCCCATACGTAGGTGGTAGCTTATGAGTTGTTGGTGAAATCGGGCATTTAAATGCACGCGTAAAAAATATAACGATGCATCGCCTCGAAAAGCTAATTAATATCAACTAGAGTTCGCCGAGTGGTCGAACTTCGACCATGATTATTATTGATTTTTCTTAAAAAGGGATACAAAGTTTTTGCTTCGCGTATTATATAATTCTCAATTTGGCCACAGACTTTAACAATAAATGAAAGAGCGTGTATGTGTCAAATACATGGTAGTGTGAGTAATGTTTTTTTATTCATTTAATATATTTTTTATGCATAATTAAAAAAAAATTAGCATTCTGCACTTCTTCTCTATATAAACTATAAGTGTGGGAAATTTCATACTCCTCCGTCCGCGCAATTTTTGTAAGAAGGGGTACAAAGTTTTTGCTTTACGTATTGATCTATACTAATATTAATAATGAGGTAAAGTTTTTGAGTTGTTTGTGAGATTGTGAGTTTGTGACTTTGTAGGGGGTAATCTCTGGATCTACTGAACCGATTTAAATGAAATTTGGTAAGAAGATACTTTTTATCCCGGAAATCATCCCTTAAGGAGGTAAAAATGAGGAATAAAGATTGTATGTGGAATAAAGCTAGGGACGATCCCGAGCTAAGCGAGGATGAGTCGCTAGTATATAGAAAAAACAGTACTGACCCTGTATAAGCTTGATATATTTGGTGGCGAGCTCCCTCTCGCGCGGGCTCATGTCCCACGGCTCGTACAGCTCGTCGCGCGCGTGCGCACACTCCGCCGCCTTCGCCGCCTTCGCCGCCATGTTGCTTACCTCCTGGTACGTACACATTACGTTAATATTCCATTGATTAAACCTTACTCTATATAGTTTCCCATACGATTCCAACTTAAGCCTACGTACCCATACGTATACGTAGTTTCCCATACGGTTAAACTTAACACATAGGCAATCTCCCAAGATATAAGCTATTCATATTCCGAATTTTGTTCAAATCCGTTCAGTCTGTAGCAATGAAAGTGACAATGCCCAATACAGTTAGGGCTTGGTCGAAACAAGGCTGCTTCTATAGTAAGCTATAAGATTTAATACTTCATAATGAAAATGACAATGCCCATTGATAATACTCTCGCTTGCTTGTAACAAGTAAACAAGCAGAATCAAACCCGGGTCTCACACTTTTGAAATGTACCAATCATTTTTCACTTACCACTTGCTAATACGATAAAGACTTTTCTTTCATTGTAAGAAAACCAACGCATAAAAAATAAAAAATCAATTGCTAAAATATACATCAACTACACTGTAGTAAAATCAAAATACTATATATATTTGTTTCAATAAAACTATCTTTTCGGATTATTTCGCAGATTTATTTTGATTTTTGGTTCCCGACGTTTAGAATGCTTTACAACAATCACGGTCACGGAAGGGCTTTTTTTTTCATTTTAGCGACTATATAATGTCACTGCGACCATTCCTGGTCTATTGTGATCGCCGTATTTTATACTAGAGTGAACCACTAAACCCTGCAGATGGTAAAAACTATAGGATTTTCTTAGAGTTACACTCATTTATTTCATCTAGGCCTAGAACTTGTTTTCCTAGATGAACACGGGAGGGACTAACCTCGGGAATATAAAACTAACGTCGGGAACCAAAAATCAAAATTAAACCGCGAAATAATCCGAAAAGATAGTTTTATTTAAAATGTCAAATATTCGCGTAAATCTAATAAAGTATTGTGATAGATACATGGGGCGCATCGAGGCAATTACGAAATAATTGCGATCGTTTGCTGTATTGTTATTACTAAAACTTTAATTATGTAATTAATATGTAGAATATTAAGGATTTATTCTATAAATCGTACACTTTAGAAACACGATTACTTGTAGTTTCCTCGATAGAAAAAAAATCCAAAATGATCTCTAAAAAACAAAATAAACCCTTAGTGCGGCGTAAATAACTCAAGAAAGTTCATCAGTTTTTTAATAATAAAAAAACTATACGTTTTCTATATCTTTAACTTTACATTTTCAAAACGTTTATTAGTTTTAATAATATGAAGGAAATATATAAATTCGCACGCGTTCCGTCCATCTATACATATAATAAAATTGTAACTAAGCCAAATCTGTACATTAAATATTTTTTGGAATATCTTATTGAAATAAACATTATTATCAACATATCAACATTTAGGATACTTTTTATTGCGGGAAAATATCTCATTTCTGTTAAAAAAATACAAAAACTGCAATGTAAGAGTATACCTACTAATATGTAAAATCTAAGAATTTGGTTTTTATTTATCTGAACGCGGGCGGAGCCGCGGGCAGTGTTAGTCCTAAATAAGTATCAAAGCTCGGTGCCCTCCTAAATAAGTATGAAATACCTTTTCAGTTTTAGTGAAGTCGTTAGGCGCGACGGTGTTCTCGTGTCCGTGGCGCAGACGCTCGCGCAGCGCCAAGAAGTGCCGCGTGCGGCCCACTTGCTCCAGCCGCGTCATCTTCTCTAACTCCCACTGGAATTTACACCACAATCAATATTATACTTCCCAATTTATATAACATCCACACTATTAAGTGTTAATCGATCGAATTCAATAAAAGAAATAGCTAAGAAAATCATTTTGCATCTAAAAATAAAAGGCCAATAAGTATGACGGAAGTATTTTTTAGAATTTAATATTTTAAATATATGAACTATTATGAATATTGTGTAAAATATATAAATGTATGTTTAAATAGAGATATAAAGCTAAAAATAGTAACATTATAGAAATGACAAAGCGTGTGTTTGTGTTAGGAATACGAGTGTAATGTGAATAAACGTATAAGTACATATAAGCTTCACCAAGCAAATGAATCAGAGACAACTAACATTTAAGGGCGATTCTACACTATTATGAATTATCTATTTATAAAAACATACTGATATTTTAGGACGTTATCGATAAACAAAACCTATAGTTTAAAATTTAACACCTCCAGGCGAAGTTCTAAGAAATTAATTAAAATTCTAAAGAATCTATTGTTAACTGACACGCCGGCGTGTCCGCGGTCGTGGAGGGGATATTATGACTACACAGTAAAAAGAGAAATTAGTGTAAACATTAATTAAATGTATGTACATGTAGATCCGCCCTTATACAGATAATATAGGAACATTACAATACACTAAATATATAATCTAACAGACTGCGTGAAGGGATGAGCATGGACAAGTAACCAGTACACAAATTACTTTTCAGTAGCTATTTAGTACGAATGATAGAACACCAAAATGGATGATTGCGCACATACTAAATAGCTAAGGAAACTTATTTGTGGACCTGGAATCTATCGATAACGTCCAACGGCCAATCATAGACCAGTTTGCGCCAGATACGTTTCTGTTTGAGTAGAAAAAACAATTGTTAATGACGAAACAGAGTTTGAAATAGAATTCTTGTATCAGAAAACTGATAATATTAAAAAAAAAATTATAGAGACAAAAATTTTAGCATAGCAAATAAAACGATATCAACTACTAGCTTCGAAAATAAACTCAAAGACGGCACGTTTTCATATAGCAATACAAATATGTATTGCCCAATTAGCCACATATCATGCAAATTTTGTCAAGTGTGCCTATACACATTCTGGCATTGAATTGTTACGAAATATAAGATTAGCGACATTCATTTTATTCTAAAAGAGATTGTAAGTTAGAGAGAGAGAGAAAATCGTTTTGTTTTTTATAAATATGTCGTTATTTCTGACCTGATGATCAAAAATAAGTGAATCTCCACGTGGACGCCATCCGTGTAGGTTTTCTTCCCCACGTACGTATGTACCGCTGGTATCTAGCACACGCCTTTGCCGACGTTGTACACCTGTAGTGATATATTATGTTGAAATTAATAAATGTAAAAGAACCTAATATTTATTATATTCTCCTTCCAATTCGGTATAATAGAGAATATTTTTCTATCTATTCTAATATTATAAAGAGGAAAGATTTGTTTGTTTGTTAGCGATAGAGCTATGAACTAAAAATTTTCACACGATTGGAAAAAATATACTGCCTAAATGATTGTTTAAAAATTAAAACAATGTATAGCAAATATATAAAGTCTATACCAGACATCAACTTTTATATTTAAGCAGGTATACTTCTTTATATTTAAATTGAAAAATATATTTAATGACCAAGTATCCATTTCAATGAGCTTAAACATATCATATCTCTGCAGTATTTTGGTAGTTGAGTATCTTGTAGATACCAAGTGACGCTGCAGCATCATGCCAAGGTTACTATAGCAATTCAATGTTATTAGATCTGTGAAAGTTGTCATATCTTTATACCGCCTATAAAAACCTGCAAATGACTGAACGAGTTTTCTTACTTTATAGCTAAAAGAACACTCAAATCCGGTCATGTATCAAAGCAAAAAAAATTAACTCAATTCGTTTAGGGGCTAGTATGCTCCAGACAGACACTCAGATACGCAAACATACAACACGGCACTTACCCGGCTCGAGCGCGCGGTGCAGGCTGAGCTCGTAGAGGCCGGTGAGGCGGTCGGCGCGCGCGCCGCGGTGCCCGAACAGCGCGCGGCGCAGCGAGCGGCCCGCGCCCGTGCGCGCCTCGCGCCCCACCACCACCAGCGACAGGTCCTTGGTCACGATGGCCGGCCGCCCGCACTTCTCCACCTGACGGACGGATATTTAGTGGAAAACAAACTCGCTTCCCGCTGTCTGTCTGCCCCTATGTATGCTTAGATGTCGATGCGTTTTTTTTTATAGATAGCGTCATTCAAGAGAGAGGTTCATATGTACAATACGTGCATATTATAGTACAGAATAACCGAGAAATTCAAAGGTTTCTATTTCATACCAACCGTTAAAACGTACCTAAGACGAACTCGAACGAAGCGAGGGTGAGTTGCTAGTAGATTTATAAAATTCAATTTGTATATTATGTTCCCTATGGACTTTAAAACGGATGGAGATATTTTGATGAAAATTTCAGACAGTTTAGTAGCGATCGGAAGTTTGAATGCGGGCGAAGCGAATTTTTCTTCATTTCATTTATAAACCACATTATTAAAAAAAACAATTATTTATATTATTTAATATTAGAACCAAAAACCTTGTGCGCTCTTTAAATCGGTTAAATGGGCTAAAGAAAAAACTCCATACTTGCTATTTTGGCTTTTAGTTGTTACATCAAACATTAAGAAACATTGAACTTAGCCTTACTTATTATTTAATTTCAATAAAATCAAATTACTTATGTCTAATGTAAACAAATTCCGACCGTACCTCGAGGTAAGCACTCAAAGTGATGTAGACGACTTCCCCGTTAGCGCTCACTCGGTTGAGCAGCGGCGAGCCGTGCAGGCTGCTGTCCCACGCCGCCTCGAACCTACAGCATACATACAATTTTATTGTGTAACACAAAATTTTCTTTAATAAATATTTTATATTAATGTATGTTATATTTGTATTATTATTCAACATTAGTGTTAAAGACACTATATTTTTACTTTTCAACAAAATATTTATTACCTAAATATAAAATGTATAGTTTTTTTTTTTATTTAAACAAGATATAAGTGTAAAAAAGTGTAAGTGTACTCACATATATAAAATTAAAGAGTTGGTTTTTCTATTTGAAACTAATAATATGATTTATAAAATTGTATGTAACATCAAATTACGATCCTTAGAAGCAGAGTAATTATATTACATTAAACTGTTTTGGATCTATATGTTTGTTACTCCAAGACGCTGGACTGATTTAGATGAAATTTAGTATACAGATAAGTTATCATCTAGAAAAAGACACAACTATTAAGCACCTATAGTGTAAGTCGCTGGAATAAAATAAAAAATACCTGAACACGGCCCGGTCGTCGAGCGTGGGTCGTTCTCCGGGGAACAGTCCGAGGGACAGCGCTCCGTCCTCGTCCCCGTCCGTCGTGTCCTCGTTAGCCTCCGGTGTGTTTCGGATACGCCCTAATTAAAATAAAGTATATCTTTAATTATAAAAATGTTCGATGAAAAATATATCTCTGTACATTATAGACAACACAATATCTATGCATATATATTATTTTTTTATTATGATAGATACGTAAAAACAAAACACCTTGTACAATCCCGCTAGATGTCAACAAATGTACTTACATCAGTCTTCTAAAAGTTTTTATTTATATTCTGTGTTCAATTAGATTTCTACCTACCTATGTAATCTATATTACATAACATACACATCAACAAGTAATATACGATAAGATCCATGCTAGTTTAGTACTGATTAGATCGACTATTTAATAGTGTCATTAATTAAGTATGCTAAGTTGGGTTTTAAATGGAATTATTTGTACACTAGGGACGAATCCGAGCGAAGCGAGGGTGAGTCGCTAGCGATAGTTGACTCCCCAAACAAACTTTCATCCCCATTTTCACTCCCTTAAGGGATAAAAATCCTATGTCCTTCCCAAGGTCTCAAACTATCTTCTTACCAAATTTCATCTAAATCGGTTCTGTAGATCTAGAGATTACACTCTACAACGTCACAAACTCACAAACTTTACTTCTTTATAATATTAGTATAGATTTAGTTTAGGACATTCTGTGTATAGATTTAGTCCTATTTGCGTTGGCTTCCTACATTAAAAAAAAGAAAAACGACATATTATCAGGCACTGACCAACAACGAGCTCCCTGACGTCTGCCCACTGCAGGTCGGAGGAGGGCTCGTGCAGGATGGTGATGCGGATGCGGCGCTGGATGCCCTGGTGCAGCAGGAACAGCCCGCGGCACGGCAGCTCGTCGCTGTGCTCCACCACCTGCCGGTTGCCATGTTTCATTATATAAAACAAATAATAATGTTATTCCAGATATCTTTCTCTGTGCCAAATAACAACAGAAAGAGTAACAAATATCCATACATACTCACAAACTTTCACATTTATAATATTAAATACGGATAAATGACACATTTCATTATATTATTTACATTTAGACCGAATATTGGACATTTTAAGTAAAACTATCTTTTATATATCGTCAAGAAGAATTAAAAACCAAATTAAATACATAATAGTCATAAAAAAAACAAGTTAACTCTAACTTTAAGTGTAAGGTATATTAGAAACTAGCGACTCACCCTTCTTCGCTCGGGTTCGTCCCTAGGTAGGTTTTAATTTTTTTGAGCGGAACCCTAATTGTTTTCCTAAAATAAAAGTAGCCTATGTTACTCCCTATAACATCAGCTATCTTCCAGTGAAAGTCCCGTCAAAGTCAGTCCAGCCGTTTCCGAAATTATCCGGAAAAACCGACAGACAGTCAGACAAAAATAAAAAAATGTGCTTTTCTTATTAGTACCGTTTATAATTTCATATGCATTTAGTAAAACGCTGTTATTTTGACATTACAAACAGACACTTGAATTTTATTTATCTGTATAGAATAGATAGCATCAAACACTCACAGCCGGCACATAATCCCCACTGGGCGCTAATTCACAGATCTCAAACCAAACAAGCAGATCATGTTTGGAGTGCAAGTGTGAGGAGCAGCAGGGCGGCGCCACGCTGGCGGCGCCCCACTTGGGGCTTCGCACCGGGGCCGATATAGGTAGGGAGGGAGGCAGCATGCGGCGGGGCGGAGCCCTATGCACTGGCCCGTCTTGTTTTGCGTCCTGAAACATAAAGAAATTAGTTATGTTCATTTTTTAATCGAGTTATAAAGATATTTCATTTTGGTGTTATCTATTGTATGTATCTATATTAGGCGATATCTTGATTGATATTTATGTTATTTTTTTAAATTGTCTATATTTAAAGAATTAAATAAAATACGTATGATTAAGTCTTGTAATCAGTAAAAATTACCTTATGCAATGGATGTTGTTGGTAATGTCCGAATACTTCAAAAACGATGGGTTGTGACTTAATATATTCGACGAAGGACTTTGTCACTGGTACTGTGATCTAAAACACAAGGGAAATATTTTCAGTATATATTGTTTATGAAAGTATTCTAGATGGAGTTGTTTTTAACTGAACATACATTTTGTACGTGGTAAAAGCCTAGAGGCGTGTTCTTTCCGGTATTTTTGACAGGTTCTGTTGAAAACGCATCTTCATTTCTGTGCAGGAAACTAAAACAAAATACAATAATAATAATTATCACAATATTCCCAGTTACTCGCATTCAGATTTAAAATTATCCAAATGATTCAAAACATTAAAATTTAGTATTTAGCTTATTACATTCCTAAACCACTCAATTGGAATAACAAAAAATTGTTGTATTAGTAAGTGCATTTCCCTCAATAGACGACACATGAGTCATATAAACCAATACGATATTAATTAGCTTTAGTACGCTGTAACTGTATATAACAGTACATATAAATAAGGACTTACATATATAAATATAAGCGTCACTACTTGTGAGAAAACTTTAGATATAAAATTCAATTCAATTATCTTGTTACAAGCGTGTACAGATTACTTCGCCAATGTCACGTAGAATGGAGAAGACACGAAAGAGCTTGGTCGAAAAGGATATAAAAACTAAGCTCACTTAAACTGGCAGAACACGTCAGCGTAGTCAGTAGACACGCTGTGCGCCTGCAGCACGGTCACGCGGAATGTGAACTCGCGACCCAGGGTCAGGTGTTCCGGGAGGTCTTCCTCCTTCAGCTCTGAGGCGAGGGAACTGTCTCCGCGCCCGCTGTCAGCGTCACATTCACCCACTGCCAGCTCTATGGAAGAAGGAATCAGTTTTAAATAAAACTATTTATCTATACTAATACTATAAATGTGAAAGTTTGTGAGTATGTATGGATGTTTGTTAATCTTTCACGCCAGAACGGCTGAACGGATCTGGATGATTTGGCACAGAGATATACTACTAGTCTTTTTATCCCGGAAAAATGTATGGTTCCCGTGGAATAGGTTTTTTATTCTCTGCTATTTTTTTATTTTTGTTTTTTTATTATTATTTTTTATTTTAGGGTGAGCCGCTAGTATATTATTTATTATAAAATAGACATAATTACAAATTGATTATATTTTACAATTTTGTGGATAGGGACTATCTGTAACAACTATATGTTGTGACCTTTGAGATTTCTAAAACCATAATTTGTCCGTAACCATTGCTGTAAAGCATTCGAAAGTCGGGTACGAAAAATCAAAATAAATCCGCGATAAAATTTGAAAAGATAGTTTTATTTATTCAAATGTTTGTCAATTATTCAAGCAGACCAAAATAAATAAATCAAGGCGTATTTATTCGGAGTTTCAATAAAAAGAATGGTATTGTGATCTTTTTTTCTTCTAGTGTAAAAAATATTGAGCAATCCAACTGTAATAGACTGGAATACTGTATTAACCATATAGGGTTTATTTTTCTCTGGTACCTAAAATACCAATGAAGTAGTCATTACTGCTTCAAATCCTGATTATTTGCATTGACTTAGAATAACAAGTAGACGAATGATGAAAACTTTATTTACATATATATGTACTTAGATAAGATAACTAATGGGAGAGTATCTTTATTCTAGAAATATAACCGATTCGTCAAAATACTCATAGTGGCTAGTATTAAATACCTTCAATTTTAATATTGGAGTCTTGTTCAGGCCGGTCCTCCATGTTGATTGCGTTGAGTGCGTTATTCTTCTCCACGCTAGAGATGGCCTTGAGTCGAGAGCGCGCGGGCGCGATGTCGTCGTCGAATGATATCTTAGCTGATTGTTTCACACCGGCTGCGAATTCGGCGTTATCTGGAACAGGAATTATTGTTTAATCTCTATGTATATGTATTCAACGCTTTTTAACGTCCCACTGCTGGGCACGGGCCTCCCTTCAATACGAGGGGGATCAGGCCATAGTCCACCACGCTGGCCGAGTGCAGGTTGGTGGACCTTACATATCTTAGGCTTTAATTTTACATTTGACGATAATAGTAGTCTTGTAATATAGAGTTCTTTTCTAGTCTCTATTATATTATATTATTAGAAATATAAATTATCAGGCAAAACTATATAATACATTTATAGCCAACAACATATTTGGTTGGTTTGAAAATAAGTTGAGTTGAGTTTGAGTTGAGTAAATAAAATATTTATGAATATTATAACGATATTTAGATCGATTTCAAGATAATAAATAGGTAGCTTACACATGAAGCTAATAAAAATGTGTTAAAAATATAAGTACTTATATTAAGAATGATATACTAAGTTCAATGAGATATTTACTTTTTTCGGCGTCGATGACTGCCTGTACAGCCACCCGCAGGTAGCCTTTCACGTCTCCTTTCTCGTTCACGATAGCGACCTTGTGAATGAGCGGAACCGGGTACAGGAGGTTCGACAAATAAACGAAGCTCCTGTAACATAAACAAAGATATTGTACTTAACATTTAAAATAACACACAACACACAAAAATATATATTTTTTAATAAAATAATTCATAATAACATCTTTGTTCTATTTAACAGATAAACCAATTAAAAGTTATAAAAATTGTAATAATTATATTACACTCGTTATTTGACAAAAAAATTAAATCCAACGTAAAACTTACCGTCCAACTAGACGGAACCATGGGAATCTATCGTAGAACGGATCACCGCCGGTGACCGACTCGATGTTGTGATCGGGCGAAGTGGGCGATAATTCCGCCTCATTGTGGTACATCTCTCGCATCAGTTCCAAACGTTGCCTATACAAATATATCGATTTTTAAGCATCGAAATCAATTATAATAAACGTATCACACTAATAAAGCTTGTTTAGATAGAAAATATTTTAAAAGTAAAGCTAATACATGCGTCTTTGAATTGCGTCAGCGCGTGCAGGCAATAAAATTAACTGCTTTTTTTGTTACTTTTTTAATAACAAATATAGTAAAATCATGTAAAGAAAATTTCCTAGAAGAACAACTCAAGAAAATAACACCCAATGAAATGAAACAGAAATTTAGCTGCAAACGTTTTAAATAAGTTAATGAGATTGTGCATGTGACTGTGAACTCAATTTTACGGCACAAATGTTGTGTTTCTTCAAAGCCAGAATACAATAACCACGAACGTAGTACACAGAACGCAAACAAATTTTACTGCAAATATCTTCCTTCAAGATCTTCAATCTCCATCACTGGCCGGCAACAAAGCTTTGACGAAATGAACACATAGAAGCAGACGAAGCCTTACAAAAGCGTGTCTGCGAAATCCGTGATCTATACGAAAATCCTTCTATTCACATTAGGCAGAAACAAAACAGACAGTCCTGCCACTGCGATGCCTAATCGCTGCAAACATTTATCACAACGCCTTTGACTTCTGCCAACTATCGTTCCTGGCTTTTTGATGGTCCTACCACAATCTACTAATCCATACAGCCGTAACGACGGTGCCTAGATAGAGTAATTGTGTGGGGCGTGCGAGATGAGACTAGAGTCAGGTTTCCCCGACTGTCATACACATTTTGTCATACATTTTATATCGGGTATAACTATAGCATTCCAAGACATGGTGCTGAAAATTGGAAATAAAAAAAAACCGCTATTTTTGACTAAGATCTGTTAAATCAATTGTCTCCTGTATGGATTTTTATACTGTGGCCCTACGCTGCTTTGTTTCTCCCAGAGGCACAAACCTCGAGGGCAGTAAGTTGGCAAGGGAGAGGCGCGTGTTGTTTGCGCACGTGCTGATGCACTGCAGTATGTCGTCGGGCGCGGGCGCGGGCGGCGCGGGCGCGGGCGCGGGCGCGGGCGCGGGCGGCTCGTCGTCCGCGCACACGCTCTCGTTCATGTTGTATATCTGACGCATTAGCTCCAGACGGTGGCTACGGACAACATATCCGCCTTGGAGACCACCTCGTTATATGCCTCCCTCTCAGTTTGTTTTATGTATTTTTTATACATTTCCATCTTATACCGATACGGCCTTGATTTATATACTAATTTATATAAAATTAAGCTTAGTCTTTTTTCTACAATCAATTTTATTTAAAATTAAGCTGAGTTTTTTTTCTCTACAATCAATTTAATTTAAAAGTAGCTTACTTTACTGTATTAGTACTTAAAACTATTTATATATTTGTCCGTTATGTGTTTAATTAAGATATTGTTCCTATAGTAGGTATATAATAGTAACCTAAATACTTTTACATTTTTCTAATTTTATGTATATTCTAATAATAATTTTGTAAAAAATAAGAGATTGCATTATTTTATAAGATACTAGCGATACCTCGCTTCGCTCGGGTTTGTCCCTAGGTACATTTTCATTTTTTTGAGCGGAACCCTAATTCTTTTACTGAAATAAAAGTAGTCTAAGTTACTCCTTATAGCATCAACCTGCCAGTAAAGGTTCCGTCGAAATCAGCCGAGCCGTTTCGGAGATTAGCCGAAACAAACAGACAGACAGCCAAAAAATTTAAAAATTGTGTTTTTCTTATAATTCCATTTGCATTTAGTAAAAAGCTGTTATTTTGACATTACAAACTAAGACTTCAATTTTATTTATCTGTATAGATATGTATATAATAAAATGTGTGTTGAATAATAAAGCTTGTTATAAAAAGTAAATTAAAAAGCAGCAAAATAAATAAGCAACATCTGATAAATAGATATACATATGCAGCTATATTTAGAGTTTCGCGTCTATTATAAGTATAAACACTTACCTATAAAACCTCAACAATGTATTTTATTTATTATGTACTGTATATTTAAAGACCGAATAATACCAAATATATCGATAAAAAAAATTAAATATATAACACAAACAATGCCGAGCAAAAGTTATCTATCTATAGAAAAAATATAAAATTAAAATAAAAAAGTACACACACTATCACAAAAATTAACTGAACAGAATGCGAAAAAATATAAATGTGTGTGTGTTTTTTTTAATTTAACGCAATATGATAAAATAAATTATATGTTACAAATAAAATATAAATAATATATTAATGATGATATTACATTTTGTTAATTTCTATGTATAGAAACTATCCTACTAATTACATAAAATCTAAAAATAGCGTATCAAGATCGTTTGAAGGAGGTCAAATGTAAGTACTCATTGATGAACACACACACACACATCAATTTATTATTATAAATATATCAAGTCATATATAATTATCTCAAAAATACATTACATTTGTACTCCACCTAACATTCCAAACTCAGACTAAAGAATTATATAGACCGAGTCCGTCAAAATAAATGTTAAATGAAACTTAGTAGCGTGTTTTCTGTTAATGCTACTATTTAAATTTATCCTTTATTATAAAAAAAAATATTTATAACCTTATACCTATAAAATATTTTATTTATTTATTAACATTTATTGGCTTATTACACAATATACAAATTGTCATTTATATGCTGTTTTAAAACATTATATAATATTTTAAAACATTATTATTTGGCTTCATGTCTCTATATTATTCGTTAGTCTGAGATTCCAAACTAATCGACTATAACATAAACCACTATACACCTACGTACCCCTACCATATACCATCACACCGTCACTACTACATAACCAACTGTAGAAATCTATAGTGCTTGTATAATGATATACTCCGGGACTTAAACGCGTGAATTGGTAAATGGCTAAATACAGTCTGCCCGTGACCACGGCTGGTGCAACCCAGTCGAAAATAGGGGATTTAACCTTAGCGCCGCCCCTGGGCATAGTAAAAAATGCCACCCTATTATCGAAATTTTGCATTATTTGGGATGTGACGATGCACAGCATCTGTGAGAGAGGGCGCTGTATACTTCCCTTTTATTAGCCAATCACTTACGACTTCCTCTTGATATTTTCGACCAATCAACGCCTTGCTTGAAATCACGTGGTCCCAGGTGGCAGGGCGCCAAAGGCGAACGTTCTTACCTCATAGCGTCGTTATTTCCCGATCGAGTAACATCGTTTCTTAATAAGTGTTAAAAAGTGAAAAATAGGAAAAAATTATTTCAAATAAGAGTGAAAAAGTGTCTTTGAGTTTAGTTTTAAAGCATTATCATATCTAAATAGTGTTAAAATAAGTGAGTGATGAGTGATCATAATCAGTGCAGTGGCGTAAGCTTTGATCAGGATAATCCTGACGAAATGGAGGTAGGCATGCAAATGCCTTCATCTGGTCGAAAGCGCCTGCATTCGAGCGGAAGTTCGAGTTCCTCTCAATCTGACTCATCCGATTTAGAGGTAAAAAGGCGGAAAACGGGTGAGTCAGCTTCAGACATTAATAATCTTGTCAATCAAGTATCTATTTTGACTAATATTTTAATGCAAAATATGTGTGCATCGAATGTTACTGCTAACAAAGTGTAACGGCAATAAGTGACGTTCAATCGAGTGGGCTACCCGTATCAGAGCCAACACCGGGGCCTAGCACGTCATGTTTAAATTTTAATTTAACACGGCCTGCGGCCGTTCATGAGAGCTTCGTTAATAACATTCCCCGTTTAAATTTGGGTGTTGTCAATACATCCTCTAAGGAACCTAAAGTACCTAAAGCTAATCCGGAACATTTGCACCGGCTTGAGGTTTTACAAAGATTCGGTGATACAGCTTGGAAAGATGTTCGGTATAATGATGTGTTAAAAATCCATAACGCCGCGCCTGGCTTCGTTGAGCTACAAATTAATGATGATCTTAGGCAATTTATTAAAGGCAAAGATTACGTAGCAAGTTCTGAAAGATTAATAGCTGCTTTATGCAACGCATTGATCTCTCAGCGAGAGGTTCTCAATCATTGTTTGCAGCAATTTATTGACTGGACAGCTTTACCTGACAGTACGCTGTCGCCTTCAAATATTTACGATAAAATATCTGAGTGTTTCCTACCCTCATCTAAATTTCATAAAATTAGTGAGGAGATTATGCAATTAGTGTGCGGGAAACGGGCGGAATATATTGAAACTCGTAGGGAGCGTATCCTTAGTGAGATTTCAAACAAGAATTTGCGTGAGGGTCTGCGTAAGATTCCTCCGAGTTCTAGCTTTTTATTTGACGAAACTCTACTGCGGTCCTATATTCAGAATACGGGTGGATCAGATAAATGGCTTCAACCTTGGTTTTCTTCTGAGAAGAGCCAGGCTGTCAATAGTCGTAAAGTGCCTAGCAAGCCAGTTCAGCACAATTTTCGAGACTTATCAAATCAGCCCTTTCGTCAAAAAGCTAGCGAGTCAAGTTATCGGAAAAACCATAGCACAAGCTCATTCAAGCAGAACACTAAGAGCAAGAAATCCCAAGGTAAAGTCAATAGACGAACCAAGGGGCAACCTGATAAATGACTCGCAACCAATTCGCCAAACATTTTACGGGGGCTGTCTCAGAGCGTATCTGAGACAGTGGCAGATGCTTCGGGCTCCGAAAGCCCTTCTCGAATTGATTACGGGAATGCGTCTGCCATTTACCTCCAAGCCACCACTCATTCTTCCTTTAATAAGAATGATGAAGCGGTTCGAGACCGCTCATACGCCAGAAATGTCAATTCAGATCAAGCAGCTATTACAACAAGGCGTTCTAGAAGTTGTGAAGCCACAGGATGTGGGTCCAAGTTTTCTTTCTACAATGTTCTTGACAAAAAAGAGCAATGGATCCGAAAGGCCAATATTCAATTTAAAGCGACTGAATTGTTTTATAATTCCGAAAACCTTCAAACTGATATCTCATTTTCAAGTTCCTCACTTCCTACAAAGGGAAGACTGGATGGTGAAATTGGACCTGTCCTCAGCTTATTTCCATGTGAACGCCACAAGGAGTCATCGGCGGTTTCTGAGGCTTGTTTACGACAACGTGATTATGCAAATGACATGCCTCCCGTTCGGGCTGTCATGTGCGCCCAAGGTCTTCTCAGCTCTAACGAACTGGGTAGCACAGTACCTGCGATCCAAGGGCATGCGAGTCATAGTTTACTTGGACGATTTTCTAATCGCATGTCAGTCGAAAAGTCAACTTCAAAGCCATGTAAGATCGGCAATCAGTGTTTTGGAGAACTTAGGATGGACAATAAACTACGACAAATCCGAAATCGAGCCAGTTCAAAAAATAGAATATTTAGGGTTAGTCTGGGACACCAAAGCCAACTACAAAAGCTTACCAACCAAAAAGATCCAGAAGTTATTACTGATATTGAAGAGGACAGTACGGAGACTGAAAATGTCATTAAAGGAAGCTCAAATAATATTAGGAACTCTAAACTTTGCCTGTTTCGTTGTACCAAGAGGTCGTCTTCATTGCCGTCAACTTCAAATACATTTACGAAATCTGATGCACCTTCCATCCAACCGCAAACCAGTAGAAGTAACATCTGTTGTCATGAGAGATCTCAGGTGGTGGATTACTACTCTGCAGAGTCCAATAATTCGGAGCAGCCTGCATTGTCAGTTAATTCAACATTTTTTGACAACAGATGCAGCGGATTACGGGTGGGGGGCACAATTGGACGACCAGTTCATATCAGGAGGATGGACGCGAGCCCAACGTCACTGGCATTCCAATCGGAAAGAGATGTTTGCCTTAATAGCAGCCGTAAAACATTTTCGAAATCGGCTTCATGGTCGTCATTTGAATTTCCAATCGGACAATCGAACAGTGATATCTTATGTTCGAAGAGAAGGAGGAACACGATCAACAGCGTTGCTCCATATGACTTATCAACTCTTGGATTTGATAGACAAAGAAGAAATTTTATTAACAGCAGAGTACATTCCCGGGAAATTCAACAATATTGCAGACAGCTTATCCCGCGGGAAAAGGATTTCGGAATGGCATCTTTTACGACCCGCTCTCGTCAATATATTCCGAAAGTTTGGGATTCCCCAAATAGATCTCTTTGCAAGCAAGGAAACGAGAGTTGTGGAGCAATATGTTACCAAAGATTGTCTGGACTCTTCAGCACAATTTTGCAACGCATTCAGTCGTCAGTGGCAATACCAGCTGGCATGGGTGTTCCCACCACCAAGCTTAATACCTCGAGTTCTGCACCACTTAAACGCTGCTCGAGGAACATTTCTTTTAGTAGCCCCAATGTGGAAGAAGGCTTATTGGCTACCAGATCTCCGTCGACGAGCGCTGGCCAGACCAATGAAAATAACCAAGCTGGACCAAGTGCTAATAGATCAGATAACCAGCCTCCCACCACCTCACGTTCAGAACATGGATCTTTACGTCTGGAAGATAGCAGCTGGGGCGAGGTAACTAAAGCTTGGTCAGAAGCCGAAAAATCGCTTCTTAGAGCTGGCTGGAGAGAATCAACATTAAAAACCTATGGACCAGCATGGTCCCGATGGATGAAATGGTGTAAAAATAATAGTTTTGATTGCAACTTTCCTTGTGATGTTAGTCTCTCGAGATTCTTAGCATATCTTCACCTTGAAGAGAGATTAGCTTATCCGACTATATTGTTGCATAAGTCAGTAGTTTTATCTTTTGGGCAAGTCAAACACAATGAAAATTTGAATTCTAACTTTCTCGTTCGACATATTCTTAAAGCTATCTCTCTTCAAAGTCCAAAGTTACAGAGATCACCCATTTGGGACCCAAGTGACCTACTTGCCTGGCTGGAGCTGAATCCCCCGAACAATATCAGTTTGTTTGAAGCTTCCCGCCGCTGTGCATGTCTTTTGTTATTAGCATCCGGTAGACGCGTTCACGATCTTACTTTACTCAGAATATCTTATGACTGTTACTTTGACAATGACAGTCATATTATCCTTTATCCTGTATTTGGGTCAAAAACAGACACAGCTACATACAGGCAATCAGGTTGGAAGCTCTCTTGTCATAGCAATGAGAATATATGCCCAGTTAGATGGTTAAGAAAAGTAGTTGAGTTAGGCAAGACGAGGCGTACAGCCGAATGTAATGAGTCCTTGTTTGTGTCGATTAGAGGTGTCATGCAAAGTGCGTCGCGTACTGTTATTGGTAACTGGATTAAAACTGTTTTGAAAGACGCAGGCATTACGGCTTCTCCAGGAAGTTTGCGTTCGGCTGTAGCTTCTTTAAACTGGGTTAACAATTTTCCAATAGAAGAAATTATTACCCGTGGTAATTGGCAAAATAAAAATACATTTGCTAAATATTATTGTAAGCAAATCATAAGCAGAGCTAAAAGTCAATGTGTAGAGAGTTTTTCGAATAATTTTGAGCCAGTTTGATTTATTTCGCTAATTGTGGCTAAAAAGTCGAGTATAATAGAATCATTTATATTATTGCTGATTTATTGTGATTCTGATTTATAATAAAACGGTGTTACTCATGTGTCTTTTTTGTTCTTGCAGCCTTTGTGCATCTAATTTAGTTTTCTTCCTCACATAGCGTCATTGTGGTCACCAGGAGTTATAAACACGTCTCTCACAGATGCTGTGCATCGTCACATCCCAAATAATAGTACAAGTTTTACAAAACAATAAAACTTGTATTATTAAGGAGAGACGATGCACAGCATCCATTCAAGTTCTCCTGGTGAGAGACTTCTATGAGGTAAGAACGTTCGCCTTTGGCGCCCTGCCACCTGGGACCACGTGATTTCAAGCAAGGCGTTGATTGGTCGAAAATATCAAGAGGAAGTCGTAAGTGATTGGCTAATAAAAGGGAAGTATACAGCGCCCTCTCTCACAGATGCTGTGCATCGTCTCTCCTTAATAATACAAGTTTTATTGTTTTGTAAAACTTGTACTATTAAATAGATAAGGTTTCGGTAAAGTTTTTTTTTAATTATTATTTTTCGAAAAATTAAAAAAAAATATATTCGTAAATGATTTCAATTTTTCGAAAATTTACTAGTGATTTTTTTTTATTTTTTTTTTGGGGAAATAAAAAAATCATTTTCTATATCGCGAAGAAATATTTTTTTCCCACCCTCCGAATTTTGCCGCCCTGGGAACTCGCCCCGAGTGCCCGTAGTGTAAATCCAGCGTTGGTCGAAACAGCGGGTATACCATATTTAGCCACTTATAAATTCACGCGTTTAAATCCCGTAGTGTCATCATTATACAATTGGACGTAGTTATGAAAAATAGATCTAACCACAAAAACTTACTTTTGAGAAAATAGGAGTTTTAGTAAAATTGTTATATCAAAAAAAAGTGCGTGTGTGTGCAATTCACACATGGTAGATGTGAAACTTAATATTATATATTTGTCAACAACAACATCGGTTACCATGGCAACATGACAATGTATTCTATCTCATTCCATTGCCGGCTTAATCCTATATATTTATGTGTTTGTCTCTTTCTCGTGACGCATTTTCGTTTCATCGAGTTTCAAATCACAACGATTCTAAAGAAGTATCACTTCAATAACAAGACCGTTGTTTTTTTTACTCGTATAACCCGCTATCTAGGTTACCATGATACATGTTTCTAGGTATTTCTGCTCTACGCAAAATGCTTAATATTTTGTTGGTATCGTTAACATACAGAATGTGTCAAAACAAAAAGGCACTTTGCGGCTTGGATACTTTTAGTATATACTAAAATTAGTATATAATAATTATTTGTCATTTATGACAGTAACTCAAAAATGGTTTTTGTGGGCTGGATCCATTTTGCATAACTACGTCCGATTATGGAAAGGGAAAATATAAAGTCATCTATAATGCTTACCGTAATTTCTCCAGTGTCCAGTAGTGGGTGGCACCGTTCTTCGTGTCGGTGACTTCGACGGCAACTACAGTGGGTGCGGAAGGTCGATACTCGTCGTCGCCGTCGTCGCGCGGCGCGAGTTCCGCTGGTAGGGGCGAGTATGGCGTGTCGGTTAGCAGGGTGAATTGGAACTGCACCTTCTTGCGTAGTTCCACTGATATTGCGTTTGCTTCCTGTTAGATGATTGTAAAAATAATAATAAAATAACGCCTATAGGATATATCTTTGAATAAAATTTAATTTTGAAATCATTCAAAATCTCCATACACACAGCACCAGCTACATCAGCTATATCCACACAATATTAACTCGAAATAATCATTTATAATAACAACAGTTTTTTTCGCATTTGAATTATCCTAAAAAATTACTTGCACATTAGCTCTCTCCCGTAATTCTTGCCGAATTATATGCTTCATTAAATCTAGCGACATGTTACCTACACTATATATTAGAAGATATTTCAAATGGAGCTGATAATTCGTTAGATAATCATGTACAAATATTCAAACAAATAAAATCTTCATTATAATCTAACTATTACAAATGCGAAAGTTTGTACGTGTTACATACACATATGTGCGTGTTTGATGCTGCTCTAAGCTTAAACGACTGGACAGATTTGGATGAAATTGAATACACAGATAAAATATACATTATGATTTATGTATACATATGTAGATTTTGAGCTTGTATATATTTAATATTAATTATACCGTCCCATTTACGGTTCCAGTAATGTTTTCACCAAAGCTTGTCTTTAAGAGATTGCTCACAGCAATAAGACTTTGCGTGCCTTATTGTTCTTTCTTTTTCTTTTCATCTCAGAAGATAATACAGATATTATTCTTGTGCGTATGCAATAACGTATTTATCTATTTATCTATCCTATCTATGACCTGAAGTAACATATAAGTTATAGCTGAGCGAGGATAAGTATACATATATAGAAAAACAATTTACCTTAAGGAATATGGCGTTGCCCCACAGGTCGTCTCGCAGGGAAGTGAACTGGTGGTACTTCCACTTGCGGAAGGCCCACGCGGCGAGCCCCACCTCGCGCGCCGACCAGCACTCTGTCTCAAACAGGGGATTCACTACCCCATCACCACACGCTATTGAGTCGTATGTATCATCTTTACATACATCGCACTAATGTACTTATACGAGTACATACAAATTTAGGACAATTTCTATGTTTATTACTCAATACTCTGTTATATTAACTCAACTGATTTGAATGAGATTTAAAACGGTGGTACTTTATATCCTCTTTTTGCGTTTTCGCTGGAGAAACCTAACATGGGGTCCATGCCGGCCTCACAGTCCCCTGCCTCCTCCTAACTGACAGTGGAACCCGCCACCTCAGTGCAATAGAGCGTTGCAGGATCTGCTTGCACACAGACTATAACACCCCTGCGAGATACTTTATTATATCCTGATTACAGCGCATGAACTGCATTTTATTGGATAACTTTTCACGCGACCGAAACCGCTGACAAAGGCAATGATTGCACTTTAAAACTTATTTTTTTATGAAATGAAGGTATTTTTTTCGTCATTACTAACTTTCAGTTATAATAATGATATAGAGAAATTAAATATTTCAAAAATTATTTTTCGAATGGTTGAATAATTATTGCAGAAGCAATTTATAGAATATGTTAACTATTTATCATCATATTATTATTTGGTCGATTCTTTAATTATTCATTTCTTTAATAATAAATATAATTAAAATATTTTCCTATAATCAAAATAGCATTAACATTCATTTTTCTAGAACTTAATTTAAAGTGCTGTTATATTTTCCAATTAAATAAATTAAAAATTAGCTAATGTGTAATTTATAAAGTTAATTATTATATACATACTAACCAAATATATCTTCGTCGTTGTGGAAGTCCTCCGGAGTGTACGAGCTGTACATGGACATTGTGACGCTCTGTTCCTCCACTTGACGTTGCAGCGCGTCGATTCTGGCTTCGTAGTTCTGCAAAATTTGTTTAATTAATATATTTTATTACAAATCTGTTTAGGGGTTTTTTATAAGGTCTATTTTAAAAATAAACGGAGAAAATATTAATTTTTATAGAAAAATGAATTATCGAATTTCCTCCAATTAACTGAGACAAAGTGCCTGAGCAACGCTAGCTTATTGGTTGCTTGTTTTCTTTAAAACCCAAATTAAGTCAAGCCCGGTTTTTAGCTGCACTTCTGATGATTGAATATGGCTGTTAATTTCACTAAATACTATAATATATTAAAGATGAGATGAAAACTAATGATAGATTTAGATTTTTAATGATTCATCAATAGCTCTAAGCATTATCTAGAAAAGTTATAATTTATGAACACTTCGCATAAATAAACTATAAATATGCTGATAATTGTAAATTCTAGTTTTATATAGAGAGAGTCTCATCAAGTTTTTATAGTAATAAATAAATATGTTGGAACATTAACACACTGCACCATCTAGTTCCATGGTAAGCTACGAGGTTAGTGTTATGGATACCAGATAGTTGGTACACTACACATATATAGCCTTAAATATATACGTATTATAAATATACCTGCTAATCCTAAAAAATGTTGGGGGAAAAAAGTTAAATTTACTCCAATAAATATAGTAATAAATTGAATTTTTAATAAATATGATTCATGACTGGAGTACATTCGCGCTAATCGCACAAATGAAAGCTCTCAGCGAGACGCGAACCCGCGACCGCTGGTACAGCAAGTAGCGTCACTATAAACTGAGCCAAACGTGTCGTTAATTTTATTGAAAAGAATTAATACCAAGTTTCAAGTCATTTTGATCTAAAATATTTTTTTGGATTGTATTATAACGTGCTTTTCCGTGGGAATGAAATAATTTCCCACGGTAAATAGTAGCCTATGTCACTCTCCAGCCCTCCAACTATCTCCATACAAAAAATAATGCCAATCCGACACTCCGTTTCGACAAGAAAGAAGGACAAACAAATAAACAAACAAACACACTTTCACATTTATAATATTAGGTATGGAAGTCCTTACCTTCCGCTGCTCCTCAAACTGTTGGTCCGCGTGTTCCTTCTCCCTGCGGAACTGCTCCTCGAGGGCCACGAGGCGCTTCTGCATCTCCGCCTTCAGGTCGATGCCTTGCTTCTCCAGCAGCTCGCACTGCGCGTAGTCCCAGTCTACCGTTTCCGTGTCGCTTGTCGCTAGTTACATAAGAGTTAGTTGTTTTTTTATATTTATTTAATAAATATTTAATAACATTTTAAAGGAGTTTATATGTTAATTTATAATTTTGAGCCGTAGATTAATATGAAAATGAAATATTTGATATTACAATCGTGTGTTTTGCAAATATAATAACTCTAAATGAAACTATCTTTTCAGATTTATTCGCAGATTTATTTTGATTTTTGGTTCTCGACTCAGCTCGAAAAAGTCCGAAAAGACATAGTTTTCTTTAAAATGACCAATATTTGCGTAAATATAAGAAAGAATTATTTTTAGTTTAAACTACTTTAACCTATATATTACTTACAGTAACGCTTCTATTACAGATTCACAACTAACCCCTGATGAAAAAATTGAGAAGTTTTTTTTAGTGTCACTCCTACTGACTGATTCCAATAGAGTTTAGGCTGTCTGTCTGTGATATATACTTACTTTCAGAAACCGTGCTGGGGGTGTCATTTTCATTATTGATGGTGTTATCCTTGTTGTTGTAGCTGGGCAGGTGCTCGCGCGGCTGGCCGGGGTGCGTGAAGCGGAACACGTGGTTCTTGCCGAGGATCACGCGGGATCCCGTCTTTAGTATTATAGGCTCGTTAACCTGCATTATAATATCCATTTAAAAAAAAATTTTTTTGAGAGTGCTCAATTAATTTGTTTTTAGAATAAATTTACTTTAGAACTTTGTTTAAATATTGTCTAGGTGATATATTCAAGATTTAAACTTCGAAAACTTGGTAGAGGTTCTCAAAGTTTAGTAGTAAATAAATGTTAATACAAAATTTATTAATTTATTGTGAACATATTTGTCTCAGTGATTTATACTAGATTTAAACTTTGAGAACCTAGATTACCTTGAAGAAAAATAAAAATAATATTTTAAATATAATGTCTAAAATTCATCAGAATATATCAAAATGAAAAAAAAAAACAAAACAATTTAATACATATAAAAGGACTGTAAATAAAAGCAACATTCAAATCTGAACTAACCTCACGTCCATTCACATAGATGAGTGCCCCGCGATGTGGGATAAGACAAATAACCCCGTCGGTATTCTCAAAGATGCAGTGCTCACTCAGTATGTGGGAACCGCAGAGTTGGATGTCTTGGGGCACATTTCCCTCGGCCGTACCAAGACGAGTAACACCTAAAAAATAATTTTAAATGATGTATTCAGCCCCTTTTAACGTCCTACTGCTCGGCACGGGCCTCCCTTCAATACGAGGGGGATCAGGCCATAGTCCATCACGCTGGCCAAATGCGAGCTTGTGAACTTTACATATCTTTCGAAAACTTGCTAGGATCCCTCAGACATGCAGGTTTCCTCACGATGTTTTCCTTCACTACTTCATTTATCTTAATAAGTAATAGATGCACATGAAAATATCAAAAGTGCAAGATTCGGGATTTGAACCCGCTTCACTCGGTTTCCCAAACTGCCACTTTAAATTAGTAATTCAATCATTAATAACACATACACTGATAAAAAAAAATCGAGCTTGTTAAATAAAGCGAAATTATGAACAAAACTAAGATACACTTTAACTTATAACTGACAGTGTAACGTCTCAATAACTATTAATATGAAATCGCACTCTGATTGTTAACGATGCATAACCATGTGTTATTTGATATCAAAACGTTTCTAATATAGAAAATACAATATCGAATAACATAAAACTAATTATTTCTTATGTATATCATTTATGTAAATCAAGGTTCTATATCTTTTATAGTTTTAAATGAATAAGAAGTTAAAAAAAACGATAATAAAAACAAAAGTTAAAAAAATGTGTTAAATAATTAGGTTTTTTCATTTAATAAAGAAAAAGGATGTAAAACTTTGACTGTCAGAATATATTCGATTTGTTACCTATATGATTTCCTATAAAAACATTAGGAAGAAAACAAATAACTACAAACTAAATATTTTGACTTAATCCTAGAAAATATATATATATATATATATATATATATATATATATATATATATATATATGATTTCATATAACTCTTGAACTAAATAAGATACTAACCGTCCTTGATATAATAAAGAAGACATTCTGATAGATTAGGGTCTTCATTCAAGTTGACCAAGTGCGGTGTTTTCTTTGGCGAGTAGACGCCGACGGTGACGCCCTCTTTGACCGCGAGGCCCATCTCCGCGAAAACGGCTTCACGTTGCACGCGGATTTGCTCGGTTCGTTTGAGTTTCTCTTCCCATGTTTCGTTGAGCTCTATATACAAAAGCATAAATTGTTTTGTTGGTTTGTTAAAAATATGTTATGTAATAGTATTTAATATACAATTGGCGACTTAGCGCTCGTGTGCGGCGGGTAGGTGCCTAACAATAGCATATGTGTTACTTCTAGTCATAGTCTGTCTGTAAAATTTCATCAAAATCTGTGCAGCCGTTTTAACGTCAAGGAGTAACGTCCACATAGCCATAGTTACTAAAATGAACTGAATAAAATATGGACAGGGTGCAATTTCTAACAGCAATCGCACAATGATATATTTCCGTCAAGAGATGTTTTACCTTTATAGCAAGCATTCATAATATGATAGCTTACATAATATGTTTTAAATAACTCTAAAAATAAGCAAGTTCTTATTTCAAATATTAGATTAAATTCCATAAAAAAAACGATTCACCGTTTAAAAAAATTATCTTCTCCAAGACCCCATTTAAATGAAAAAAAAAGGATAATAATTTCTCAGATTGTTATATTAAAAGTATCTTAGAAATAAAATTCTAACCTGCAATGAGTTTTTCAGAAGCCTGTAGCTGATCCACGGCTTCCTCTGCGATCGTTGTTGCAGCTCGAGACAGTTTGGGTGACAGTGCTTCGGACTCGCTCTTCTTGCGTGACGGGGACGAGTTCTCTTCTCCTGCTATATCACACCAAATATATATAGGAATAAGGATAGGAAAGAGACAATTATATATCTCCAAAGTATGTTTAGAAAGTGGTAAGTTTTCCTCGTTGATAATCTTGTATTTAGAAGGTTCAAATTGCCACCAAAAAATACCGTGTGTTTTATGGAGAACGTATCGTGCTTTCCGAAACCATACGTGCCAATATGACCCTTGTATGTTGTATTTTTCTAATACGAGGAAATTCAAATAATACCAATAGCCAAATTTTGATATAGAAAAAAATTAGATATATATATAGCTTTATATATATAGATCAAAGCTACAATACATGCCTTGCAAAAGCTCCGCAGTAGCAATATAAAAAACTACTTTAGTATTATAATAAAACAATATTATAATCAAAATTGGGCTATCGTTACAAAATAACTTCTGAATATAAATACTGAAACGGACACAAATAGAAGAAAACATGCGAAGCTATTAAGCTTGTTTGCGATATATGGATATCATATAAACACCGTTCGCGACATTAAGCCATTACTTTGTGTTTTTTTTATTATTATTTTTTTCATTATTCATTATTAAAACTATAATTTCAATGATTGCAATAACAATAATAAAAAATTTTTATACTTTATTTGAAACTGAACGTTTAAAGCATTTCTTAGTGATCTTATTGCTGCTAATCTACCCATTAAAAAGTAGTTTTATTCAATTTATTAGATTCTTTATAATTATATCTGCAGTAATATTTAAAAGAATGGTTTGGTGATGCATATGTGTATATTTCCGCCGCGAACGGTCAACATAGCCTGAGCATTTCAAAATTGATCAGAAATTTAAGCCACAGATAATAATATGGGATAGATAATAATATGGGATAGAATTCTTTTTTTTTTGAATTAAAATCAAAATGCTCAGCTTTAAATACATATTGTCATACTTTAAAATATTTATAAGATACATATCGATAATATCGAAAAAAAAACCAAAATATTGTTTGTACTGTTTTTGTTTTATATATATAAACCAACACCAATATAATATAAATATAAGCGCAGGTATACGTAACCAATACATATGTACCTACGAAGTGACGATTCATGTACTAAGTACGCCTACAACGCCACAAGCCTTGGAGAAGGGTGCAAACTTTTCTTTTTTTTTTCAGGTGTCGAGTTGCCAGTATTTTAGTAATATTATTTTATTTCTTATTTTTTTATCTGGCAACTCCGAGGAGGCAAAGCGTACAAGGTGGGGTGTACATATGCATAAGCCTCTTTACTTTACTTACTGGTAGGTTGTTCTTTCTTTTCATAAACGACTCTACCATCTGGTCCTTCGCGATTGAAAACAAAAGTTTAAGTTTAGTATCATTGGAGTTAAAAACGTTTGTGGCGTTTATTTAGCTCTTTATACAAACACATAACGATCTATATGTCACATGACGGCTAACCCTAAACATTAAGAAGCATGTATTAGTAAGGGGCATACCTTCTTCGACATCAATGCCCTCAGCCTTGAGAAGTTCTCGCAATTTAAGTATTTCCTCTTTGAGCTCACGGATGAGTTTGGCGTTAGCGTCTTCATTGACCACGGCCTTGCATACAATTTGCTTAGCACGATCTGCATATCTGTATAAGTAGTTTAAAAAAATACAAATAAAAACAGAATGTCCATATAATTTTTTAAATAAGTTCTTTACAACGAAAATGTAAAATTAATAGGAAATAACTAAACAGTCATACAAATAAAAATATGTCAAGTGCGAGTCTGACTCGCACACCGAGGGTTCCGTGGTATAAGACATTAAAATAAGTTTATTATTATGCTCTACGCGTTTCTGAGAAAAAAGGTCTGACAGACCGACAGACGGACAACAAAGTCATCCGATAAGGGTCCAATTTTTTCTTTTGAGGTATGGAACCCTAAAAATGTCTAAAAGTCAATAAGCCAGCGTAATTCTTTTCTTTATTTTAAATTGTGCAGGCATAGACATAATTGGACAAGGAATCTTACCTCAAAGTACTAAGTGTTTCGTCGTAGTTGATGTCAGCTGGAGAGATGGCAGCTATCATAGCTGTCTTCGAATTACCGCCGAGATTCTCACGCAAAAGCCACGTGAGTACAGAGTCACGATACGGTATGAAGTCGGCCTTCTTGGACTTCTTGCTTTTTGATGCCTAGTAAATTTACAATTTTAAAACCTTACTTTTGATTGAAAAAAGTATCTGTTAAACGATTTAATGGCTCGCTTATATATATCTCAAGCTCAAAAAATAAAATATACTCGCGTCAACAAAACAAGATTTTCTATTAAAAGAAATTTATTATTTTTTGGCAAACTTATTAAATCAAAGAAGCCGTATCATAGCTTTTTTAAATAGCTCATAAAAACTTGGAAAACTAAAAAGAAATTCAAAACGAAAAAAATAGATATCATCTGTTATCTGCTTCTCAAATCTAAAGCTTTGTCAAATTTTCTATTCAAAATAGTGATTAGAATATAATTTAATGCTTAACGTTACAAGCAATGTACATACATATATTGTTATATAAAAACTAAGTGACGTGATTGACGAATATATAAATCTAAGGTTCGAGGTTTATATAGTAAGGCTGGATAAAATAGCTTGTGGTTTATAAAGCTAATATACAAGTATTAACTTTAATAAACGTATTAATACATATGTAGATTTCATTAGAGCATTCCACTTACCGACTGCACGTATCCAAGCAAACAAGATGCAGTGGGACAGTTGAAAATCGTGTATAAATCTATAGGTATATGTTTGTACTATGGAGGGTAGAGGTAAGGAGGAGTCTCTTATATGGGAGACGAGTTGAGAAAAAGTCCACTTGTATGCTGAAAATAGATGGCGCTGGCGTATGAAAAACTACGATATGAATTTAGCTGTTGTAGACGGAGTGAAGTGTGCTGAGTTCAAAAATTTAAATTTTTTCATGACTAAACTGTTTAATGAAATACCAGTATAAAAAACATCAAATATTTACGTAGTCTATAATAATTTAACAAATATAACCATCCTTGTTTATTTCTCTTTCTTACACTAATTACTTTTGGCGCATCCTTTAAAATTTATCCTACGCTATGGCAGCGTCACCCTAATTGGACGCGTTTTGACGCACACTTTTTCATACATAGTGACTCCTCCTTACTTCTACGCTCCATAAATTGTACAAAACTTATGAAATAGCAATAAAATGTAGCCAATACGATGATTAATGATTCAGTAATATTATAAGTTTAAATTACTATCCCAGTCACAATCTCAAGACAGACTTAAATTGGATATCTCTTCATGCTATACAATAGTAACTTTTTAATTTTTTATACATGCAAAATAGACAGAGAACAAATGTCATGAGACATTTCGAAATTTGAATTTATTAAAATATGTTTTATAATTTTATTTTTAATAGATAGATACATTTATTTCAGTATATTTAAAAATCATAATAATTTATATTTATAATTATTGTTATTTTTTTTTTATTCTAACACTCCTCACAGTCCACACATCCACATCTAATATTGTAGCAAGATCTACCCAAACTCGCTAAAACTATACACACAAATACATATTTGAGTTGTACATAGTTGGGCATAATTTGACAATATTCACAATAAATAGGTTTTATTATATTAAAAACAAGATGGCGGTTTGTCATATTTTTAAATCATCATCAAAATTGTCTTTTAAAAATCTTTATGAAGAAAAAGTTCTTTCTAATTTTAGTTGCTTTGTTACCTTTATTAACAAAAAAGTATATATTCAATGACTAATTCTTTTTGAAATTCTTTCAACAGATAATATATACATACATATTATTATTTTATTGCCCGTATCTATAAACAACTAATCAGTCCTCAACACAAGCCTCTACGTACGATACTTACAATTTCAGCCAGAGCCGAGATGACTTTGCCCAGGGTTGTAAGTGACTTGTTGATATTCGCGCCCTCTTTGAGCCTTGTGCCTTTAGCTCCGGTGGAGTCAGCTCGCTCGGACCCGGCGAGATCGACCAGAGATATTTTGGACACCTAACCAACAAAATTTTGTTATAAATCTGAGAAGTCAGTTTCAAGTGTATATGTGTGTTTGTTACTCTTTCACGTGGAAACACATGAACGGATTAAAATGAACATTACATAAATGTAGGTAGATCATGACCTGGATTAACACAGAAGACTACTGTTAGGAACGCACCCTAATGATCTGAGCGTTGCTAGTTATTAATATGTTACTTATTACATTCCATATAAAGTTTAATATTCTTTGTTATACTAATAGTATAGTATTATATGATCTGTGGTTATACATAACACTCATATATCAATGTACATATATAAACTCTAGATATTTTTTATATATATATGAAAGTGTATATACATTACTGAACCTAACTAATTAAGACCTCAATGATATTGTCAGAACAAAAACTAATAGAAGATACGGGACTATCGATCATTTTTGTATGAAGAAGTAGTCGTTTGAAGTTTTTGTTTTAAAGTTAAGTTGTTAAAAACATTACATTTAACACAGGGAGATATTAATTATTCTACATATATTTTACCTTTTCGGAGACCAAATTCGTTGTCCTATCATGTCTTTGCTGTGTGAAGAAGATCGTGAACACAGCGTGAGATCTTGAAGATGTTTCGTTCATGTTTGTAGCCGCCACAGTTCTGAGGGCAAAATATTTGCATAAGAATTCTAAAGACACTTTTTTTTTCTTAAATTTCATAGTTTTGACCTAGATGTGAGATGTAAATATCTCATCTCATATCAGATATTATAAATACATATATAAATGTGAAAGTTGTGAAAACGCTTTGTATACTCAACCACGCGTGAACTACGCGTACAGCGTATACAGCATGTTCAGAATCGGAAAAAACTATTTATAATAGTTATCATCCAAGCACATTGAGCCTGTTTCTAAAACTTGTTGTGTGTTCGGAACATTTGTCGCAAATTTTATGGTCTACAATTTTTATAATATGTAATCATGAACGAATTAGAGACTGGACCTGACATAAAATACAAATGTATGAAAACTAGTTCAACCAAGTGACGCATAACGCACACAAAGATTTTATTACATTATTATAAACACTGATACACAATACAATATTTCTAGTGCTTGAACGTAATCGATAAAATACATATATCGACGAACCAATTAATGACATTTTAGACATTGGTTAGCATAGTCATCATATTTTACATCTTTTAATTTATTCTTCTTCTTTTAATTTTAATGAATTAAAATAAATATATTAAAGAGGCAATGTGTCAAATAATAATTATTTTTTAATTTGATTTATATAAATACGATGGCATTGATGGCAACATTCTGTTGGCCCATAATAATGTTAATGAAAAAATGAATACCGGGTATATATTCCATTAATATATAATAAATATTATTTTGTAAAGATTAAAAAAATATTAAGCTAATTTAATTAAATAAAGTGATTTTGTTGATTCTGTTATTGAACTATTTTAATTGGCAATTGATTGTCTCGGGTAGTTATAAAAATGTGACACTGTCCTAATATTGCTCAGTTCTTAATAAACATTTGTGAAATTAGGAAAAAGAAAAAGTGATTGCAAATTGTGAAAAAGTGAGTGTTGGACCGTGAAAGTAAAATAATTAGTGCAAGTGGTAAGGTGTTTTATTACAAATCGCCAACCCAGAAGTTTAGTGCTAAAACATTATTGTTTGATTTTGTGTAATTTATGTATTGAAATAAAATGATCTTTATTATTATTACAATGGAATAATATTCCAAAGTATATAAATGTGGAATAAAATAAAATAAAAAATTAAGTACACATACTAATTATAATTTTTGCATTTATATTTTTATTTGATTTAGAAAATATTTTTATAAATTTATTGTCATCAGATTGTACGATACTGTGGTAAAAGTATTTTATATTATTGTACTGTACAAATAACACAATTCGTTTAGTTATTTCGTCAAATATCGATATATTTTTCGACATTGTCAAGCACTAGTCGATGTCAAATGGACTCACTCGACAGTTTAGTCATTTGTTCAGAATGGTATAATCCAGGGATTTTATGATGGTTGTCAGATGTCAACAATACATAGAAATATCGACTATATTTAACATAGTTGGATAATATGACATTTTATTTTACATTTAATTAAATTGTGTGATAAATAACAATAAATGTAATAAAATAATGTATTTACAAGTGAAAAGAAATACTGCTGCTTCCGCCGTTATAGTTTTTACATCATTTAACAGAACATTTAGTCATTTTTGGGAGATGTTTTGTTGACAAATAAGTGCTTGAGACTGACGCAAAAAACGAACGACCAAGCCTAAAATCTCCTGGTTACTGAGAAGACCGATAAAGGTACGTCCGCTTATATGTCTAGTCCAGTGGTTAATTCGTTCATGTATGTAATACATGTTAACATCATTAGAGCTATAGAAACCTAGATATGGCAAAAAAAACGATTTTTGTGTCCTTTGACCTATATAACTTAAGTCGCAGACACGATATTTTATGAGATTTTTGAGACAACTTTTAGGACAACTTTTAGAACGCCAAAATGAAAGTGTATATGAGTTTTCAGCTTATTATCTCTTATTCCTAGGTTGAAACTTTTTTTGCTTAAGTTACTGCATTATAAGGGACGAGTCTTAAAGCAAGGGTGGTTTTCTAGAGTAAAATATGCATATATCAATATTTCAACATGCACCTATACCGGGTTCAATTCGCATAAGTAAGCCCTATCATATAAACACATATATTATACACGTAATATTATTAACTTTGCGACAGTAATTGCTAAATGGCATTACATTCAATTAAAGTTCTATCAGCGGAATCCACTTACATTTCTATGTCAAGGTGAATTCTGCATGCACTTTCTGAAACGTGTATGTATCCCTTAGAGAATAGAGACGTCGATGCGATGAAATGTGCTTGCTCATTTTAACTCAATAAAACGAAAATGCTGGTATTCCTTTTTAATTACGTTAAGAAAATTATAATATTTTTGAATTTCATTATTTTAGGTCCCTAAATAGCTTTTTACAACAACTACTTCTAGCGTGAAGATACTTAATGTAACTGGATAAAAAATACCCTACCAATAAATTATTACCATACTAGCAGAACCTAAAGCTAAAGGTAAAATTACGATAAAAATAACTAAAAAGTTAGGTTGCGTATAAAATTTCACCTCTATTTAACCTCCTTATAGGATGAATTTCAAAGAAATGCTAAAACACATATTAATTTAATTGTATTGAAGAACATTAATACCAAGTTTAAAGTAATTCTGATCATAAATATTTTTTTGGGTTGAATTATAACGTGTTTCCCGTGGGAATGAGATACTCTTCCGCGGTAAAAAGTAGCCTATGTCACGCCAAAAAATCACGGCAATCCATCACTCTGTTTTGACGTGAAAAAAGGACAAACAAACAAACTTTCACATTTATAATATTAGTATGGATACAGTATATAAAACTACTATTGCGTGAAATAAAGACAATTGAACTGAATAGCTTACGTTTTTATAATACAGTGAGCTTTTAAATGTTGTATAAAGAAACACACTTTACAATATTTCAAAAATGCTACAATTTTAAAAAAATAATCGAACTCCAGTGAAGTCTTCGGAGTAGATTTTAAATAATATTATAATGATTGAAAAGTATTTTAGATGTTTTCATACTAAAAGAAGTTTTCACGTACCGAGCCTTGTTTCCCTCATCAATGAGGTCGTATATGTCTTGATATGACATAACAGCTAGTTTGCTGAGGTCCTCTACATAAGGACCTAGAGCCGGGTGCTCACGGACACGTAAGTTTCCTTTGTTTTTAGGGTTAAGTAGATCCCGGACCCGCTCGCAATATATTTCCATGTAAGATACTTCCACCTTAAAAATATAAATTTGGTTAAAAATAAAAACATTAAAACATTATTTAATAAAATATTAAGTAAGCGCTATTAAATAAGCACAGGTATATAACGCTGATATAAACTATAACTATATTCTAATTTATTTTTTAAATCAATTTCAAATAGTGTAAAAAAACATGAATATCCGGTGCTGTTTAAATATTTAATAATTTTTGTTATTTCTTTAACTTTTTCAAATATGGCAGTCCATATTATGACCGAATGTCTTACCGAGTATGTTAGGTCATCGCTGGTGGTCTGTCGTATGCGCCTGAACAGATCCTTACATATTTGAGGGATGATGCCCTCCTGTCCGTCCTCTCCCCTTCCCATCATAGTATACGATTTTCCCGCTCCAGTTTGTCCGTAGGCGAATATGCATATATTGTAACCTGTTAAAAAAAAAGATGTGTGTGTATTTATGTACGTACGTACGTAAGAAGTTATACTTCTTTGGCGTAACAGAACAAAAATAGCTAACAATTTCATCCTGTATGTCACAACTCTCTGTCTATAAAAGGGAAGCAGCTAACTTCATCATGTCGCTTTTAGGCTGTCGGTGTGCGCGCGCATCGTAAAAATTTTACTCTCATATTTTCTCATATTTATAAAACAAGTATAATTTCATAAAGTTATTTTTTAAATTAATTATGTCAAAATTTTATACTTTGAAAATGTTAAAAGGTTTATCTGACATACCATCAAAGGCATGCTGAAGCATTTCTTCGCCGATATCTTTATACACCATAACTTGAGATGAAAAATCGGGATCACTAGGCTGTAAAAAAATTAATTATTGTAATTTTTATAATTTATTACAGAGTATTAATGCTAAGCTAATGTCTGATTTAAAAAAAAATCTAAACGCCTATTGTTTATTATACTGCATATATCAGTATAAACGATGCTCAAGGATCTTGTATCTTCCAGAATTTCATAGTAAGGTTACTTGAAGTAACATTTTGCATGGAGAAGTGGTTCATTACAGTATGACCCTTCGGTCGAGTGTCTGGCAGACTCAGGTCGTGAACTCGCCTCATCGGCTAGACTGAACGTTTGTTTATTTACCTCATGTTAGAAGTTGTTTAATTTGTATTGGTAACTTTCCAAAATAATTTAGTATATAGTATGAATAGTTAAATATTTTAATATTAAAATTAGACGTCTGTAATCTGCAGTGGTACATTATATAGAATTTACTTAATAAAATAAATTCGATATTGAAAAGAAAGAAATGTGTCAATATATATATATATATATATATATATATATATATATATATATATACATATATATATATATATATATATATATATATATATATATATATACATATATATATATATATATATATATATATATATATACATATATATATATATATATACATATATATATGTGTGTTATTTTGAATACACATTATATTTATTAGAATACTTTAGAAATATTTATAATAATAGTGTAAAAACTAAACAAAAGATTATGAAAGTAATGAAATAATAAAGATTTCCAATAGCCAAGGCCCACATCACAATGGTTTCTCAACCGCAGAATCCACAATTTCTAATCTCAAAAGCAATTAATAGCAATTGCCACATTACTGCGGTTTTCCAAACGATCCGTTTGTGGTTACCATTTCAAATGGACAATACATTAAAAGGCATTGCAAATATTTCTCTTTAATCTCTCTATCCTTTGGGCGAATTTATTTCACTGAACTAATAATAATTATTTTTAATAAGTCTTAATAATAATATACAATGTCCTAAACAATAGTTAAGAATAAAACTAAAAATACTTTATTGAAATGAAAATAATAACAGCAAATTAACCTAATAATATTATTTTGATTTAGTATTACCCTGTCTGAAATAGATATTCCAAGATTTCCATTTCAATTTGAACAATTTTGATGAATTCGTACAATTTATGTAAAACTATTCGTCAGTTGCCGCCATCAAGCGGCGGTGAAACTCAAATTGTGATATTCCCACTTAAGCCATGTTATATTATAACTTTAGTATTATAGAGATCAAATATCATTCTTTTAAACCTTAAGTAAACGTCAACGCAGAATAAAATAATATATGAACGCACTAAGTGCTCCTTTTGAAAGCTTATTTAAGTACGTATAATGTATATACATATCTATATAGGTATATAATAAAATTGTAACTAAGCCGAATCTGTACATTAAATATTTTTTGGAAAATCTTATTGAAATAGACATTATTATCGATACAGAGGCCGAATCTATAGTTTTTAGAATTTTTGTCTGTCTGTCTGTCTGTTACCGCATCACAGAAAAACCACTGGAGGGATTTTGATGAAATTTGGTATGGTGATAGCTGGTTATCCGGGTCAACATATAGGATACTTTTTACCGCGGAAAAATGTCTCATTTCTGAGAAAAAATACAAAAACGTAAGGGTATACTAATATGTAAAACCTAAGAATTTTGTTTTTGGCCATCTGAACGCGGGCGGAGCCGCGGGCAATGCTAGTTTAAAATATATCAAACAAAATTTTATGTAGAATGTGCCAAATAAATAAATTGTTGAAACGCAAGTTCTTTAATCTTTTACAATCCGAAAGAGCTGCTTATCAGTTATAATCCTAAATACACCATTATATAAAAGAGACAAAGTAAAGTTTAGGATTAGAAACCCCACAGTATGTATACAGGACGTTTCACAGATATCTAATCCCATAATCGCGTTGTCGATTCAATATGGCTGCCACCTAAAACGTGAATATATTTACAGATCCGTCTGGTTTAAGATCTAAAGTCAAACGATAAATATAATATATTTAAAACATTTTTTACATGAAAATACGTATTGTATATTTCAATAGAGTTTATATAATAAATGAAATTTACTTAATACTTTATAAATAAAATGACAGGTTATGAACTTCCTAAAACGAACAAATAAGAAAACAAAATTAAAAGAAAAAAATCAATAAATAGAACTATAGGCAATGAAATAAAACATAACATGTCTATTTCAGACGTAATTTAAAATTTATAACGACGATATCACCCCTTCAAGGAGGAAGTACATTGCCGCGTGGGAGGCATGTTATTTGCTGTATTTATAGTTTCTGTATAGTAGAAGGTATAAGGATATCTTACGTAATAGCGTTTGAATAAGGTTTCGTTGAAAAGAACTTTGTTTAGACCGTTAATACAATAGAAAGCTCTCAGTGCTTTTGCTCGAGATGAATTTCAAGGTCCTAAAATACATTTAAAATATACACTTTTATAATTTTTACACTTATTTAGTATAAATAGTTTCGTTTTAAGATAAAAAATAGTAATAATTGGTATAAAAATAATACTATACTTACATTGTGCGACCAATATGAGAAATCAAAGTTGAAGCTTTTAGCGCTATCTTTGTTGCCTGGTGGTGCTTTTGGATTTACAATAACTGTAACAATAAAAAAATTAAATTAGTTTTAAAAAAACAAAAAAATACAGGCAGTGTCTTAAATATATGAGTAGTTATATTTAAAATTATTGCGTATAATTTATAAGTATTTCGGTAAACCTAATTTGTTACATATATAATATACTAATACATGTGACCATCAACATGTAACAGTAAAGAAAGCATTTAATTAAATTTCAAGTGAAAATTTCTTAAATGTGTAAGTTTCTTAGGTTTCATTGTAAGATAAGTTAAGGCTTAGGTACAGTCGCGACGTATCGACCGGTGTTAACACCGACGCGACTCCCATCAAGTACATATCTACCTGCGGTGCTTACGATGAAATATAACGGAAATAACAATTTATAGGGTTGGCTTACATAGGAAATCTATTTATAAAGCAATCTAGGAATTTCATGTATTTGCCTGACTCTTAATATCCTCTATTCTAACTAAAATAAAATAACAGTATGAAAATATAGGTCGGAGATAAAAAGTATTTAATTGAATTTTTAGCATTTCCTTCCGTGCTTTAAGAGTAAGTCAATTGACAGTCTTATTATCAAGTAACTCCCACTACGATATTCGACTATAAAGACAAAGGAGTAAGGACAAACCATTTCGTTGGGTCAGAAGCTGTTCGACTGCGAACATGGCACTTTCCTATAAGTGCTCAGACTTAACCGAATTACCGAACAGGTAATCTCTGTATTACTTATAATATAATTATAATAATGATTATGATAATTATTATATAATCGTTGTATAGTTATAATACAATAAAAATTATTACATTATAATTGTTGTGATTATTGAATTCTTAACACATTGATTAAAATATTTAGATATCATTTAGATGTTTAGTATTAAATATAATATTAGAATAATAATTAATTATTTAAAAGGTGTTTTCAGTAAATATAATTATTTTTGCTTTACCCATGAATTATTTTACAATTATTTTTGTTATCTACCGATATACCGAATACCGAAATAATCAGTTGATTAATATTTCTATAAATAAATGTGTACTTTAAAAATAGCTATCTATTCTTTTTTTTATCCATCTCTCACATATATTTCAAGTAACTTCGACAATCTAAACCGATAGTCAAATTATAAAATCATGTAATAAGAAAATTAAACAAAACTTTGCTTTTCAGCATAATAATAAATAAATCAGCATAATCTTCGAATAAATAATTGGAAAAAAGACAAATTTATTCATAAACTAAACAAAGATCTACATCCGATAATAAAACTTTTATATTATACTATCCATTAATGCATACTTAGTCATTAAAAATCCACTTCACATCACATGTTACATCAACCATCTTGTTAAGTATTACTCGAAGACTAAGGTAATTTAAAATTCTGCAAATATTTAATCATATTGTTGCAGTAAAACACACATTTCACCACTAAATGAATAAAACTAAAAAAACTCATAATACTTTTTTTAGATTTACGCGAATATTTGACATTTTAGATAAAACTATCTTTTCGGATTATTTCGCGGATTTATTTTGATTTTTGGTACCCCTATTCGAATGCTTTACAGCAAATGAACGAACGAATTTCGTTCGCGAAATAATCCGAAAAGATAGTTTTATTTAAAATCTAAAAAAAAGCTCGTTCATAGGACGTATACATATGTACATAATATATAATACAAATATATTTATTTACCTTACATCTTACGAATTCTTTTTAAAATATATGTTAAAAATGGCAAAACTTTATTGACATACTTATTATGTTTTATATGTTTTTAAATAGTGTTTGTTGTTTAATATTTGTTTATTTATATTACGTTTAAAATTAATGCTAAAAAAGAAAACCTTTAACCGATAGACAGACACAAGTTTTTGCATTGTCTCATTTCTTATTAAATTCACGTAGGTAATAGCTAGTATAGTATTATATGATCTGTGGTTATAGTCAATCTACACAGTACAATCTCTTAGTGACTTCTATTATGTAAACAATTTGAAGCGGATACGGTTTTATGACTCATCAAGTTGCAGACTGCAACAACTTTCAGCGCCACCCCGATTGTTCAACCCCCCATGAGTTCAACAGTAGTAATACCATTTCATTTTATTTCACTGACGTGACGTGTTTTGAATTTTTTATGTATGAATTTAGCATCTTAATCAAAAATAACAAAACAAAATCATGTTTTGAATTTCTTTCTTTTACGTCTCACTTAAGCCTTTGTTGTTGATTTAATCTATACATATAATAAAATTATAACTAAGCTAAATCTGTACATTAAATATTTTTTGAAAAATCTTATTGCAATAGACATTATTATCGATGCAGATACCGAACCTATAGTTTTTAGAAATTTTGTCTGCCTGTCTGTCTGTTACCGCATCACAGAAAAACCACTGGCGGGATTTTGATGAAATTTGGTATGGTGATAACTGGTTATCCGGGTCAACATATAGGGTACTTTTACTGTAGGAAAATATCTCATTTCTGCGAAAAATACAAACACTGCAATGTAAGAGTGTACTAATATGTAAAACCTAAAAATTTGGTTTTTGGTCATCTAAACACGGGCGGAGCCGCGGGCAATGCTAGTTAAATAATAAAGTTTTAAATAAAAAGCAAATTGTTTAGTTTCATGTATAATGTATAATATTATATACCTACCTACAGTTGCCTGATGTAAGTAATCCAATAACGTTTACTTGAAATAATTGAACAAATAAATACAATTAAATTAAACTTATATTGCTAAAGGGTATATTATTACAAAATTGTAATCCATAGAGTGCTTCGTCTGCTGAGATACGAGAGGTTTTATGATCCTTAAAAGTGCACACTGTGCAAAATCCTTTACTACTTCCCCAGGAATATCGTAATATCACGTCGTATGTTTCTTTACATTACTCCACTTTATGTTCTTTATAAAAGTGTCATTTAAGATTTAATAAAATATATAAAGTACAAATGGATTTTATAATTATTTTTGGTATCTATAATAATATTATAAATGCGTAGGTAATTCTAGTAGTAACTCTGTCTGTCTGTCTGTCCGTTACAATTTTGATGAAGTTTGGTATAGAGAAGGATGGTACCTTGGAGATGGACATAGGATACTTTTTGTCACAAAAAATCTTAAATTAAGGACAAAAATTCATCATATCCTATAATTTTGATAAGAAATAAATAGTAATTCGGCGTTTATGACCAATCAAGATAGAATAAGGGATGATTTCAAGTTTTTTTAAAGTACCCGTTTACCTACTTTTCAATACATATGTAGTATGTATATCTATTCCGTACTAACCATAAAAAGTTACCATGGGACCAAATCGCGCGGAAGAATGAGTCGGTAATGATATTATATATATATATATGTATGTTCTTAATTATAAAATTACTAGATACCAAAGCGATTTCACGACGTTTAATATTTTATATGCTATCATTATTCAATAATACCTCTGATTTAAGAGGTATAATAGATCAAACAGAATTCGATGATACCTGCGATTAAAGAAGTTTAATATACTAAATATACTATTATTTATATTAAAATCACAGGTACAACAAAACGAAAATAAACGACGCATCTTTCCCGCAATATCCGAAGACAATAGCATTGAAAGCCTTCCCTTTATACATATTAGCTTAAAAGCTAACCGGAGCAGTATTGTACAGTACACAAAGCGGGCTGGTCCGGAAAAACCTTCATATGTTAACATTGAGCTCAAGGCTGCTGGGAAACCAGCCAATAAAACGGAAACGACGCAAACCGCTGAATAACGAAATAGATGCAAGTATCGCGCTACGTGTGTTGCATATCTATCTATAACTTAAAATTATTGATGTAGTGTAAATTATTTAATGAAAACGAAAATACATAGTGTTCCCAATACAAACCACGATTTTTATACGCGGGACGTATTCTTTCTTTATTCTTCATCTATACATACGAGTATAATAAAATTGTAACTAAGCCGAATGTGTACATTACATTTTTTTTGGAAAATCTTATTGAAACAAACATTATTATCGATATAGAGGCCGAATCGATAGTTTTTAGAATTTTTGTCTGTCTGTCTGTCTGTTACCGCATCACAGAAAAACCACTGGAGGGATTTTCATGAAATTTGGTATGGTGATAGCTGGTTATCCGGGTCAACTCAATTTCAATAAGATGTTCCAAATAATATTTAATGTACAGATTCGGCTTTGTTACAATTTTATTATATGTATGGACAAGTAATAATTGTACATATAATAGATAAAAAATGTTTGTAATAAACCTAAAATCCTTTATTGATACAATTTCACAAGGAAAGCGTAGGTATAGAATATTTATCTAAAATTTAAACATTTGTCTAACATTAATACAGAAAGTCTGATACCAATTCATCATCATGACAGCAGATAATTAAACAACTGACAATGATTGGATTCATTTTTCAGAACTTTCTTAAAATATGACTCAAATTATAATACCAAAAAACGTAAATCTGCTTTAACTTATTTTAGTTTTGAACATAATTTAACATTCGTCAAAAACAAGTTCTCCTTATTTTATACTCTATTACATCGATCGTAGTTTATTGCAACTAGAAAGAGTTTATTGCCCTCTCTCTGCCTTATGCTTTGAATTTTCCACAAGTCTAGTCCCTTACAAGGGGCCGGTGTGTGCGTTTGACCTAAATGTCCCGCCTTTGTTCTAAACAACCTAGGCTAAGACGTAGTTTTGTTTAAATAACTGTTCTTTTCAACTCAGTTACGTCGTTCTTTAGTTGTACAATTTTTGAGAAATATTCCGTTTTGCTATTTACTATTCACACGTAGACAATTGCATAAAAGGCAAAATAATTAATTTAATTAATAATAAACCTATTATTATTAATTTAATAAATATATTTCCTGAATAATAATGACATATTTTCTTTATATTTATGTATTCCGCCCTTTTTAACATCCCACTGCTGGGACGGGCCTCCTTTCAATACGAGAGGGGA